AAGCTGTACATGGACAGAACAGTTGGTGTAGTTGATGTGTAGTGAGTGAGTATGGTTTTACGCCACTTTTAGCAGTACTCCATCAATATCAAACCCAGGTCTTTGGTGTGACGAGCGAACGCTTTATCCACTAGGCTACCCCACCGCCCATTTGATGTGTAGCTCAGTGGAATCGATATTGGTCTCTCTCTGTGGAGCTCTACTGTCATCATCTCTTCTGTTGGACACTGGTGGTCTTAGGCGATAGAGTAAACCCCGAGCTCTGTTCTCATGTGGTGGGTGTCACCGAAGTGGTGTGTTTAGGATCTTCATGACCTTCAATATTGTATAAAGTTTCCTTGAGCTGAAACTATGACCTCTCTATATATGCTGGATGTCTCATTACTAAGGGTGTGCGGTGTTACAGGTATATTGGTAAATTGCAGTTCATTCTTTCCATGATACGTATCACAATATCATGTCTTAAAGCTCGGTAGAGCAGGTGATTTCAAATAGCCACTTTTATCATGTGTTTAATGTTATGCACTCTCCAAGTACATGTATGAAATGTGTCCGTATTTCCAAAATGCAGGTTCACATTCTGAAGTTCTTCTGTGGCAGTGGTGTAACACCAAGTCATCACTGTCCCGGAGCATGCATCCTTACATATTTTTAAATGAGCAATCTCATTAAAATAAGATCTTAGTCCTCGCTACTGCTAAACAAAGATCCGAGGAAATCCCATTACAGGTCACGTCAGGCCGACCTTGCTCAAACTTTGACCGGCCAATGGAATGACCAATCAGAAGGCAGCTTTCTCGTGCTTTACGGCACTAATTTCAAATTGGCGACTACGCTTCGAAACATATGTTGACAAATTCTTGATTAAACATTTAAAACCTGAACAAAAGAACATTCTGGAATGGCTAATAGATGGTCTAGATTGTATGGATTCAGTCATTAAACCCATAACTATCGTTCGGAATACCCGTGTTAAAGTTTTCGAGGATGCATGATTAGAAATCACATTCCGACTGTCACTTTCATGATCTGGTAAACGACGCTCTGATTGGTCAGATGAAAGGTCGGTCTGACGTGACCCCTACTGGGATGTCCTCAGATCTTTGTTGCGCAGTAGTTAGAACTAAGGTCTGATTTTAATGAGATTGTTGAATGAGTAAACATGATGCTGTTCAAGCGTCTTGTTTTGTTTAATCAAAATTTTGAATTCTACAATATATTGTGATATGTATCGCAATACAGTCTTATGCATTGTAAGATATTGTGATACACTTTAAATATCCAATACCCACGCCTACACATTACCATTAACACCCATGTGATCATTTCTACTTTGAAAATGATGAAAGTGACCTGTCATTCCCAAAGGATGTAACTCTCCTAAGTGTATTGCAGTGCCTTCAATGAATGGGCACACATGTCCTCTTGAGCTAGTGAAAAATCATTTAATTCATGTGAAATGACCTGTTTACCGAAACAAGTAGATATAAGCTTCAATGGAAACGCGACAATGTCATTTTATTAGAGAATCACAATACCTTTCTGCAAAGTTTAGTGTACCAGTACTTTTAAGATTTACTTTAGATAAGAAATATATCTTTGACATATTAGTTTTCAAGCCCTCTTATCCTTTAATTTGTGACATCGTTCATTTTTAATAATATTCATGCATTGACGTACTTGTTCAGTCGAGATAACCTGGACCACAGAGTCGTATGTTTTGATAGAATTCAAACTTGGAAAGTGTTGTCAAAAGACACTACGATCTCAAGGGTCTGTTATGTAACTCTTCAGGCAACGAGGAAGGATACTCAGGTTGTGGTGAAAATGTCGACTGAACATTAAGTGATATATGGCTTGAGTTTGAAGCAGCTGTCTGGGGTATATAAAAGTGGATTGGCACCAGACGGACTCTCGTTATCGGCAGCAGACGGACACAGGTTATCGATAGGAGACAGACCGGGGTTATCAGCATTCTGTGGGTTATCACTTGTGACTGGGTACAGTGCTGTAGCTAGGATACTTCCTAGACTTGAGATAGTGTACCAAGCAACTCAGTGGTGATATGGGCAGTTCTACATCTCGGCAGGACCTCCACTGATTGTTTGACTTAAGATTTGGGACTACTTTACTCTGAATGTTTGTTGATTTTGGATACGCACAATATACCAGGAACATTTTGAAGGTAAAGTGTATGAAAAATGTTGTTTAATATTTGAAGGCCGACTCCAGATAATTGTTTTAGAAATTAATATTTACTCGCATGTTATCACATTGGGTAGTGATAGTTTTATTTTGGTAGTCAATATAATTTTTCACTTTAGGTCCAGTCTATTCAGTATTTTTTAACCAGTGAGTGCCTCAACAAGGTAGACCCATTTCAAAATTGAACTGCTGTTTCAGAAGACTTCTTATTTTCATTTGTCTTTGTGCTGCTTGATGTGTCTTATGTTGCAAAAGCTCACGGCAGTGATACATGTCTGAAGTGTTTAAGTGAAACATTTAGTGAGTGAGTTAAATTCAACGTCACATTGGCAATATTTCAGCCATATCGTGACGAGAGAAACTTATACATTAAAAAAATTATATTTAGACTATAAAAACCTGTCGTCTTCGGACAGTAAAGTAACTAGACTATCACAATTTATTTTTGAAACTAGTATGTAACCATAAAAGGATTTCACAAAACATAACACAATATAAAAACGAGCTATTGATCGCCATCAGCTGAAGGTAGATCACCATGCTAGGGATCATGGTGACTTACAGTACCTTGGCTACCTGCATGGACCCAAGAAGGATTTACACCATCCATTCATTTACTGGTGATTATACTCAATTTTAGCCTCAATCAAAATTACAAATATTCTGCGATTAAAAGAGAAGCAGACATATATATTCTTTGAATGACATGGACTTCGATATCCTCTCAGGGGGACAAGAGGTGAAATAAATACACAGGTGATCTGGAGCGTTAGGAAGGAGTGATGTCATGTTTAGAAGGTTACGCGTTGCCCGTTGGAATCCCGGGTTAGGATTGGTCCCCAGTGATTTTGTTTGTGTTTGTTGTTTAATGCCACAGATGAGGTTTTGCATTACTTATTTGTGCCCCTAACTCTCCTGACCAATATCCCTCTTTTCCCTTAACTCAAATGACACCTGTAGGGTAGAGTTTCAACCAGTTTATTTGGGTGTTTTACGCCACACTCTGCAATATTCCAGGTATATGATGGCGGTCTGTAAATAATCGAGTCTAGACCAGACAATCCAGTGATTGATGTCATGAGCATCGACCCATGTAAATGGGATACGATGACATGCATCAACCAAGTCAGCAAGCCTGACCACCTGATCCTGTTAGTCACCTCTTACAACAAGCATAGTCACCTTTCATGACAAGCATGAGTTGCTGAAGACCTATTCTCTACCCAGATCTTCACGGGTGCCCAGTGACCTATGCTTGTCATGAGAGGCTCAGTGACTTGGTCGAATGCGTGCGATCGTACCCCAGCGGTATGGATTGTTCCTTATTATATCATCACTGGATTGTCTGGTTGATTATTTCTGGAATATTGCTTAGAGCTGCGTTAACAACAAGCAAACAAATATCCTATTAACCATGAACTCATGGCATTTAGATTAAGAATATAGTTGAATTTCGTAAAACAAAACAGGTAAAAAATAAAGTTGAGGATATTTCCATATTTCCTTCGAAGAACAGAGTGATCAATTGAAACTAATGGTGAGTCATAAGATGGGTCAAGTTTATTTTGCCATCATCATGTCAACTGATTTTGGCCACTGTTGGAAGATGAATGAAAAATACTTACATCTAGAATTTGCTGTTCCAGCTGTGGTTTAACAAGTTGATGTTTGTTCCTATTACATAACTGTTTAAAGTTCTATGATTATCGGACCTGTGAAGATCCGGGGTAGAATGGGTCTTCAGCAACCCATGCTTGATGTAAAAGGTTACTATGCTTGTCGCAAGAGGCGACTGATGGGATCGGGTGGTCAGCTCGCTGACTTGGTTGATGCATGTCATCGATCCCAATTGCATGGATCAATGCTCATGATATCAATCACTGGATTGTCTGGTCCAGACTCGATTATTTACAGACCGCCATCACATAGCTGCAATATTGCTTAGTGCCTGTTAAACAACAAGCAAACAAACCAACCAATCCATGATTATCGCGGTGATGTTACACTGTCCCCTCAACAGTTGATGGTACACAGACAACTACAGGGATCTATCTGGGCCTTTATGTATCTTCGGATCATTTGTTTTCGGTCATCATACTTTATTGGACAATCATGTTTATCATGATTACTAGTGCTATGACGGGAGGTGTAGCATCACACAGAGATTGTAAATACTCAGATGATGGCTTGTTTTTTTGCAGAGAAAGTTGAACGAGATGTTTTACAGTTGTTCATGTGATTAGAGAGAAAACTACCAATGTTTCTTAAGAGTCCAACTTCCAGACACGAAAATGGAGGTATCAGTGCAACCATTGTACCAATAACAAATGAAGTCTTAAGTATCAAGAGTCTTGGGCTAACTATGGATGGTTTTTTTCATTCTTTAAACTTAAACTGGGTTGAGAAAATCTGGCACTGAGTGTAAAATTGATGTGCCTGCTTCCATTACCAGAACTGAATTGGTTGTAATGATGATAGGTACCTTTCTTGCAGGGTAGTACTGGCACTACAGTCAGAAAAACAAGCAATTACGATGTATTCTGCCTTTTTAAATACCAGTGTTTATCTATTCCACCTTGTATTCAAGAGAATTGTTATTGTCCATGGAAAACAAAAATGTAATCGCCAATTTCCCGTCTAACTGACTGGGTCTGGTGATTTTCTAGCACTTCTGCATTCCTCAATATACTTGACAAGCGTGTGGCATTGTTTTGGTCTCTTTTTGCCTCTTGTCATTGAAAATAATCTAAATAGCTTGGTTTACATGTGACACTAATAATGGTTTCTCCCTACAGAGACACAACAAGGAATCTTGAGACACGAGAAGCTGTGTTCCGTCGCGCCCTGACGTTGATGTCCAACCGCTGTACCAGCGTCACCCAGAATCCAGCAGACGTCACAATGCCGTCTGCTCTGATCAGCGTGGATGAACCTCCATTCGGGGTCACTCAACCAGAGTATTTCTACATCCATCAGCGGCGGCCTTCACCCATGGCTCCCCTCAAGGTAGATCACCCATGACAAAGTATCAGCTTAATTTTATAGGGAGCAGTTTGATTTCATATACAAAAATGAATTCCTTTAGTTGGTTGGTTGGTCAGCAATATTCCATCTATATGACGGCGGTCTGTAAATAATCGAGTCTGGACCAGACAATCCAGTGATTGATATCATGAGCATCGATCAATGCAATTGGGATCAATGACAAACATCAATCAAGTCAGCGAGCCTGATCACCCGATCCTGTTAGTTGCCTCTTACGACAAGCATAGTCACCTTTTATTGCAAGCATGGGTTGCTGAAGACCTATTCTACCCCGGATCTTCACGGGAAGAATTACTTTAGTTTTGATACATACGCCACAGTTGAAGTATGAACGTACTAACATGCTTGAAGAGAATTTCAGAAAGAATAACACAGAAATGATAGTTTATGAAAACTTTGTACAAAAGGACCAACACACTCAGTTTTTCAGTTCTTGTGTTCAACTCATTTTACCCACAATAGTGATGCAGTTCATATTCAGTGTGAAAATAGGATGATTATGGCTGTTATTGATTGAAGTGAACTCTAAACATCCTGAAAAGTGGATTCTGGAAGAAAACCTAACAGACCAATTAACCCATCTTGTTTTAACAAGTTTGTGACCCGTTAAGATTCCGGGGTAGAAAAGGTCTTCAGCAACCCATACTTGTCGTAAAAGGGGACTATGCTTGTCGTAAAAGGCGACTAACAGGATCGGGTGGTCAGACTCGTTGATTTTGTTGATACATGATGTCAATCACTGGATTGTCTGGTCCAGACTCGATTATGTTACAGACCGCCGTCAAGACCTCTGTATAGTATCTGGTGACAGATGTGATTCACAAGGTGAATGAATGTTTGGTAGGACAGTGCATGTAGTATTTCCTCATGCCAAGAAAGAACGCTACACTCAGGAATTGTTTTGTCTGCGGGAACTTGGGGACTGTAAAATGATGTGAGGGAGGATATTTGGTAGTGAGGCTTTTGGGAGTTTAATCATTTCTTATGGCCTAATGTCTCTTTGGTGAAATCTGAGAATCTAAAACTGAAGGAACACTTGAGTGAAATAATACTTTATGCTAGAACTACTGTCGGTCTACCTCAAGGCCATAACGGTGTTCATAGTAAGAGTATAGGTAAGGTATACATATTTGTGTTTTCTTATGACCTGCAAAAGTTTATGCTTTCACTTGTGGCTGAAAAAATATCAACTTCTTCAGGTCATTGGGTGAGACAAATATGTTATTTGAAAAACCAAATGTCCCTTATATTAAGGATTGCCCAAGTAAAGAATATAGTTAACTGTTGACAGACACATGTATATTTCTTACCAAACTTATAATTATGATGATTAACCTAACTTTATTGAAAACAAACTTGTAGTATTTATCCCCCGGCATATAATGCCAGGTGATATAGCGATCAGCCAGTCTGTCTGTCCGTCCGTAATCATTTCCTTTTCTGGGGCAGAACTCGAAAATAATTCAGTGTATTTGATCGAAACTTAGCATATCTACCAGTCACATACTGAAGTTGTGCCTTTTGCTATTAAGGAATTTTAGAAATTTTAATTTTTGTACGTTTCCATGGTAACAAGTTGGACTGAGGTTCTATAAGGGTGGTGTTCGTTTCAGGTGCGTAACTCAAAAACCGTGAAATACTTTCTTACAAAACTTTGCATGTCTACCAGGCACATACTGAACTGGTGCCTTTTGCTATTTAGGAATTTTAATTTTTTAATTTTTTACGTTTCCATGGCAACAAGTTGGATTTAAGTTTTCATATAGGGTGGGTTCACTTATGGAGTATAACAAATAAACTGTTAAATATTTCCTTGCCAAACATTGCATGTCCATTCATAAAGTACATACTGAACAGGTGCCATTTGATATTAAGGAGTTTTAGAAACGTTTATTTTAGAATTTCCATTGCAGCTATTTTGACATGGGCTAAGAGAAATGTTGGGTCAGTTACCTGGTTTGGGACCATAACGTGTTAAAATGGGTGGTGGATATAGATGACTTCATTGACTATACGCTTGTTTCTTGTAATTTGTCATTTGTTTGCATTAAAACAAAACACAGAAACACACGTTTTACTTTCCATTTCATGTGGATGCGATCATGGTGGATCTTTTGTTGGTAAACAATGTATGTTTCTTAAAGAACTTTCTTGACTCATTACATACAGAATTGCACATTTACTTGTGGTTACTTTACAGACAGCTGCCGGGGGGGTATGTCATCTTTCTGATGACTCTTGTTTAATTAATAATATTAATAATAAAAACATGATCTTACTGTCTATTTCAGGCATGGCGTGGTTACAATGGCAATGTGTACTTTGAGCCGATCTCAATTAAATCAGTTTCAAAGGGGAAGGCCACTGACCCCAGTGATGCAGTTCAAGCAGCTCAGCTGGCGAAGTATGACCCTCGTCTCGGGGTCTCCAGTTACACACCCAGTGCCAGGCCTGCCTCGACACCACCCTCACGCTCCAACACAAGAGAGTCCATACGTAGCTCGGTGACTCGACGACCCATCACACAACGACAAATGACTGTGTTCGATCGTGGGCCGGGCACGCCCAACTTCAATCCACGTCAACAAGAGAACCTGGCCTGGGTTGAAAAACAACAGGAGACCGGTAGCCTGGCGATGAGGCCACCCAGCTCATCGAGTCGGGAGGCAAAACTAGCAGCATGCAACCGAGAAAAAATTGTAAAAGGATCAGTAGTGCAGAGGTTACGTGAACAAAAACAAGCCGGGCTGAGGAAACCTCAACTCACTGTGAATGGTGACAAGTTTACACCAGCGCATACCATGTCCCCGCTGCTCCGTACACAGACTCAGTATTCCCATAGCAACCAGCGGATGACGATGAACAGCCCCGATCCGCATCACAGCGTGTACGATCATCTTCCTCCCCTGGACCAGATCCGGGCCAGCTTACGTCACATGGAACACGTGGACAGTATGAGTGAGCCGTCCTACAACCGACTGTCACCGTACGGCAGAAAGGTCACCCTCACCGATGAACTGAAACCTTTCATCAAATACAGCCCCGATATCCGTGCCAAGTACTTGAAACGGGTGCAGTATCTCACATGAACACCCCAGACCCGTGCTGTGATTTGAAATGATACATTCTTCCTTGATGTAGATGTGCTGACACGGATCGGATTTAGTCCATGGATCTATTTATCCTACGTCATGATCTTGTTAGATCATTTACTCATAACAGTACCTCCATTTGTGAAGATCTGCGGACACCTCCATCTGAGGCCAAGTCAGGTGTACGTTCTAATCAGCCAATCAGCATCATTGCTTCTGTAAATTCTGTTTGAGGGAGCAAAAAATACAGACCAGCACATCCGATTGCTGTATCTTGAAACTGAAGGTGAAGGGCAAGTTACACATGTGAATAATAAAGGTGCACCATTTTATTTTGTGGATATTTTGCGCACCGTGATGTTGCTGAGCACCATTGCATCTTCACCCATTGGGAGTACCATCGAAGGAATATTTGTATTCTCTGGGTTTTCTTTTGTTATGAAATGAAAATTTAATAAGCAAGATTGCAAGAAATAGTTTTAGAAAGATGACATCTGATTGGCTCAAGAATACATGTATCCTTCATTTACCGTAGGTTGAGTGGTCAAAGTTCTCTCCGCTTTCACCTTAGCAACCTTTGGTGGTGTTTTCAGATCTTCCTGTAGAGTGGTATCAGAGAAGATCATTACAGATCTTCATGGTTATATTTCAGTGTTTTGAAACCATGATAACATTTTGATATTTTTGTTGCCATAAGTCTTTAAGTGCTTGAATTTCATCATCCCTGAATTGAGAACTGTATAAAATTTCACAGAACTCATCACTGTTTGTGTTGACATGTTGGTTTATTATCATCAGATCTTTCTTGGTGACATCAGGGTGATTTAGTAGCCAGACTGGCCATGGCAAAAACCTTGGTTCGATTCCCAGATTGGGTACAGTGTGTGAAACCAGTTCTTGGTCCCCCTGCCATGATTCTGCTGAAATGCTGCTAGTGACATAAAACCCCACTGAACGTCCTCGCCATCCTACATTCCTCTCAACCCTTTTGTCTCTCCCCACTCCCCAAGGAAAGGTAAATAATTTTCAAATTAGATGTTCGGATGAATTCATCATCATGAACACACCTAACAACTCTATGATCAATTAAACAGATTTCATCTTAGTTCCTGCCCAGTGACGCTGAATCCAACAAATTATTTGACTTGTACAGGCAAGGTTTAACTGAACAATACCGGTCATGTTATTCTAACTTGTTTGGTGTAATTTTACTTGTGGATAACGTGGAGTGTCAATGATATAACTATACAATGCTCAAATATTGCACATGAATGTCATGGCGAAAACTGGTAGCATGCATCATGTTCCTTCCACCTTCCTTGTGATGTGTTAATCAATGTATTGTCAAATAGCAGAAGGAAGATATTATGCAGGAATGTTTTACTGATTCAAGTGGTGCTTGACATGATCAGAACCAATGCTTGATGGAGGATGTCTGCTCTCTGTAGTCAGAAGTTTGTTCTTTTCTGAGATAGGTAATGTTAATATCCATATGATTTAATCAAACTTTCAATTTGAAAATAAGGGGTAAGGATGCATTGAATTGTATAACATCATTATTTCTAGATTTTCCTTTTTTAGCGAAAGTGTAATACTGTCCACATTTATGTAGCTGTAGTTTGTAATGTGCAGAAACATTCTTTTCATGACAATTATGTAACTTTTTATCATCAAAACTTTAAGGAATTGACTTTTGACTGATTCTCAGCTGCACTAATGGTTTTGTTAAAGGACTGATTCATAATCTTAATTCTGCAGTGAACACAAATTCTCAAAAGCAGACATCCTTAACGTTGCTATGCCTTGTCGACTGATCAGTTGCAGTGTGCCAGCATCACATCATATTTTGTATATTACCGATGGATGCCATCGTAGTGTTCAGTTTACTGTACATAGATATTTATTAAAAATAGATTTCATGAGAATTAAATAGTTGATCACTTGTACTTTTTCTTCATTTGGTTTAGACTATATCGTAAATATGCATATTTATTACTTAGAATACTCAGCTAATCCAGAGACAGTTCTTGACACGGGAGTTAGTTGTACAGGGAGTAGTATTCCATCGTTGTGACAATTTTCCTTGAAGAGCCAATAGTCTTGATACATTTTTAAAACAAATTATTCTTAACTTTGTTTTTCTTTTTGCTAAGAATTTGTAGACTGATATATTATGGGCATTTGCACTGTACGGGAAATATTTGTAAAAGTATTTTCGTGAAAGTAACATCTATTACTTTGATACTGTCAGAAAAAAGATGGATTCTATATCACTTTAAGGGTTAGAACTTAACACCAGTTAGCTAGGCCAGGGCTAGTACATATTTCCCAACTGTTTTAATATTACAAGGGCATTTTATCTCTATGCAGGCAAGTGAAGCTTTTGAGTTTAATTCTAACCCTGACCTTAGACTTTCTGATTGGTCAGTCATGCTGTTTGACAGGTGCCAATAGGGTAGCCTTATGTCCTCAATATGTAGGGGTAGTAGGGTAGCCTAGTGGTAAGTGTTCATTCACAGCATTAAAGAGCCTAGTTTGAAACCTGAAATAGGAACATATGAAGCCCATTTCTGGTGTTCCCAGCATAACATATCTAGAAGTAGAATATATTCACTCATAATATATTCTATCATTAATCAACACTGAAATACTCCTCACTAGTCAGAATTAAATAGCATAAATATTTCATAAGTTATTGTATGTTTTTTTTAAAATAATTAGTAGCTTTTCCATTAATTATCTGTCAGTAGCAGTTACTAATGCCTTGGAGTTTGTTCATTTTGATATTTTTCCTTTTACTTAGTCAAGATCAATAGTTGTGGAATGCTTTGTACAAATGATATGTTCTTTTGTTTTACGTTTATAGAATTAATTAAGATCTCTTCGAATGGGCAAGGTCACATTCAGATGCATGTTAAGATTATATTTTTGAATTTTGTCTGACCATTTACTTTTGTGGTTTACAGAGTTTGCAAATCAAAATGTATTCCGTCCAGGTATGTCCTCAATTAGTGATGTTGACATTTGTATGAAGCACTTGTCTGTGATATTATCTACATGTTCTACGCTACTGTTGAATAAAACAAGTCTGTTAGATTTATGTTTTCAATCTTCTTTCATATTTGAGAATGATCCAACAGCGATTTGTTCGTGTCATCATACAACAGCGGCTTGCAGAGTACAAGCTGCACCAGTGGTTGATTGCTTGAGCACCAACACATGCTATCAGGATCCTATACATCGGCCAGGTCACAGTGACATGCACCAGTGGTTGACGGTGAGAGCACCAATACATGCTATCAGGATGCAATACATCGTCTAGGTCACAGTGACATGCACCAGTGGTTGACGGTGAGAGCACCAATACATGCTATCAGGATGCAATACATCGTCTAGGTCACAGTGACATGCACCAGTGGTTGATGGTGAGAGCACCAATACATGCTATCAGGATGCAATACATCGTCTAGGTCACAGTGACATCCACCAGTGGTTGATTGCTTGAGCACCAATACATGCTATCAGGATGCAATACATCGGCCAGGTCACAGTGACATGCACCAGTGGTTGATTGCTTGAGCACCAATACATGCTATCAGGATGCAATACATTGGCCAGGTCACAGTGACATGCACCAGTGGTTGATTGCTTGAGCACCAATACATGCTATCAGGATGCAATACATCGTCTAGGTCACAGTGACATGCACCAGTGGTTGATTGCTTGAGCACCAATACATGCTATCAGGATGCAATACATCGTCTAGGTCACAGTGACATGCACCTGTGGATGATGGTGAGAGCACTAATCCATATTATCAGGATGCAATACATCGTCTAGGTCACAGTGACATGCACCTGTGGATGATGGTGAGAGCACTAATCCATACTATCAAGATGTGATGAGTCGTCTAGGTCACAGTGACATGCACCAGTGGATGATGGTGAGAGCACTAATCCATGCTATCAAGATGCGATATGTCATCTAGGTCACAGTGACATGCCCCAGTGGTTGATAGTGAGAGCACCAATCCATGCCATCAGGATGCGATACATTGGCCAGGTCACAATAATGGGCCGAGTACAAGGTGCACAAAGTTGACTGTGAGGGCAGCAATCCACGCTATCAAATCTGGATCAGACAATACAGTGAACAATCCACATCAAATGGATCAAATGACACGAAGCCAATCTATTAAATCTCCTCTTACAACATGCGTAGGTTGCTGTGGACCTGTCCTCACCCTCAGGGTTTGTATACATCCTCCAGGTGTCAACTATTACAATGTCATGTAAACTCTACAGTCATCACTTTAGTGAAACCTACAAGATTGGGTATGTCGGTGACAAACCTTGAGCCATAATCTGGCAAGGACCTTTAGTAAATCTAACAAAGGCAAATTTATAACAAATATTTGTACAGTAAAATCAGCTTTGTGCAAAGTCTTGCTCATGTTACCTATACATTTAACATTGTTAAAAATCCCAAACAGGCAAGTATTGAAATGTATACTGAGACACTTTTAAAACGCATATAGATTTTTTGTAATATTCAGCAAAATGGTCACAAAAAATAATAATTAAGTTGTTCTTGGTATTTTCTCATAAGAAAATCATTGTGTTTCATTATTATAAGCAACTTTTCTGCAATGAAGAATTTCAACAAACACAACAAAGTACATGAAATCTTTTAATGTCAGCATATCACAGATTAACAATGGACGGTGAGATCGTCATTTGCTGGTCAATAAATTACATTATCTACCATGGACGGAGAAATAGATCTGATGTTTTCAACAATATGAACATAACAAAGCGCTACAACTCTCATGACGTACAGATCATAGTCAGAACCTTAACAATACTCAGTTATTTACAATTTGTAAGTCTCCATTTCATGTCGTACACCCAAATACACTTGGAATGTTGCACAATAAGACACCCTAAACAGTGGGTTGTAAATTGTGAAAATAGTTTCATCAACATTAAACAAAAGCTTGAGATACCTTGCAAGTTAAAGCATATATGAAGAATATAACTGGACGGAATTCATGATTCTAGATGGATGAATGTGTCAGTTAACTTTGCATTTACCTCAAATAAAGATTTGCCATGTTTATTTACATGAATACAAGGGAAGTATAAGAAAGTTTCTGAAAAGAGATATAGCTGGTTCTCAACAAATATGTGACATGGATAGATCTTGTTGACATTTATCTGCCCAAACAGTCATTACAGCACAACACGACTGTGTGCAGTATGTGGGACTCATGATATTATCAACTAAATTTTCAAGACTCACATTCCATTTCTCAAGGCAGTACAGTGTGGGGTTTTAAGTTGTTTTACATTAGAAATAGAATGATCTGCAGAAAATATTTGCTCTAAACCTAGTGTTCTCGTTAACTCATAAATGGATAACAGAAAAGGATATTTGGACATTTCTCATCATGACAGATGAAGTTACACCATGTCTGGTGATGTTAGATCTTGACTTGTGATGTCAGACCATGTCTGTTGATGTTAGACCATGTCTGTTGATGTCAGACCATGTCTGTTGATGTTAGACCATGTCTGTTGATGTTAGACCATGTCTGTTGATGTTAGATCTTGACTTGTGATGTCAGACCATGTCTGGTGATGTCAGACAATGTCTGTTGATGTGGGTGGTTTGTCTGATCTACAGGTTGCGCAGGAAGAGCGCTGCACCACACTGCAGCCACTGACTTTGGTTTCCGCCACAAGGGATGTGGAGTCGGGCAACGATGCGGTCGCGGGCACTACTGTAGTAGATGGGGACCAAGATGCTCTCATCATGGCTGTATGGGTCGGAGGAATCCTGATTAAAAGAGAGATTCATTGTTGAATGAACAGTTCTTTACACAAATATTTTATGTCACTTCTATAGTGTTGTATGTATATATATAAATATATTTGAAATTGTGAAATTTTGTAAATACCAGGGAGAGGGCAATCTAAGTATGAAGAACTTGTCCCCCAATCCCGTTCACTTCTTCTGAATAAATATGTTTAAATCAAAACAAACAAAAAATCACTGGAGGGCAAACATGAGATGACGGATGACGATGTCTGACCATGCAACAGGTCTCTGTACAAACTGTCACACAGCCCTTACCTTAGGAACCCAGGCAACAACACATGCAGGGATGGCAGCAACACTGGGGGAGTCTCGCTGGTTCTCAGACAATCTTGACCCATCGAAGCTGCATCCCTCTAACTGCAGTCCCCCGATCTTGACCGAGGTGCGCGCCCCCTGTATGGAGCCGCGCCAGCTGCAGGCGAACTTGAGGCTGTCCATGGAACACTGCAACTCTCTGGAAACAGAGCGACATGGGGCACTGCTTACACGGTTCATCAACAGGCATTTTGCACACATGGCCATCTTTGACATACAGCACTATGTCTATGAAGGGACTAATCATTACAAAAAGAGGTGGTTCTGTTATAACTTGTCCACGGGTCTCTAGTCAGTTTATATTCCCCAAGCCAGAATCTTTGGGGCGGGAAACATGAACTAACATACAGGGTACATCAATACATGTCACCCGAAGCACCAGTGGACAACGAATGTATCTTACCGCAAGCCTTATTATATTGTAAGTATGTCTTATGCATGCATGCTTTGGTCCAAACTTGTAAGAATACCACAGATAGGTATTTATCCACTTAATTCATTTTCCACATTTAAAACAACAAAAACAAAGTTAGAGTTATTCCCCCTTGATCTATTCCCTTCGGAAAATATTGTAAATATCCAAAGATGGAGTCTTACATCATTAATTTGAGATACCAAATTGCGGTTGTTATGTTCCAAATGTAGTGCCAACAGTTTGGCAATTTGAGTGGGGAACATATGAAATGTACCTTACATGTTATTTGGGGAACATTGAAAATAATGGAATGGGTCTCAGCTAATCAGAATCTGCCATTCATGTGAAAGGTAAGACAAATGGATCTATACAACACAAGAACGCTGGTGCTCCTCACCTGGCTGTCTGTTGTCGGAGGGCGTTGAGGAAGGTGTCGGGTTTGAAGAGTTCCGACAGGTCCAGGGTGCTGCTGAGAAGACTCTGTCCCTGTGCCCTCTCCACCCAGCCCTGTATAGCCTGGGTGCGGGTGACGAGGCCGCGCAGGTACTGGATGGGGTCCTCGGGCCCGTCCCACTGGTTCAGCCAGTTGATGGGGGTCTGCACAACACAAACAGTAAACTCTAGCCACACATTTATTCAGTGTTAAGCAGGGATAATTGGCACATCTGAAAAAGACATCTAGTGTACTCCAATACACCCTGATGACTTGTTTAACTTCTCATACACCGACTGTATCAGTGAATCAAAATGTATCCTTGCATCTCCATAGTTATCTTGTCAGCATTATTAGGGCTCCACAAATAAACAACAAAAATAATGTGACAACATCCCCCACACCCTACAGACAAACAACTTTGTTCACTAGCAAAAAATTGTCATAAATCATTTAAGTAGCTGGCATATTGTGCAGAATTGTATTGCTATTTTTTTGTGTCCCTAAAGCTGAATAAAACAACCATTAAATACTCCTATCCCTTGCAGTGAGAAGTTGTATTCAGTGGCTCACCTCATGACCACAACATCCATCTAGGACTTGTTCTAAAGAGTTACAAACACTGAATAGAAAGCATTACTGTATTCGACATAATAAGTGCCCAGGGACCTCTCAAAATTAGAAAGAGGGGGCTCTTATTAGAATATAATTTGGTGGGAAAAACAGTGTTGAAAGATAAATTTCGTGGTTTATGCTGACAGACTGAAATGTAATATGCGACAGATATATTTTTCCTGAATTTAATTGCCCATAATTAAGAATGCATATAACACACGAGTGCGTATTATACGCGAATAAATAAGTCTTGTGTACATTGATCAATCGGAAGGGGTGCTAATTGGGATTGTTCACTAACCAATATATTAGCAAATATCGCCGTGGGCGCGTATTAGATACGGTAATATGTATGTTGTTCTAATTGACTAGTTTTTCTCAGTAGGAAGGTGTTACCATAAGGTCACTGGAAGCAGTGGTTCTCATCAGAAACACTGGGGTTTTCCATTTGATTCGATGGAATAACATAAAAACTTCCAGAACCAAATAAATCACCAGTTGACCTCTGACTGATTAATGGGGAGATACAAATGGTTCATGAGTTATGCTTTCATTGAATGGAACTTTTAAGACATGGCAATCATTAAAAGTTTCCGAAATTCTTAAATAGCAAAAGGCACCAGTTAATGGCCAGACTGATGTCTGTGTAAACCTGGATCAAGAAATATTGAACAGTGTGAGTTATGAGGTGGAAGGATGGACTGATGGACAGCCCCCATCCCTTTATCCCCCTGTACATCCTATACATGACAGGGTAATGAATGGATAAAGATGTTCTTTCAGATGCATTGGTGAAATAATCTAAAGGAACTAATCCTCAACAAGAACAATTTCCTCTACCATTAGTTATGTGTGTTATTTACCTCCTGGTTGAGCAAGGCTGCTGCCAGATTCTGCACCTCTTTGGTCAAGAGTTGTGTGCCCCTGATGATCTTGGAGAGCGATGCCAGGGAGGCATGCACATTCTGGACCAACTTGACGGCGTTGTAGAACTCCAGCTGGATGAAGGAGAGGATTGGGGAATCCTTCCCACCCCGCTCACCTGGGGCAGAGACCTTCATCTGGATCAGCTGGGAGCCCTGGGGAAATAGAACTGGCGCATCAGCAACATAGGAGAAAAGATTGTCAAACCTTGAGGACACCTCCGTCTGGATCAGCAGAGCACAGGCTCATAAACTGTTTTCTGGACATGTTATAAATGCAGATCTTTCGTAAAAAACTAAATAAGCTCACTGAAACAGTCTGCTACTTTAGGCACCTGTTCGAGTCCAAAATAATTCTTTCAGCCAGCACCTCTACAAATAGCCCATTAACACTTCTGAGACTGATGCCTTGCATATTTGTTGTTTAGCGCTGCACTCGGCAATATTCCAGCTTTATGATGATGGTCTGTAACCAGACAATCCAGTGATTGACATCATGAGCATTGAGTTACACAACAGGGATGCGATGACATGCATCAACCAAGTCAGAGAGCCTGACCACCTGATCCCATTAGTTGCCTCTTACAACAGGTTTTATAACGGACTGCTCTCAAGATTATCTTATCAATAACAACCTACAAGTTTTAAACTCATAAATCTCCAGTGTCTCACCTGGTTCAGTTTCTTCCACAAGTTGAGTATTGGTCCGAGCTCGTTGGCCCACACTTCCTTATCAAACTTGCTGGCCTTGACGTCAGCTCTCTGCAGGATTCTCAGCTGGGTGATGACCTGGGAGCTGATGATTCTCTGGGCTGAACGTTCGATGTTCTCCGGCAAACCAAAGTAGGATGGCTTGTCAAACTCAGGCAGGGACTCGATGGTGTCGATATAGTCCTGTAGGTGAAATGGTTTGGATTTTTAAGAACAATTTTAGAATAATGTTTTTTGTCTGATATAGATTAACTAGGCACCAAAAGAAACTGAAATGATTTGATCTTTTGCACAATTTCTCTTGGTACCTAGTATATATACTTAACATATGTTCATCAATACAAGTGGCAGTCGGGTAGCCTAGCGGTTAAAGCGTTCGCTCGTCACGCTGAAGGCCCGGGTTCGATTCCCGAGATGGGTACAATGTGTGAAGCCCATTTCTGGTGTCCCCCGCCGTGATATTGCTGGAATATTGCTAAAAGCGACATAAAACCAAACTCACTCACTCATCAAGAGAACTAAAATACAACATATGAATCAACTGTGTGTGGGGTGTAGGTTCTCTTTGAGAAACTGTTACCAGACGGTGGCGCTGGTTCCACCATTGTGGAGAAAGGTCTGGGAATCAATGGTAGAAAGGATGACAAGAATGACAAAATGTATAAATATTTCATTACACACAATACATCAGCAGTTTGACAAGTGTCTTGTACAAACACCAGGGCCCACTTGCAAATGCAATCTTAGCACTAAGATGATCGTAACTCCCATACTTTAACATAGACTTACAATAGTTGTTGCGCTAAGATCCCTTTGTGCAAGGGAGCCCCGGTCTCATTGTAACCAATTATCTTCAGTCGACACTTTACACAAACATGGGGTACTTGTGGTCTAGTCTGGCCTGGAATACTCATGGGGCTGAGATTTGAAGGTTGGGATCATACGTTGAGCAATGATCCAGCTCATCAAGGCATGATGGTACGTACACAACCAACCAGGTCACACATTGTTACTACCTGATCCTCACAAGATGACTCTAATGACATCTATTCTGACTGGAATCCCCATGGGGTTGAGGTTTGAAGAAGACTCTTTTCCTATGACAATATTTTTGTCAGGGTCACGATGTCAAACTATTTTACCATGAAATCATACACATGCATATCTGAGAAAATTCCATAACAAAAGGTATAGTCCTCCATACTTACTCGAGCATTGGTGGAGTTGGGCAGTTTGAGTGGTCCAAGGCGTTTATTCCGCCCCTGTGGTGACAGGACGTTGACGTCAAACAGCTGCTTGAGATAGGACACCATCACCCGGATGTCAAATGGGTTGTCGACACGGCCACCGTAGATCGCGAACTCAAACAGGCCATGTATGAAGAGGTAGTTCAAGTCTTGACCTGTAAGAGAGTTGTAGGATAAATGCAAACAGAAGCACCATTCACTGACACGATCAACCAATCGACATCCCTACTGAAGTGGTGAACTACACACCAGTGTTAAACATCAACTGATAATGCTGATTGTGACGTACCTCCACTGCTGCAGAGTCGATCAATGATGTCGGCTCCGGCCCTCAGATCCGAGAGAGAGAACTCGTAGAACTTTGTCCATCCCTGTGAAGTAATGTGCAAATACAGACACACTGACACTGTGGTGGAGATCCATTCATAAACTGTACCAATGTCAAAATAGGGTATCCTTTATTTCCTCACAGTACTCAGATGTGCGCACACAGACACAGACACAGACACAGACACAGACACAGACACACACACTCACACAAAAAAACGGGGTTCTATTATACTCAAGTGTCTATTATCCACACAGTCAGTGCCAAAAACGTTTGAACCTGGGAATTGTATTCTGGAACACTTTTAAGTAGATCTTAGTATCAGTTTATAGACTTGTATTAACTGATCTTAGTAGACCAGAAGAAATTTTACTAGAATCAAGCTTGGGGCTAGTGGACTGTACACCAGAAGATATGGAACCTATTGTCTATTTCTACTGTTTGTTGAAGCAGCTGGACTGTCCTACCTGTGGTATGTACATGCGTCTCTCCTGTACGATGGCGTGGAACCATGCCAGGGCAAACAGGGCCTGTGACCGGGTCACGTTACCGCCTCGACTAACATATTCTGGTGACCATGACTCATACGTTCGCATCAAGTTCCTCTTCACACCTGGTGGAGCCTGAAAACAGAGGAATCATTACACTTACATTAACATATACTACCAAAGAATGACTACAAAAACAAGGTACTGAAGGAAGAGAAAAGAATGTAAATTGAATGGACACTGATCTGTTGGCTGGGGTAATTTGTATGTGGTTAATGCAGGCTTTGTGTGGAGTTATCCTCAAACAAATGTACATATTAATCATCATCATCATCATCATCATCATCATCATCACTTTCTTGATAACAGTGTTAGATTCTACACTGAAACGTCGCTCCAAATTGTAATAAGTTGTTCATCCATATATCTCATCCTTACTTCATCATCATCGACCTCATCGATATCTATCATCATCATAATCATGATTATTATTATTATCATCATCATCATCACCACTTTAATTAATTCCACACTCTGAGCCAACACTACCAAGACTGCAATCATCATCATCATCATCATCATCATCGTCGTCATCATCGTCATCATCTTCTTCATCATCATCGATATCTATTATTATTATTATCATCATCACACTAATTAATTCCACACTCTGATGAAGTTTCACCTCGTATGTGACCTTGAGACTGGACTGGAGTAGGATAGTGGGGAATCGAGGGTGGACCTCGGCTGTCAACCACAGTCGGAAGTCAGCGTGAGCCTTGAGCGTGTTCATCTCCTGCAACATTGACATAGCAGGCATGTAATAATGATAATATGCCAGTCCCTGGAATCTACATACAGATTATTAGGTACAACAACTTGTGTACAGAGAGTAGGCCAAACTACAACCAACCTTCTCCAACTGAGGCAACCAAGCAGTCACAAGATGAAGATTCTTCAGACACAGCCAGTCTCCATTTTGAGAACACTCGTGTAGCAACTGCATGGCAATGTCAGCCTGACCTTGACCCATAGCAACCTGTAACATAAGGTCAAGGACATTAATGGAGGTAATCACATACTTATAACACACAATCTGGCTCCATATATAGCGTTCAGTCACTGACCTGGTGGTACTTGTCGAGTCCGACTGTTTCCCCAGCCATGTCCTGCAGCTCCTGCGAGGGATCAGCTCCGGGCGATATCAGGATCAGCACCGGCTCAGTCGCTATCGTCTCCTGATACAGTTTCTTCAAGCTCACACTTGCAGGAGACAACTCACGCAGTTCTGTATTTGGAAATAACTTCTGGTATTAATAACCAATATTGAAGAGATTAATGTAGCCATATTGCAGGGAAGGCAATAAATCAAATTGAAATGGGAATCCGATCAAGTTCTCTTGCAATAAATGCATACTAACTAACTCCTTAGATACCCAACCACTACTTGTGAACAAAGGAACATATGTACTGTGAAATAACATTAAATATATTATGTGACATCAAGAGACAGCATCCTTTAAGGCAGACAATATCACCTACAATTTATCTATATCTATTCAAAATAGTACACCAGTTTATGGTTTAAAAAACTAGTATGTAACCAAATAAAGAGTTGTTCAACCAAATAAACAGTAGCGTACAATCAACCTGGGAAAGGCCTACATAAATGTATTCCTTGATGAGTAAATTATTGGAATAAAGTATTTGACTACCCTTGGACTTGAAATATTTAAGGTTTTTTTATATCTAAAAAAAAAAAATGGAAATAAAAACGAAATGGGCGGGAAACTTTAGGATGATGTGGGCGGTGCCTGAGAACCAAGACTATTATTTTTTTTAGCCTAAACATCACAGACAATGAAGTATTTTCCCCAAAGAGCCAAAACTACAACTACTGCAAGCATGCAACACCGAATTCATCAGAGAAACTTGCCAGTCATTACTACACTAATTCGTTTCAAAACGTGGTCAGTGTCCTGGCTTAAGGTTCTAAATCTATTACTCAAAATGTCCTTCAAAATTGTGCAATCAGCAATATCGACTGACCAAGGACTTGGCACGCAAACTGGCTCATGGCACTCTGTAGGCGGTCCGGCCGGGCAGCCTGGATGACCAGCAGGTGTTGGAACAGCGACGTCTTCTTGGTGACCATGGATGGCAGCTCCTGCTCACAGTTGCTGCTGCGGGCAAAGTTGGACCAGAGCCCAGAGTCGTCCAGACTCAGCTGGTTGTACAGGTCGGGGAAGTTGGCCTGGAGGGGAGGGACATCCGTTACAGAATCTCCACACATGAGGCAGCAGAGCATCAAACATCAGTAAGGTACACTCACTAGTCAATGACCTTCACTTGTAATTAGTGGTGATGTTCTAATGACTGATTATGTGAAACACTGATTTAAAGATTGACAGTGTTTAAAGTAGCTTTGCTTACATATTACCTGTTGATTTTCATGCTCAATTCCAAAACACTGATCGTGTTGGTTAGTAATATCGCATTATCCACACATCAGAAGTTACCATACCAGTTCTAATATTGCTTAGCTTAACTGACCTATGCATAGCAAACCATAAGACTTGAATAGCTGCTTTCAGCAATATTCCAGCAATAAATCTCTCTGGGGGACACCAGAATGATTTTTGAACATAGGGACTTAAAACCCAGGACTTTAGCCTGAGGAGCAAACACTTAAACCACTAGGCTACCCTTGCCCCAAAATAAGACTTTTCATAAGTCTTTCATAAAATACAAATTAACATATCTGCTTGAGGTCTCAAAGAAGATTATTTCCACACTGAAGATGAACATCACCAAGGCAACCCACCTTGAGTGAGGCTACAGCACCAGCTCTCTCCTGGTCCACCCATGACGGCGCACTGCGCTGCGCGTCAGACTTGATGTCCGCAACCAGTGTGCCCGAGAAGCCCTCCCATTCCTGGAACAAAGCATGTAGTACAAATATACATATTCTAGATCGTTTCATATTTATCCAAACATACTGAAATACATACAAAAACAAGCGCACAAATCAATAACGACATACTCGATTGTAGAATACCAGACACTGCCACTTTTGTAAGGTATTGACTTCTTTCGGCTGCAGCTATGTTATCATAAATAGGATCATGACAACTTCTTCATTGGCTGCTTTGATAACTTTCTTATCCTTACTGACTTTAATGGCAGATGTTTACATATTTGCAGCATTTTATGTATTTGTTGAGAAGTCAACAAATAATCCATAAAACTTCCCCCCTTTCATTGTTGAGATTGCATTCAAAGACGATTGGTTGTGTATTACGCAACATGCATGACAGTTTGTATTTGTGCACAAATTATCCCCCATAAACGGCATATTTTGGTGTGGCATATTTGATAATATTGCACAAGGATAGATTTATCTCTGAAGCTATACAATATTCTAAACTTAACAGTTACTGTGTTTAACTTACATTTTCCTTGAAGAGATCTGGTTTCATGCCATGGACCATATGCATGGCAAACATGAGACGGTCGGCCTTGAAGAGCGAGCGACACACGTACTCATACACCATGTGCATCAGCTTGCGAGACAGGGTGTTGATTCTCATCTCCGTCCCACTCCCATCCTGAAATACACAGACAGATACAGCCTATACTAACTACTCATTGAAACATACTCAAACATCACTGAAGAATTGACCTTCACTTTGTGTGAGTTCACTGGAGTATGAACCTTCATAGAGTGAGGGCCAAACTGTATGAACATTGGAGTCCAAGATTAAAGGGTCTAAATGATCAGAAACAACGCTTCTCTGTGTATTCATGCTAGGGAATTCCCAGGATTTTCCCCAAGAATGTGGAAGTAGTCCTCCAGTGTTACGTCATTTCAAGAATAGTCTCATGAAAAACGTGTGTACGTCAAATTGTGTCATTCATTCACTTATGAATGTCAATTTCGCGGTCATGTGACCGACCTCTCGTCCAAAAGAAAAGTTGTATATCGTGTAAACTTCAAATTAAAAAAACAAAATCCAAGAATATTGACTTAGATCAATGAATTCTGGAGCAGGTAAGTCTGTGGCTAAACTAGGAAGTTTGTTATGAGTGAGTTGACCTCTAGGCCACGATCCACACAGCAGTGTACAATAACACTTGATCAGCTGGCTGACACTGTTACAACCTCATTATGACTACCAGCATCGGATGCTGGGCATATATTTTACCCCAGAATCCCCAAAACAAACAATATGTCCACCAAACCCTTTTTTAACAACTATGGTGATTCAGGACAGATGTTGTCACTAAATACCTCATGAAAACAATGCCTTTCAATTTCAAAAAGACACATATGAACACAGTATTCAGATTGTCTTATTTCTAGTCATCCATTTTGTTTATGATATGAAAGATATATGATATCAAAAGTTGCTGAAAACTTCCTAAAGCCATTTGTTTCTTTAAAAAAATACTTATCGATGTTTATGCTGGACAACGTCATCCAAACCAAACATCAAAATGATTAACAAATGTAAAATATTACCATTGTCCTACTTTGAGTAAACATCAGTGTCTGTAAATAGTGCTATCATAATGTAAACAACTGATATATTATTTTGTTTGATAGGCATTACTTAGAAGTTGACGGATGACAAAGTAGACGCAATTTATGGATAACAAGTTCTTTAATACTGTAAAAAGCGATGTTTCGGTATAGATCCTTATACCGTTGTCCTTGCTTGACAAAGGTATAAGGGTCTATACCGAAACGCTCTTTTTACAGTATTAAAGAAGTTGTTATCCATAAATTGTGTCAACTGATATATTACTTACATGTTTCGTTTGAAGTGCTCGCTGGAAGATTCGGAGGAAAGCAGCAAGACTGAAGCGGTACATGTTGTTGATCTTGGAGAGATCGCTGATGACGAAGAACAACATGCTTCCATTCTTTGCCAGGCCAAGATACGTGTTCCTCTCCTGCATCATTCAGAGTGAGTGAGTGCGCGAGTGAGTGAGTGAGTGAGTGAGAGAGCGAGCGGTGTTAATGATTTAATCCTAGTCATGTAACTTTGGTTATAGAAGGCTTGCATGGTGAGGTGGGGTTTAACTTCACATTCAAGATTTTTTCACTTACATAGCAACATGCATGCATGTGTTATGTGTGGCTGCATGTACTAACCCAGACTTATGTTGGTGCCAACCTCTGAGATACCAAGTCACAGTTTAACAGAATTCCCGACTCAGACACTTATTGATTCTGAGCAGGCCAGTCTGTGTTTCATCCCCTTAATACCAAGCGCATACCATTTGGTATGACATTGCCAGGGGACTGAACCACCGACCTACTGCTCTCTGGGCAGATGCTCTATCCACTAGACCACAAACAGTGAGCAAGTGGTGGGTAAGGTGCAGGGTAAATGCATGCCTGAATGTATGATGCTATACATGAACAGCCTAGCAGAGATTTGTCCTGCTGATAGACAGGAGAATTAAATTCTTTGCTTTATTCAAAACGTGTGAAAAAAGAAATTTAGGCTGAAATATTCCCACTATTAGTGGAGTCTCATTAATCCATTTTGACTGGAATCTATCCCAACTGTCAACATAAACAGAAGCCTGCTTAACAAAAGACATAAATGGAAATAGCATTTCTTGTAATGTTCTTTTTGCTTTTTAGATACTCTTGGTCAAAATACCAAAATGAAGCAGTGTTTTGCAGGTAATATAAAAAGTTAAACACCTCTTAAATGAACATTTAACAAACCTACCAAACAGTGTCCAAAAAGCCTTTTTACAATCAAATGAATTTCTCAGGCCATTTATTTGAAATATTTAGTGTGAATTTATGCATAAAAGAAGAAAGTAACTGGTCTGGTGTAAATACACTGGTGTTAAACTGACCTGGTCGAGTGATGCCTGCAGCCTGACAGACTCGTGCAGGGAGTCGGAGATGGTGATGCTGCTGGCCTTGGTCTTGTTGAGTGAGTCCAACAACTCCTTGTTCTCCAGGATGTTCCCCTTGGCACTCGCCAGCTCCTGAATAGCAACACAAGAGTAATGTACTTAACACAATGCCATGGTATTGTGTGAAGATAGACATCAATCAGTCACAGAATTACATCTGAAACCTGAAATAAAACATTGATTCATTCCCCGAGAGCAGATGATGTAAATCACTGGATTGTCTGGACCAGACTCAATAATTTACAGACTGAAATAATACAGCTGGAATATTGTTCAGTGTGGCATTAAACAATAAACAAACACTGAGTACTTGTATTTAAGGACTGCAAATTTCATTTGGAACCAACAGAGTGAGTTTCAAATATCAGCATTCCTGGCATGAAAATCCTCAGTGCAGCCCCACTGTGTCATCGCCCCTCACCTCCAGCAGGGAGTCCTCCAACTTGGCCAGCTGGATCTTCAGGTCCTCCTCTTGCTTCAGCAGCTCCGTCTTCCGCACCTCCAACTCCGGCTTCTCGTGCTGCAGCGTCATCGCCAGCAGCTGGAGCAGACATTCACCAGACATTGTAGCTACAATATGCGATGTCAGTAAAATCAGACCTCATAATCCTATAGGATACTTCTCTGCATGGGTCGGACATCCCGCCAATAGGAAGTCATGATTCACCTGACACAACCTCCTGTGGAAGTATGTGAGATCATCATACAGATCTCTTAATCCCATATCCTATATCTCTGTGTAAAGATCTGACAAACCTTTCACTGTTCAGGGCTCACCCGATATGACCTCCCATGTACTGTTTTCAGATCTTCCTGCAGAGAGCTTTTATTTAAGACATAAACAATGAGTGGGAGTTGTTGCGCTGAGGGTACGATAAACAACGACCACAAGTTGTTTGTTTCTCATACGAGATATCAACATTATGTACAGCCTGTTTAAGGATGATGATAAAATGTATAAGCTTTATTATAATTACCCGAATTTAAAAAATGATCATTCCCAAAATAGAATCCGACATCAGCAATGCCAAACAAGTCCATTATATGCACAGGTGGGTACTTCCTGCACATTCTCACAATCCTCACATCTATTAGCTGTACCTTTTCTCCCAATACTGATTGTCATATCTCTCCGCGTTTTGATGTGATCATTCGGCCATCGCATTTATCTACATTGCCCAGCTTCATCTATTGGAAACAACTCACTAGACACTCCCTCAAAAATAATCCAATTTATGACATCATCAAGTTGCAAGCACATGTTCGAATCTCCAGAAATGACGCCATGAAAGAACAACTTACTTGCAGCTACAGTATTCAATCAGAGACACAGCAGTATACACTTGACTTAACTTCTGCATTAACACTGACTGACTGGTCATTATGAAAACTTTCAAGTTGGACAATTTAACAAAGGGATAATTGGTCACTCAGTAAGACACAATGTTAGACAATATGTCTGATCAGCTGAGAGCACATGTGTGGACTCAGATTGAGTGTCCATCCACTGACCTGGCCAGTGAGTCCGGCCCTTGTGGTGGTGAAGTTGACCTCGGTGATGACCGATGCTGCATCCGGGGGGACCTCTGGACTTGGGTTCCTCGTGGTCAGGAACAGTCGGAACTCTTCATTGTAGTCTATTGTCTTCTCTCCGATCTGGACAACATAGCGAGGGCCTGGCACAAGAAGAAACTTCCAAATGAAATTTAAAAACATGCTTGCAGAGCTTGCACCCTAAACAAAACATCAAAGCATGGTATATTGGGATCTGAAGGTCCAAATCCCAAAATGTATTTGAAAAAAAATTGTCATCAACGTGTTTTGACATGAAAAAGACACAATGCAAGTACATGAAAAATCACCTGCATCACATGTAAATTTGATTGGCAGAATGTTGCCTAATTTCGTGTTGTACAGAAGTTTTACAGTTGCTCAATTGTACTTTTAGTAGTATCAACAGTTTATGACATGCTGACTTATCTACCTTAATATTTGAATTCCATAACATAGTGCTTCTGGTTTCATTCAAGATTCATAGACTGTAGTATCATAACAGTCGATATTGTATATATTATATTCAGTTGTATTACAATGTGTGATGAAAGAGGGAAATTTATCTGTTGAATAGGATCTGAAATATGGAGTCATGGAATGGAGGTGAGACTAGAGTGTACCAAAATGATTAAAGGTCTGCCTATACTTTATCTCCATCAATATCACATTCAGCTATTGTTCATTCTTAAATAGCTGGTTAAATTTCTTCAAGCCAGTCAACGAGGTCTACACATAATGAAATTCTCCCAGCTGACTCACCCTGAGCTGTGAGATCGCCCCTCAGCAGTGGGTACAGAACCGGCTCAATGCCGTCCATCTCCTGGATGATAAGAGTCTTGCCAAAGCGGACAGCCAGTTCCAAGGCAGTGCTGAAGTTGGCATCCTGTTGGTTGACTATCTCCAGGCGGCTCTCCTTCAGGTGCGTCTTCAGCCATTCTGTCGCCCGCGACGACGGGTCAATCAAGAATGGACGCAGTGAACTCTGCAGAAAATAGACATATTAAGGAACATCACCTATGAAGCAGTCTTTTGCATATTCTGTGATAATTTAACAGACACTATATGGGTAATTTTATACAATGAATGAGTGAGGCCAAACACAGTTATGTGAACATATTGCCAAGTGTGGAGTGTCACTTAAGCTTGTTTACCTTGTAACCTATCAACCACAGCATTAGAAATTGGCACTAGTCCTATAGTCCTTGCCAAACTTCCCAATAGCTGAAGGTATCATAAGGACTAGTAGAAATTTGTCATTATTAAGGGTTTTGCTATATGATATCATCATAAGGACTAGTAGAATTTTTTCATTATTGGGGGTTTTGCTATATGATATCATCGTAAGGCCTAGTAGAAATTTGTCATTATTGGGGGTTTTGCTATATATCATCATAAGGACTAGTAGAAATTTGTCATTATTGGGGGTTTTGCTATATGATATCATCATAAGGACTAGTAGAAATTTGTCATTATTGGGGGTTTTGCTATATATCATCATAAGGACTAGTAGAAATTTGTCATTATTAAGGGTTTTGCTATATGATATCATCATAAGGACTAGTAGAAATTTGTCATTATTAAGGGTTTTGCTATATGATATCATCATAAGGACTAGTTGACTAAAAATGTTAGTTTTGACTGCTGATCCAGCAGTTTAATATAATGTATGCGTAATGTATTGTAGCAAGCACATAAACCTGCATTCAGTAAACTAGAAAAAAGTGATTTTTCAGAAGAATAAAAATCTGTTCTTATTTTATAGGGTTGGCACAATCTGTAAACTACCTCCGTAATGTTCAAGAAGTCTTGTCTTAGTGGGTATTACACAAGTACTAAACACAGGTTGTGAACACTTTGATTACCACCAACAAATCATCTCGCTGTAATGCCACACCTTCATGCAGCATTGACTTCCCAACTGTCAACACATACATTTGTCAACTTACCTTGTCCACTCAGCATGAGTCATCAACAATAACTTTATATTACGATGAAAACAATGATGATGATTTTAAGTTTCCGATTTAAAAATCATTTTATATTAATCATATAAAGTAAGACATTATTCTAATACACAATAAAGCAGCGACGTCAACATACCACAATGAACAAACACACAAACGATAGAATCAGCAACGCAAACAAGAAAAGAACACATGCTGAAAATTAAACAATTGTGAAAAGCCAATACTGGTAAACTTCACTTATAGGCTGAAAAAAACACCTCCAAAAATAATCTGTTCTGAAAATCAACAATTCAACACTGTGATGTAACAAGTACAGTAAAATGACCAATTAAAAGAAAGGACATATATTAATAAAAGGGAGTATGCAACATCCAATAAAAGTGAAGACTATTGAATTAATGTTTGTAGAGTAGGGAGACTTATTGACTCTGTAAATGCTAAATTTGGATTAGATTCTCAATTAGCTACAGTGAAACCTTGCTAACTCAAAGTCCTAGGGACCTCGAAACCATTTAAAGTAAGGACAAAGAACCACACCGATAAAGAATCCCCTGGACCATGAAGACGGTGTTAGAAATGAAGAGAGGTTTCAGGGGCCATTTACACTTCCTGCTGTTGTATTCGAATCTGGGGACCCACTAAATCTGAAAATTTTAACATGAAGGTAACGACAAAGACCCCATGCTAAAGTTCGAACCCAGTAAATGATATATCAAGTTCCAGGAGTCCGAGTTAAAAAGGCTTCACCATTATCACTTCTGTTTGATACTGAAATAACCATATACAAATTTACCTGATTTGAATATGACTATATTTATCTAATGTGCTCAGGGGGCAAGGGTGGCCCAGTCGTCTAAGGCGCCGCGATTCGCACTGCAGAGTTGCGTCCCTTGGGCACGCCAGAAACCTATGATTGTGGGTTCAAAACCCGGTTCACCCCGATTATGTTTCTAGGTTTGTTACCCGTGCTCGTGGGTTTCACCGAAGTGGTAAACGTCTGAGACCTGCATCACTTCGGGCTTTCCTCCCACATTAAGCTGACACGCCGTGATATAACTGGAATACTGTTAAAAGCGGCGTTAAACCCAACTCACTCACTCACTCACTAATGTGCTCACACTCAAATATTGTTATATCCACTTATTCTCCTTGTGTGTGTGTGGATGAGTTGAGACAACAGCACAATGATGGCAGCATAAAGCAGTAAGCTACCTAGGAATGAATCCAACAGGTAATAGAATTAATACCGCAACACAAGAACTGACAGAAAAAACACAGCATGTAGCTTTCCTCCTTTGTGCAAAGAAAAAAGTGGATTTAGGAAGAGTGGTTGAATCAACAAAAGCGCACGGCCCGAGCAGGACCTTCGAGAAAAAAATATTTGTTAACATCAGCCATAGTGGACGCATGAAAAAGCCTGTCCATTAGAACCCAATACAGTTGGTGATGAAACGGGGCAGGAGTGATGGGTGCAAGATGTATCATGTGTGGGTTGATGAAGGAAACGAGGCAGGTGAGAGATGTGATGACTTCACACGATGGTGGTGGCAGAACTCAATCAGGAAGCAGTGCACAGGTTTAGTAAGTGTCTTACCCCAACTGGTAGGTTGTTGATCTGGCAGAGAAAGTGTTCGGTTATTTTATGTTACAGTGCACATGTCACTGTGTCACTCGTTGTCATAGTAACAGTGATGACATTGTGCCACCTGTTGTCATAGTTACAGTGTACACTTAAATGGCATAAAACCACTCAGTTACAGTTACAGTTGTGCCACTTGTCAGTTACAGTATACTGATTGCATTGTGCCACTTGTCATAACTGTGGTATAAGAGCAGGGTATTACACTATTTGCAATCTGTTGTCACGGAAACAGTGTCAATGGGTAGACTATGCACCTAGATGTCATGGTTACAATTCTTACAAGGAATACCTTCCAAGGACTGTCTGAGCAAGGCATTGGCTGCATGAAGCAACATCCAGTCAATGTTCTGCAATATGTTGTTATTGTTACAATACATAAGCAGTGTTCTGCAATCTGTTGTTATGGATACAATACATAAGCAGTGTTCTGCAATCTGTTGTTATGGTAATATCAACACATTGCTCTGCAGCCTGTTGTTATGGTAACACTATCTAAGCAGTGTTCTGCAATCTGTTGTTATGGTAACAACATCTATGCATTGCTATGCAGCCTGCTGTTATGGTAACAATATCTTCGCATTGCTATGCAGCCTGTTGTTATGGTAACAATATATAAGCAGTGCTGTGCAATCTTGTTATGGTAACATCTATGCATTGCTATGCAGCCTGTTGTTATGGTAACAATATCTTCGCATTGCTATGCAGCCTGTTGTTATGGCAACAATATTTAAGCAGTGCTCTGCATTCTGTTGTTATGGTAACAATATCTATGCATTGCTACTTAGCCTGTTGTTATGGTAACAATATCTAAGCAGTGTCCTGCAACCTGTTGTCATGTTCACTAGTTGCCAAGTGACCTACAGCGGTATTGTAGTGTGGTCAATACACAGTCAGTACAGCCGCACAGAACAGAAGCAGAGATTAATCCAAGTGTTAATGCATCTTCAGTCTACAGGCACATGTGGTGCTGTTATTGGCAACATCCTCCCTAGATGATGAATCATCATGAACATTTATAACACCATGTCTACATAATGAAAAAACCATCTGTAGCAAGGAACAATAACAAACTCCAACAATCTTAACATAACTGCCTCGGTTACCTTCTTACGACTGAAAACCAACTTATTCCTCTCATCCTGTAACATACCATTCTCAGTCTCAGCCTTAAACACTCATTCATGTAAACAAAATAAATCTTCATTAAAAAATAAATTTAATAAAATGGATGTGTCACACAAGTAAAAATAGTCAAGCAGTAAGTCTAATTCTTATCTTTAATGCCTTTGAAATAGTAAGTCTAGTTCTCATCTATAATATCTTTCAAATAGTAAGTCTAGTCCTCATCTATAATATCTTTCAAATAGTAAGTCTAATCCTTATCTTTAATGCCTTTGAAATAGTAAGTCTAGTTCTCATCTATAATATCTTTAAAAAAGTAAGTCTATTTCTTATCTATAATATCTTTTAAATAGTAAGTCTAATTCTCATCTATAATATCTTTCAAATAGTAAGTCTAATTCTTATCTATAATATCTTTCAAATAGTAAGTATAGTTCTGATTTTAAATGTCTTTCAAATAGTAAGTCTAGTTCTCATCTGTAATATCTTTCAAATAGTAAGTCTAATTCTCATCTGTAATATCTTTCAAATATAAAGTCTAATTCTCATCTATGATATCTTTCAAATAGTAAGTCTAGTTCTCATCTGTAATATCTTTCAAATAGTAAGTCTAATTCTTATCTATAATATCTTTCAAATAGTAAGTATAGTTCTCATCTGTAATATCTTTCAAATAGTAAGTCTAATTCTCATCTATGATATCTTTCAAATAGTAAGTCTAGTTCTCATCTGTAATATCTTTCAAATAGTAAGTCTAATTCTTATCTATAATATCTTTCAAATAGTAAGTATAGTTCTCATCTGTAATATCTTTCAAATAGTAAGTCTATTTCTTATCTATAATATCTTTCAAATAGTAAGTCTAGTTCTCATCTATAATATCTTTCAAATAGTAAGTCTATTTCTTATCTATAATATCTTTCAAATAGTAAGTCTAATTCTCATCTATAATATCTTTCAAATAGTAAGTCTAATTCTCATCTATAATATCTTTCAAATAGTAAGTCTGATTCTCATCTATGATATCTTTCAAATAGTAAGTCTAATTATCATCTATAATATCTTTCAAATATATGACTTCTTAATAAAAGCAACGAAAAACATTTCCAAAGTCATAAGTAATCTCTGCTCACAATCCATTGTACGATTCCAACCATATCATGAACATGTGTTTAAGAATCACAATCAAATAGTGATAATACAAGTTCACAATAATTATGCTGAGCAACAGCTTCTTGAATAGTGATATTAAAAAAATGTACACATCATGATATAAGTCATTACATGGAAAACCCTTCATGACCAACTTTTAGTCTCATTGTAAGTAAACAATGTCACTTCATGCAAATGACAAATCATGACAAACCATGACAGCCATGACAAATCTAATCAGATGTTTTAAAACATTTCTTAACATAATTGTTTGTGCATGGACTATTAGAATGAGTTGACATGGGAATGATATGGTCTTATTACAAAGATTTTGTTGCCGCTTCTCACAAGCTGGAGTAACTCTGCCTCCATCAGGACATACCTGCAGAATGACTAGGGCGTTCTCCATGGACAGATCATCAGACGGGAGACCTTCTGACTTCCAGATCAGTTGTTCACTCTCGGTACTGAGGAAGCGGCGGAGATCGAACTCCCCGACTCCAATGGTGTCCATCCAACCCTGCAGGGTGTCTTTGCGGACATCTTCAGGAGCGGAGGACATGTATGTGATGAACGCTGATGCCAGCATGGCTTGTTTGGGTAGCTCGCTGAGGACTGTGGAGAGCCCACCAACCTGGCAGTTTAAAAAATACCAAACAGGAATGTAAATGGACATCACAAGCAAATGCCAGAAAATGGACCCTTCTTTAAAAAAATCCTTGATCAATCCTTGTAACTAACTGAGAGAGGAAGGTAGAGAGAGGTAGAGAGAGGGGGGAGGTAGAGAGAGGGGAGAGAGAGATAGAGAGGGGAGAGAGAGAAGGAAGAGAGAGGAGAGAGAGGAGAGAGAGGTAGAGAAAGGGGAGAGAGAGGTAGAGAGAGGAGAGAGAGGTAGAGAAATGGGAGAGAGGAGAGAGAGGTAGAAAGGGGAGAGATAGAGGTAGAGGTAGAGAAATGGGAGAGAGAGGTAGAGAGAGGAGAGAGAGGTAGAGAAAGGGGAGAGAGAGGTAGAGAGAGGAGAGAGAGGAGAGAGAGGAGAGAGAGGTAGAGAAAGGGGAGAGAGGTAAAGAGAGGAGAGAGAGGTAGAGAAAGGGGAGAGAGAGGTAGAGAGAGGAGAGAGAGAGAGGGGAGAGAGAGGTAGAAAGGGGAGAGATAGAGGTAGAGGTAGAGGTAGAGAGAGAGTGAGAGAGAGAGAAGGAGAGAGAGAGAGTGTAGACTATGTGGAGATACATTAGACAGTCAAGGTGTAATGACATCAGTTTTTCCACCGACCTTCCTCTCTCCAGGCAGACGCTCTATCCACTAGACCAACAAGGTTGTCCATCAGATAAGAAACAAAATAAGGAGATTGTATTTACCCCTGTACAACAGAGTTCCTTCACTGTCCCATGGTAAACTACCTACTATGAGTTCATCCCTAGAACAAGGTGTGAGATGTGATCGTGGGTATCCTCACCTGGGTATTCCATCTCTGATATTCCCCGTCCAGTTTGGACACAAGGGTCTCTGCAGCCTGTATGGTCTCATTCTCCTTGTCCAACTTGATCTTCAACTCTGCTGCCTCCTTTGTCAGGGTCTCGAATCTGTTGCGGAGCTGGGCCACCTTGTTGTCGACCTCATTCAGGGCACCGCTAAGTCGACTCATGCGAGACTCTGCTTTCTCCAGGTTCCTATAAACACATAAATAGGTAAAAAGTCATGGTATCCTGCCCATATGGGGAGTGAGTGACTGGGTGGGTGGGTGGGTGGGTGGGTGGGTGAGTGGGTGAGTGCGTGAGTGAGTGAGTGAGTGAGTGAGTGAGTGAGTGAGTGAGTGAGTGAGTGAGATAAACTTCAAATTTTTCAGTTTCGTCGATTTTATTGATTTTAGTGAGTTTTGTTTAACACAGCTATAACAGTATTTTAATAATATCACAGTGTGTGATCGTGGGTGTGAATCCCGGTTTTCTCGATGATGTTTCTAGGTTTGTCCCGATGATGTTTCTAGGTTTGTCCCGATGATGTTTCTAGGTTTGTCTCGATGATGTTTCTAGGTTTGTCTCGATGATGTTTCTAGGTTTGTCAGCACCACACCTTTACTCCTGGGTTTCACCAAAATGTCAACATGCATCACTTCGGGCTTTCCTCCCACATAAACTGACATGCCATGATACGTATATAATACTGTTCAAAGCAGTGTTAAACCACTCACCGCTCACTCCATGACAAAAGCCCCAGAAGTTATTGTTTTACTTACTTTCTCAGCTCATTTTGTTCATTCTCCAGTGGTCCAATCTTCTCCAGTACATAGGAGTACTGTACATTAGCCTTCACCCACGCCGCCAGGGGCTCCGCTATCACAGACGCTCTTCTGGCATTCTGTCAAGCACAGGTTAACACATATCATTTAGACACTGTAGATACAAAATAATATATACAAACTGGAAGTTGAGCACCTAGCCCCTCAGCAGTCATTGCTACAGATCATTACCAATCACCTTCCACAACAAACAATATCGTGTCCTAAGAAGAATAAATTATATAAGAAGACATATTCCTACTTGTTGGTGCTATATTCCTCTACAAATTATAATAGGTGCCTGAAACATATCTATGCATATTTGAAATGCCAGTTTGGAGTGGAAATGTTTCTCATGAGGAAATCCTGATGGCTAGAGACCTACCACAGGGTCAAACGAATCCTTGTTCTTCTTCAGCAAATCCTCAACACTCTTGCGTATCTCTCCCGTGATCTTCCGCGCATCGAAGGTCTGGATATCCTCCTTCACACCACGCTTGGCCAGAAAACTGTGGAGGTGAGTATTCAGAATTACAGGTTAATGCTCATTCATCACCACTCGCCCCTTTCCGTAAACTGCAAGAAGACTCGTCCCCCTATCGATGAATGCTATGTGCGAAAATACGACAAACGAAACAGAATGCGAGTATGATTTCAATTTCTTTGTCAAAGAATCCATCAGAAATATGTTTTTATTTTACATATGTCATGCATCTAAAAATACACTCAAGACACAATTAAATGATCTCAATCATACTGTATAATTCCCCATGTCCAGATGTGCTTTAAATTGCATCTGAAATATATATAATATACAGGGAAATGTATGTGAACCATTACGCAACGAGTTGACAATTGTTTTAAGTAGGCCCATTTGCGCTAAGATGGAACCCGGTCGCAAAAATGGCCATGAGAGGGGCACGAGTCGCTATTCAGCTTGTCCCGGAATAACACGAGTTGGTCACGAATGCTTAATGCAATTATTAGATGGTTCAGGAATCCACACATGATAAGGCTGAAATGATAAACAAGCATTTGTCTTCCCAAAAACTAATTCTGTACACATCATACTACTGCTTTTCCTTGTCAAGACTGAAATTGGGCAGCTGTCTCTTTTTATTGTGGCTAATTATTACATTATCAACTGCTGCAGTTCATCATACTGAAGACAGAATAATGATGTACTGCTTGAGGGATAATCTTCATTTAATTTGTTGTTTAACTTTGAGTCAACAATATTCCCACTATTGCTGTCGCCCTGTAAATAATCAAGTGTGCACCAGACAAACCAGGGATTGATGTAATGAGCAATGTCCCACCCTATCAGGGTATGTTGACACGCAATGTACCAAGTCACTGAGTCTGACCACCGGATCCACTGCGTCACCTCATACAATTGGGGGCCAGGAATTCCCCAAATTCCCAAACCCCCCAAATCTCCAATTATACATATGTATGTTCTCACCTCTTCATGCTGACCCAGGACGTATCAAATATCCCCATGAGTCTGAGCACCCCTTCCAGGATGACGCGGATGATTTCCGGCGGGGCTCGCAGGGCGCGGATCTCGGACAGGGAATCGGTCTTGATGCTGCCGACAGCCTTCCTGGTGGCCTGGACGAGGGGTTCCACATCCATCAGCTCCACGTCGATGGCCTTCTTCCTCTTCTCCAGCAGCTTGTTCTCCTCCGCAGCCTGCTGCTTCAACACCTCCATCTCGTTCTTCTGGTCACTGGCGTTCTGCAACAGCATCACTCACAACACTCACTTGAAGCCATTTGCTTTTGAATGTGTAGCCGGGTGGTGGTGCTAACTCTGAATGAGTTATAGCCACATAAGTACCACCCACTTATAACCCCCTAGTATTCATTCTATACATATATATATACATGTTCATCTATTATCACCATCACTTCATTCTGTGTTCATTATAAGTTCATTATATGTTGTCCTTGTCTGCAGTTGAATGTCAGCCAACTAACACCAACCTGATACCCTTCTGCAGCCTCTGTAATTTCTCCAGCTTCACCTGGACTTCCCCCTATCTATTTTTAGATATGTCCACCACTTTATGTGACTGAAGCATCTTGACTTCCTTTTAATACCTGTCAGATGCTACCTTTCTTCTGATTGGCCCTTTGGTCCACTTCTTTAAACTTCCTTTCTCACCTGCCCTCCTCATGCATTCTGCATGAACTCTTTATGGAGGGAGGACTCTTGTTTACAGGTGAGAAACATTTCAATATTCTTATCTCTTTCCATCCTGCTTTAGAAACAATTATATTCATAGAAAGGGTATCACAGCTTTTCATTAAAGTAAAATATATTTAATTGCATTATTATTTAATTTGTCATATCTAAATATTTGCCAGCTCACACATTTTGTGTTACATAAATTGAGCACATGGTCTTCAACCATGTGCTACCCAACCTATCCTTATAAATTAATCTGTTTCCTTTTGGCTTAAATTAAATCATAACATATTCTGCATGAACTCTTTATGGAGGGAGGACTCTTGTTTACAGCTTCCCTCCCACCATCTACTACACAAGAATAAAAATCATCATCATCTTCAAGAACTGCCTCATGTTTTGACTAGTAGCCCAGTGGCTGGACACATCACACCACGCCCGGCTACAAAATGGCGCCCAACGTGGGGCTGCTAGTTTCATCAGCACCATCACTTGTACAGTGAGAAGAGGCAGTTCATCATTCATTAGATGGAATTCAACATAGAAGAGTTCATGCAGTTTCCAAGGACATCTTATACACTTATGTGAATGAATAGTTCATTCCTCATTGTTTCATGAAGTGTATGGACCTTGTGACTTTTGTTTTTTTGTGTTTCACAAATTCAGGACATTGACTTTTGAGCCTGACTATTGAGACATTTGTGATCCACCGTGTATATTTCTATTTATCCTGTGATATATATTATATGTTTATCATGTTTATATTTGTTTGAAATTTATAATCCTATTGACTTTTACAGAGTATTGATTATATTATAGTACAAATTCTATTTCTACCACATTTCTATGTCTACAGTGTTTATTTAAATTATATATATATATAGTATAGATTCATTTTCATCTCACTGACAAGTTTATTCTGAAAAATTAATTGGAGTTCATATCTATTCAAAATTTCACCACTGATCAAAATTTCAGGTTAATATTAAGTGTAGCTGGTAACTATTTGACTTTGATTCCAAATTTATATTTGAAATTATTTAACATTTAACTTAAACAGTTCAATTTCAAAATCCAAAGTTTGTTTTTTACTTGATATATTTTCTGTCAATACTTTTGATATTTGCATTGATACCCTTCTTACTTTACCTGTGTCAGACTCTATCCTCAGTACTTCTTTTTCCATGCTGTTCCTGCTGTCTTTCCTTCCGTGTGGACATATCTCTCTTCAGCAAACCACTAACATGTTTACCATAAGTATTTTGTCTTGTCTTGTGTTGTTTCTTCATTTCATCATATACCATATCCCATTATAGGCTTCATCACTATCATCAGTCATATCAGATCTTCTGTTTGAAATATTTGAACACCATCAGTGATTAGGTCCTCAGTATTTCCCTCAATTGCATATCTATTATCTCAAGGAACAGTATATCTGTGATGTGAGATATTTGTATAGTTTCCCCTCATTAGTTACATATGTGACAGTGGAGTTCAGTCAGTATCTACTGTTACATTTACTTTCTGTATGTACAACTCAGTTATTGCTGCATCTTGACTTATTTCCAGTGGTTGTCTGGTCTGTAGTACTTGCAGTTACTTCTTGTATCTGGGATGACTTTGTAGTTGTTGCCAGGTTAGTCTCACACCGTAGCCTTTGCTTGCTTGATTATTTCATTTCCATTGGGATCATCTGGCTAGTGTTTCATTTTACCTGACCTCAGTACATGCATAAGTTGTCCTTCAGGTGACTACATCCTGATTGTTGTTTGGCTACTTGCATTGTTACTGAACTTTGTTGCTTACCTGGGGTAGTGGTTAGTTCCCCGCAGTTGTAAGTCTACCCATATCACACCATAGTCCATCTTGTATCCTTGCTTTTGTAGGAGCCCTGCACTTGGTTTCCTAATACTTAGGAGTTTTTGCACTTTGCGATCGCCTCGGTTCATAATATTGTTGTTGGGTCCCAACGTATAGGATCCTTGTTGCCTTTTTGGAGGTTTGTCATACTTGTATTATCATACACATCATGGCTCAGTCGGACAGTGATGTTAGATCACAGGTTGATCAGGTTGTGGATTTCATCCATCAGCTTGATCCCTTAGTCCGTACTAGTTTACTCTACCGTCTAGCAGATGACGCTAATCCACATCCACCTCAGACCACTTATGTAGCTGATGTTGGGTCTGGAGATACGTTGTTTCGGCCGCATGTGCCTCCACCTCCTGTGGATAGCCAAAGGGTTGTTCCCCAACCATATACACCTGGGCTACCGTCACTGCTAACACATTCACCTCTGGGATCTCCTTTGTTGCCTGATATATGGTCACCCATGGAGCCTTCCCAGCGGACAATACCCCCACAAGACCATAGCCCTAGGATAGAATTGCCGAAATCTTTGCCTAGGCCCTACGGGTCACTCTTTAATCAACCCCAGGGTTCATCAACCCCTTACTCACAGCAGTCGCGTGTCATTACACGTCCGACTGGGGCACCAAATGAGACTTGGTCCAACAGACATGTACCCATGCCCATTCTATACCCTGGGTACACTCCAACTGCTCAGCCTAGTCAGTTCCTGGCAACTCCGCATTCCACTATGCCAATATCCCACACCTCGTACATGCCAATAATCAATGCACCAAGTCCCCGGTTGTCAACATTTTCAGGGGATAGGGCAAAGGGTGATGTGAAATATAGTCAGTGGCGTCCTAACTTCTGCTAAGTTGGATGCAACTGGGCATCGCTGGCTCGCAGAACTTGCTACTTATGACTTCTCCCTTGAGTATGTTCCGGGTGCAAGGAATGTTGATGCAGATGCTTTGTCCAGGTTGCCGCGTGAGTCCATGGACATTCAAAGTGTGTCTGCTCTCTGTAATGGGCAACTCATCTCATCATGTGCCGTGGAGACACTCTCCCTCAATCAGGAGGTGATGAATTGTATGTTGGCGGTCGATGGTATGGAACCTTCTGACGTTGTCGCTAGCCAACGGATGAGAACATATCAGCAAGCTGATTCCTCAATCTGTTCGATTTTTGAACTCATCCGTAATGATACGCGTCCAACCAAGGAGGCTCTCAAATCCATGGACCGGGACACAGCATCAATTCTCAGGCAGTGGGACTCACTCACTGTCAAAGATGGCCTTCTCCACAGGCAACAACTTTCAGATGGTGTAGTACCCTACTATCAATTGATTGTTCCTCAGTCTAAAAGAGATGAGGTCATTACCCATCTACATGACGGCATGGGACATCTTGGTAGGGACAGGACCGTGGCTCTTCTCCGGACACGGTTTTACTGGCCGGGAATGATCACGGATGTGGAGAAAAGGATTCGCTGCTGCCAGAGGTGTATACTTCGTAAAGCTCCTAACCAAACTGAGCGTGCACCATTAGTTAGCATCCAAACCACTCAACCTATGGAGTTGGTGTGCATGGACTATCTCAGCTTGGAGCCCTCCTCTGGTGGTTATGAGAATATCCTGGTCATTACGGACCATTTCACCAAATATGCTGTTGCCATTCCCACTCGCAACCAAACGGCACGTACTACAGCCAAAGTACTGTTTGATCACTTCATTGTTCACTATGGCATTCCAGAGAAGTTGCACTCTGATCAAGGCCGGAACTTTGAGAGTGATATCATCAAACAGCTGTGCAGCATATTGGGTATTCTCAAAACGCGGACCACTCCGTATCATCCAATGGGTAATGGTCTATGTGAGCGGTTTAATCGGACGCTCTTAGGGATGCTCGGCACTCTGGAGGAGCAGCAAAAGGCAAAGTGGAAAGATCACCTTTCTCACTTAGTTCATGCCTATAACTGTTCCCTCCATGAGTCAACGGGGTTCACTCCCTACTTCCTCATGTTTGGCAGACAACCTAGGCTGCCTGTTGACGCTGCTTTTGGTACATCACTGGCCAATATTTCATCACCAGCTTATACGCGGTTTGCTGCTGATCTAGAGCGCAAATTACACACTGCCTATGAGCTTGCAGCTGCAAACCTTGAAAGGGCTCAGGCTAAACAACGCAAAGCCTATAATCTTAAGGCACGCGGAGCCACACTCAAGGTTGGTGACGTTGTATTGGTGCGTAACGTCAACATACGTGGGAAGCAAAAACTGGCTAACCGGTGGGAAGAGGAGTATTACGTGGTTGATTCTCAACCTCATGCCGACATTCCTGTGTTTAAAGTTCATAAGGAAGGAACCAGAGAATGTCGTGTACTCCACCGTAATCTACTCCTTCCCATTGGTACGAATGGTCAGCCCATACCCAGGCCACGGCGCACACCATCGACATCGACGACGACTACTACTACTTCTGTTTCAACACCATCTTCTGGCGAGCTTAAGGACACAAGTACTGACACAACACTGGAGATCTCAACAACCAACATGGATATTGAGAGTTCTCCTTCTCCAGTGTCGGTATCATCCCCAGTGTCAGCACTGCCACCAATCAGCTCGCCATTTGCAAGTGTGTCACCCGTAGTTTCACCATCCACACCAGCACCAACTGCAACAACCAGTTCTATCCCTGGCTCAGGACCGTCAACTCCACAGCCACCAACTCGGCGAGTTGGACGAACCCGAACAAAGCCAAAGTGGATGACAGATGGGCAGTTTGTTGTAAAACAAAGTGTCTGGGTGTGAGGATGTAATTATACATTGCCGCTATTTAATGGCGAGGTCGCCATTTCCCAAAGTGGGGGTGTATGTAGCCGGGTGGTGGTGCTAACTCTGAATGAGTTATAGCCACATAAGTACCACCCACTTATAACCCCCTAGTATTCATTCTATACATATATATATACATGTTCATCTATTATCACCATCACTTCATTCTGTGTTCATTATAAGTTCATTATATGTTGTCCTTGTCTGCAGTTGAATGTCAGCCAACTAACACCAACCTGATACCCTTCTGCAGCCTCTGTAATTTCTCCAGCTTCACCTGGACTTCCCCCTATCTATTTTTAGATATGTCCACCACTTTATGTGACTGAAGCATCTTGACTTCCTTTTAATACCTGTCAGATGCTACCTTTCTTCTGATTGGCCCTTTGGTCCACTTCTTTAAACTTCCTTTCTCACCTGCCCTCCTCATGCATTCTGCATGAACTCTTTATGGAGGGAGGACTCTTGTTTACAGGTGAGAAACATTTCAATATTCTTATCTCTTTCCATCCTGCTTTAGAAACAATTATATTCATAGAAAGGGTATCACAGCTTTTCATTAAAGTAAAATATATTTAATTGCATTATTATTTAATTTGTCATATCTAAATATTTGCCAGCTCACACATTTTGTGTTACATAAATTGAGCACATGGTCTTCAACCATGTGCTACCCAACCTATCCTTATAAATTAATCTGTTTCCTTTTGGCTTAAATTAAATCATAACATATTCTGCATGAACTCTTTATGGAGGGAGGACTCTTGTTTACAGCTTCCCTCCCACCATCTACTACACAAGAATAAAAATCATCATCATCTTCAAGAACTGCCTCATGTTTTGACTAGTAGCCCAGTGGCTGGACACATCACACCACGCCCGGCTACAAAATGCATTGGTGGGGGAGAGAAGAGACAGAGACATGTTGCTTCATGAGCAGTTTCTCAGCAGTGTGAACCAAGAATTAAAACCAGGATTTACCTGGGTGTATCTATTTGTGAGTCCTGGGGACGCTCAGGAATACTTTTGAATAGGCATGAAAAGAGAGCCCCAGGATGACACTGTGACCTCCTGGACGTCCACAGGCTGGGAACATGTGGCAAACTCAACTCCACTCACAGCACAGATATAACACAGTGCATTGTGTTTGAAACAAAACTCAGTGATTCAGTGAAGAAAATCAGAAATGGACGGTCTGAACTTTGTATTTCTGACGTAAAAGTCAGTTAAACATACCATGCTAGTCTTTTCTAACAAAATTAGTAAAATCTAAATATTTTTTAGGACAAATTGGTTGAAAACAAATATGAGTACTGCATTGAAATATGACTATTTGCTTCGAAAGGTTTCACTGTGACAGAAAGCATAAACCTGTGAAATTGTCCTTTGAAGTGCAAAATAAAGTCAGTTGCTTCCAGTGAAATTGCAACAGTAGTCATGATAGTGTTTCACAAGTCCTCAGAAAGTGCGTGTGTGTGTAAGTTGGGTTTAACGCCGCTTTTAACAGTATTCCAGTTATATCACGTTGTGACAACTTAATGTGGGAGGAAAACCCAACGTGATGCAGGTCCCAGACGTTTACCATTTAGGTGAAACCCACGAGCACGGGTATGGTGCTGACAAACCTAGAAACATAATCGGGGCGAACTGGGATTCGATCCCACAATCATAGGTTTCTGGCGTGCCCAAGGGATGCACTCTGCACAGCGAATCGCGGCGCCTTAGACATCTGGGCCACCCATGACCCCTCAGAAAGTTGAATTAGGAGGACAGTGTATGAAAGTGTAGCTGTTTCTTCATGTATGATTCTTATTGTCATTGCTTGATTGTCGACTGTTGACTGCCCACCTGCATGCTGACGGTGATCTCGCGGAGAGCGGCATCAGCCTCCGACTGTTTCTGTGCCAGGAGCTGACTCTGGTCTGCAGCCTTCCGCTTCAGCTCATCCACCAGGTGCTTGGCGTCATTCAACTTGGACACACCGGCCTGGACAACAACAAACACATAACCTCCAGAATCAAACATATTTGTATATGGGATGGCAGAAATCATAATGGCACTGTTAAAATAAGGGCTAGACTTAAACCCTTATATGATAGTGTTGTCCATCCCAGATATATATAGATATGGTGTTATTTGCTTGAAGAACTCTAGTACTGATCACAGAGATGCTGTGAAACACAATGTGTTTTTAACAGTGAATCATCCCTCAGAGTCCCATTTGGACATTTGATATCAGTACATCTAGGCCATGGCATTTGGTGCATATGTTGGTTGGTTGGTTGGTTTGTTGTTTAACGCCGCACTCAGCAATATTCCAGCTATATGACGGCGGTCTGTAAATATTCGAATCTGGACCAGACAATCCAGTGATTGATATAATAAGCATCAATCCACGCAATTAGGATCGATGACATGAATCAACCAAGTCAGCGAGCCTGACCACCTGATCCCGTTAGTCGCCTTTTACGACAAGCATAGTCACCTTTTACAGCAAGCATGGGTTGCTGAAGACCTATTCTACCCCGGAATCTTCAGGGGTCGAAAATGATGGAAAAAATATCCAAAACACATGCCAGAATGCAACCAGTGGTTTAGCTCAAGCATGTGCAATGCATGATAAGTAACAGTCAATGCTGGTAGATTATGGTTAATTCCAGATGAAACTGAGCAGAACTCTTGGAAGTTAAAAATGTGACATTTTCTCTATTACAGTAAACTACTGTTGTAACGAACTCAAAGGGACCACTTATTTTAGTTCGTAATCACTGTAGTTCGTTATAAGCATATTTACAGTATATATACAACAAATGGCAGGGCTAAAGAACAAGGGTGTTTTAAAGGTTCTGTTTGTTGTAAGCGTGATCGTTATAAATGTAGTTTACTGTATCTGCGTAACCCCTCAATAATGACCCTGAGTATATCTTTCCAATCTTGATCTCACAGCATTTTGTTCCTACATGCTTACAATCTTATTAAAATCAGATCTTAGTTCTCGCTACCGCTAAACAAAGATCTGAGGACATCCCATTAGGGGTTACGTCAGAACGACCTATCATCCGACCAATCAGAGAATCGCTTACCAGATCATGAAAGTGACAGTCGGAATGTGATTTCTAATCATGCAATCTCAAAAACACAGGGTATTCCGAACGATAGTTACGGGTTTAACGACTGAATCCATACAAACTAGACCATATATCTGCCTTTCCAGAATGTTCTTTTGTTCAGGTTTCAAATTTTTAATCGAGAATTTGTCAAAATATGTTTCGAAGCGTCGTCGCCAATTTGAAATTAGTGTCGTAAAGCACGAGAGAGCTGCCTTCTGATTGGCTAATGTCGACTTCTTGTCAGTCCTTCCATTGGTCGGTCAAAATTTGCGCAAGGTCGGTCTGAGGTGATCCGTAATGGGATGTCCTCATATCTTTGTTTAGCAGTAGCGAGAACTAAGATCTGATTTTAATGAGATTGACATGCTTATCAAGTGACAAAACAGAATACATGAGGATCAGATGACAATCTATGATGTACCTGCAGATGCTGTTGCCTCTGTTCAATGCTCTGTTTCTTGGCAGTGTACACCTGATTGTAGGTGTTGAGGAACACCATGTAGCGCCGTGGGGTAGCGCCAAACCTGGAACAGGATTCATGGACCTGCAGGAAACACCGGCACAGTTCCTCCCCGCCTGACAACTTGCGCTGGTGCTGCCTCTGCTCCCCGATAGAACCACCCTCAACCTTGGGGGGTCGGGTCAGCAGCATGAAGGGCACCTGAAACAGTCCATGTCCCTTTAACATGGGTGGGTGGGTAGGTTGATTGATTGGTTGGTTGGTTGGTTGAGTGGTTGAGTGAGTGAGTGAGTGAGTGAGTGAGTGAGTGAGTGAGTGAGTGAGTGAGTGAGTGAGTGAGTGAGTGAGTGAGTGAGTGAGTGAGTGAGTGAGTGAGTGAGTTGATTTATTGATTTATTGAGTGAGTGTTGATTGATTGATTGAGTTGATTAATTGATTGAGTTGATTGAGTTGATTGATTGAGCGTGGTTTTACACAGCTTTTAGCAATATTCCAGCAATATAACGACTGGGGATCACCAGAAATGGGCTTCACACATTGTACCCATGTCGGGAATCGAACTCGTGTCTTCGGCATGACAAGCGAACGCTTTAACCATTAGGCTACCTAACCGTCCAGTAATAAATTCCACATGGTCTAACACAGCCTAGGTACACGTAAGAGAACAAATACCTTCATCTATCTTAGTGATATCAACAGTGGGGCGGTGGGGTAGTCATGTGACTCTCTTCACGCTGAAGCCCTGGGTTTGATTCCCTGCATGAGTACAATGTGTGAAGCCCATTTCTGGAGTCTCTCTGCCGTGATATTGCAGGAATATTGCCAAAAGCGCCATAAAACAACACTCGCTCCCTCCCTCACTCACTCATGGAGTCTTACTACCCCGATGGACTTAAACCCAACTCACTCATTCATGAATGTGGCAGTGTTGCATGTATGTACATTTTCTTTATTTTATATATTTGTTTACATATAATGTTTGGTAATGGAAAGATGTTTTGACCTTTTATTGTGTTGCATTAAATTAAATAAATATGTATAGCTGCTGTATTCTACAGCACTGCTGCAGAGTAATGACTTAATCTCTGCTTGAAGCTTTCTTTTATTTAACTTGGGGGGTTAGGGTAGGTAGCTTGGGGTAGCTTGGGTCGGTCCTTTGTTTAATTCAGCTTAGGCCTGATTGGCCTTGTTTCATATACTAACACCCAGCATTTAACCAGCACACCAGCCACTACACCTTGACCATGCTGACACCAAACAACATTTCCTGTGTGTCTTATTTTCATCTCATGAAATCGTCCTAACAGGTTAGTAATGTTTTTATACGTATTGTCATAATGTACTTGTATCTGTTTGTGTAATCAGTTGTAGTGTTACAAAGTATTAGTACTTATTTAGATAAGTCATTACATATAGTCATATAATTGCAGTCACTTAAATGTTTTAACTAGGTCAATAACTTCCGAGAGAAATGCAGCACTGTGTATTTCCATCTTTCCTAAATGTTTCATTCGAGAATGAGTGAGTGAGTGAGTGTGTATGCATTTATCATGTATGTGTTTGCTTATGACTATGATATTTATGTATAATGTAAAGCGTTCATAGGTGTGTTATTTGTAACACATAATTCGTGTTAGCTAAGATTACCAGTTTTTCCTATGTGAGTATATTTGTCTTTGTATTTGTATTTAGATGAAGGCATCATAGTCCTGTGTGTTTGTGTTTGGTGACCTACAGTTCACCAACAGGGTATGCCTGTATTTTCTTGTGTATGAATGTAATCAATAATTATATTTATCATATCATTACACATGTATAGGGATACAAATGTACACATAGTTATTGTAACTTATAACACATCCTTCAATGTATTTGTTAAAAACATGAGTTCTATCTATTTCTATGATGTCGTCGGTGTGACGATGTGAAAGGATATAACTATGACTTCATGTGAATGTGATGTCCTCTTACATATTTATGTATAATAAATAAATCCTCCTAAAATATGCCATGGACCCTAGCATGGTGATCTACCTTCAGCTGCTGGCGATCTATAGTCCTTTTTTATTATGTATTGTTACATATAGTGATATCTTTTTATGGTTGTATGCTAGTTCTAAATATTTATCTGTGAATTTCTAGTTATTTTATTGTCCATCGATGACAGGTTTTTATTTAATCTAAATATATGTTTTCTTAACGTACAACTTCTCGTCACGATATGGCTGAAATATTGCCGATATTAACTCACTCCTAAAATATGACTCATGTTATTTATAAACACCCCCAGTTACATGAAAAGTACATGTTCTGTTCTCTGGCACCTCTCCATGTCATTCTCCTCACACTTCCGACATTGGGTAATGGAGCCAACTCCCCACCAGAACTAGCATGGACTCTTATCATGTATCAAAACCACAGCTCTCATGACTAAGCTTACACACATATTATACATTCTGATTTTTCATGGCAAATTTATCTATCAAGTTTTGTATTTCGTTTATGCTGTATTATAAGGTCATTGTATGATATACACATGGAAAAACATATGTCTTTATTATCACCACTTAATAATTAGCTGTGGTGAAGTTGTGTATTCTATAATAAGAAACTGTGTTGCTAACACTATACGGTGTCTAGCCGGGAGCGCCACATTTCAGAAATGGCTATTGCCGGTGGGGCCACATTTCCAGCTGAGTGCATTTCACCTATTCTAGCGGGTAATTAATTAATCCGATTACCGATACCTTTAAATGAGTGTCCCACATTTAAATTACTAAGCGTGGTGTTCTTTAGAGATACCTTTAAATGAGTATCTCACATTTAAATTACGAAGCGTGGTGTTCTTTAGAGATACCTTTAAATGAGTATCTCACATTTAAATTACGAAGCGTGGTGTTCTTTAGAGATCAAAGGCCGTCTTAATTGACATTGAGGGGGCTCTTTTTTCCATTATGACCTTGTCAAGAGTAATTATTTGTTATAACTAAATTCACTTTAACATTAATGAAGCCTTTAAACTGTCCTCTGTTTCATTACAGTAACTCAGATGCGAACCGTGAAATGACCCCATCTTGTTTTCTAGCAGATGAGTCAATATTTCATTACGTGAAAGAACAATACTGATCATGTGACAAGTCTATATTCAGTAAAAGTGTCAGTCACGTGATTTGGGGGTCCACATTAAAAGGTGTTGATTCGTAACATGATACGAATTAACCAATGGCATTGCAAGATTCTCAATAGAGATACACCAATGTCCATATGACATCAACAATCATAAACTGCTATGTCCTCATAGACTATTACACCCTCAATGATATCAGCATTTTGACCACATTGTTGTATGGAACATGAAGCCATTATTACACATACACTTCCATGGGCGGACACAGAGGGGGTGTGCGGGGATGCGCACTCCCCCCCCCCCCCCCCCTTTTTATTTCGAAAAAAATCTTTATTTCTGTATAAATTACCACCAAAGACAATAAATAGATCTTAATTGTGCACCCTCCTTTTAAAAAAAGCTGTATCTGCCCATGCACTTCCCACACTACAAACAGATAACCCCGAGCCCTATTGTTCACTGGTACCGACCTTGACCATGCTCTCCCGACTCCAGCCCTCCATCCACTGGACGGCACACTGCTTGTAGAAGGCCGGGTTGCTCTCACAGTTCAGTGTGAAGTTCGAGTTGTTGCAGTCCATCACCAGCACAATGTGCAGGTTGCACAGGATCTCTGCAACATGGGAACAGTGAGTGAGTGAGTTGGGTTTAACGCCGCTTTTAACATTATTCCATTTATATCACGGCGTGTCAGCTTAATGTGGGAGGAAAGCCCGAAGTGATGCAGGTCTTGGACGTTTACCACTTCGGTGAAAACCACGAGCATGGGTATGGTGCTGACAAACCTAGAAACATAATCGGGGCGAACTGGGTTTCGAACCCACAATCATAGATTTCTGGCATTCCCAAGGGATGCAACTCTGCACAGCGACTGGGCCACCCGTGCCCCGGCAACATGGGAACAGCATGTTAACACTTTCATCTCTACAGGCCTGCTGTTCCAGCTCGGGACTGTATGGCAGTGTGTTTGTTTGTTTGTTGTTGTTATTGTAAGCAATAATCCAGCCATATGATGGTGGCCTGTAAAAACCGAGTCTGGGCCAGACAAACCAGTGATTGATATTATGAGCAACAATCCATGCCATCTGGGTATGTTGACATGCCATGAATCATGTGACCAAGCCTGGTCCTGATCCATTAGGTTGCATAGGTAGCCAATTCTAACCTGGGATCTGCACAGGGTCGAGGGAGATGCCTAATTTTGGTCTAGTATTTTCAAACTGGATAAGACTTTTGTGATTCTGATTCCAAGCATATTCATTATTCCACACAACCATCCATCTACACTGAAACCATGTTACTCGCTATGGTACTGTAACCATTGAAATTGTCGTGAATTTCCTAAATAACAAATCATGAGCACTGAATATGACCTTTGAATATTTTAAATGTCACTGGTATTAAAAGAAACCGTCGGGGAAACAGGTTGTTTCTGGAGTAACAAGGTGTGGATTAACAGGGTTTCGTTGTACAGTCAACCCCCAACACAAGCAACTCTGTGTGACACTCAATCCTATTGACAATTGACAAATGCAGTGAATAAGAATCACTGGCAAGCATAGTTTTTATAAAGCAATGACTATGTGAGTAAAAAAATGAACTTATAACAAAATGGTAGAAAAAAGTCACTGACTAGATGCAAAGTAGTTGATGAGGGTTCCACGGAATCCTGCCTCGGACATGTCGTCTCGGAGTGGAGCAAGGATTGGTTCAAGCTCCTCCGGGGTGTAGAGTCCTGGAACCTCCCCGGCAGACAGCAGACTGTTGATCAGCTCCAGGAACTGAGGCTCCACAAACTGGTGGTCCTCCAAGAGTAGCACCACCTGCTCCCCCTCTATACCGCTCAGCTGCATCACCTGCAACAAGCAACATCATCAGGATTCTGTGCTACAACCAAGCACCACCTGCTCCCCCTCTATACCGCTCAGCTGCATCACCTGCAACAAGCAACATCATCAGGATTCTGTGCTACAACCAAGCACCACCTGCTCCCCCTCTATACCGCTCAGCTGCATCACCTGCAACAAGCAACATCATCAGGAATCTGTGCTACAACCAAGCACCACCTGCTCCCCGTCTATACCGCTCAGCTGCATCACCTAGTGACCTACAACTAGCAACATCATCAGGAATCTGGTGCTTCAACCAAGCAACATTATCAGGAATCTGGTGCTTCAACCAAGCAACATCATCAGGAATCTGGTGCTTCAACCAAAAACATCATCAGGAATCAGGAAAGAAGTGATGGTTTCCCACCTCATGCATGTGCAGTTGCATTTCCTGCGGAGGATAGGGGTTTCCTCAAAACTATTAGATATGTCGGCAGTGAAGAGGACTTCTGTTGAAAATTGATGAAATTTTATGGTGTGATCATCATGACTTTTTCAACTCCAATGTTGATTTTGCAATAGATTCTGACTCTTTGCACATGCCATGCTATCCATAGTGTGACAGATTTGCAGCGCAACCAAATTGATCACCATGGCCTCAGACTTGTCCCTTTACAGGGCGTGGCCCCAGGAGATCACGTGATAGATTTATAGGTTTGTAACTTACTAAAGAAATAACATAATAAAATCCTCACATGTTTCAGGTCATTCTTGAATTGTTTCATGCCATATCCTCGTGAGATCTTTGGCGAGTACATCTGCATCTGATGCATGTGAGCTACTACTGAGACGGCAGTGCGACGTCCGACACCGCTGCGGCCTGCCAACAGCAGGGATCCTCCAGGCTTGGTGATGACACGATCAACACGAGCCATGTTGTCCAGGACCTCTCTGAAGATCAGGACATCCAGCTCACGATTCTCATGACCTGAAAAGGTTTGTATATCAATGACCACAAGCAATATTTGGTGTTCTTCAATGACACTGAAGGTTTCAAATCACACTTACCACCTCTGATCTTAACATCATGCCAGAAGCCAGTTTTAGTAGAAAAGTACTTCTCTCTCAATCTTTGTTGGCAGACATTTTGAGTGAGTGAGTTGGTTAAATACCGCTTTTAACAGTATTCCAGTTAAATTTTGACTTCAGAAATGCGTCAAAATATTTGTCAAAAATGGAAGTCCACATTTGAAACAAGTGCCATAAAGCTCAAGAAAGCTACTTTCTGATTGGCTAATTTTGACTTCCTGTTAGTCATTTCATTGCTTCTCAAAAGGTTGTTCTGACGTGACCTGAAATAGAATGCCCTCTGATCATTGTGTAATGAGATTGCTGACTGCTGGTAATGAATAATTTAAATTCGTGCTACAGGGTTAAAAGTTCCAGGGCCAAACAGGTTCCTGGTTCTAATATATTAGTTATTCAGCTTTTAATATTAGTTTATGCCCTAGTTTGAAACACTGTTCTCCAACTCACTGTAGATCCGAAGACCCTTCTGAATGACAGCCTTGAGATCATCATCTGACAGTTTGCCGAGGGGTTTCCCAAAGGGTGGAAGGGGAGCCCCTGCTGCTGCTGATGGAGCCCCTGCATCGGCCCGGGCCCCCCACGTCACATAGTAGATGGCTGGGGATAAATTATAATGTTTATATAAAGTGACACACATATGATATAAAGTGATGCCATAATGCCACACTCATAACGCCTAACTCTTTGCCACAGATTGGCTTGGAGAATTTTCTCAATACACCCATATAACATAGCAAATACCAACATCATCAAAATCCAAAATCCAAAATCCAATTTCCGCCATGACAAACATAACAGTGGATAAAGGAAAGTTCCTAGCAGCAATCTGGTCATGACATAAAACCACAATGACTACATTATTTACATAGAATGTTTAATACTGCCACATCCATGGCCAAGACTAAATGGGGAAATTCGAACCCAGTAATGTCAAAAACCTTGTCTACCTGATAAACAAATACTTAATTGCGAATTATCAATACTCACAGTCTATGTTGTCAAATATGTTTCCAGACCAGTCAGCTCGTACAATGCTCATTAAGATGTTGTCAAATCGGTTGAGGCCGTCCTGACCCACGATTCTGTCCCTGAAGAGTCTTCGTGCCTCGTAAGCCCAGATCTCCAGCAGGTGGTCACTGGTATTCTCACTGGCACCTCCGATCAGGTCATACCGCAGCAGGCTCATGGCCCAGTTGGTCAAATCTCGGGGCGAGAACAAATAGTGGCTGTAGTCGTCCACTGTGAACCTTGACCTCAGCTGAAACATCATTGAAACATAATAGTGTACGCCAGTCACCATGAAAACAGAAACACAAAGTGTATTTACGCATATTTAAAGAGAGGTAGCGGCGATTAGAAAGTGTCCTCTATAACCAATAATGCTGTGCAATAATGATGAAAATTTTAGTCAAATTATGAAATGAGGCTGCTTATAATCAACATCACAAGTAGTTAATTCATGTACAATGACAATAAATAGGTTACAACTACCTAATTCCGATTTTAATCAATATAATAGACACCTATTCTGACACAGAACACACACTTGACTGTTACTTCAAATAGAAAATGTTTTTATCAAAACATTTTCTATTTGATCAGTTCAAGAAATATTTCGTTCCCTGTATTAGCTTGTGAGAGTGAGTGAGTTAGATTTTACACTGCGTTTAGCAATATGCAAGCAATATTATGGTGGGCAAACCAGAAATGGGCTCACACATTGTGCCCAAGTAGGGAATCGAACTCAGGCCTTCAGCATGACAAGCGAACACCTTAACCACTAGGTTACCCCACCACGCCGTCAGCTTTGAGATTGCCACGTACCTGTTCGTACACCTGGACCATGGATCCAGCCAGAGCATGGACCTTGGACATGTTGCCCCAGACTGGATGATGAGACAGCTGGCGGTGCAAGATCGGCTTCAGGTACGCGCTGTAGATGGTCTGCAGCTGCTCCCGGTCAGGATACCTGAATACATAGTCAGTGAGTTGGCTCTAACATCCGCTTTGAACAGTATTTCAGTTGTATCAGCTTAACTTGGGTGGACAGCAAAAAGTGATGCAGGTAGCATGGTGAAACCACAGACCACAGAGTGCTGCCAACCTAGAAACCTAATCAGATTTGACGCAACTGTCCTCAGCAAATTGCTATGCCTCAGATGACTCAATCTCATTAATATCAGAACTTATTTCTCACTACCGTTATCTGAGGACATCCCATTAAGGGTCACGTCAGAAGGACCTTTCATTCAACCGACGAGAGTGTTGTTTACCACATATGGAAAATGACAGTCGGAATGAATTTTCTAATCATGCAACCTTGGAAAAGATAATACAGTGTATTCCAAACGACAGTTACGGGATGTACCTCTGATTCCATCGAAATCATTGTCTGTCTCATGCTTTTGAATTGCCATCTATTAGACATTCCAGAATTTTCTTTATTCAATTTTGAAAACTGAACAAGAGAACTTCGTAAAAATATTTGTCAAAGCGAAGTCTGGAATGAACGTTGCCAGTTTGAAACCAGTGTCCTGTAGCTTGAGAAAGCTGCTTTCTGACTGGCTAATGCTGACTTCTGGTTGGTAATTTAATTGGTCAGTCAAAGTTCGCAAAAGGTCGTTCTGACATGACCTGTAATGGGATCTTTGATTAGTGGTAGCAAGAACAAAGATCCGATTTAACAAGAGTCATCAGGAGATGATCTCCTCAGTCTGGTGCAATTTGGAAATGGAGTTTGGCTATTTATACCTCACTTTTGGTTCATTGCCATTTGTAACCTTGCGTCCTGGAGTATTTTGGACCTACCCGACTACACATATCCTGACTATGGAGGTGAAGCGAGTGGTGAGTTTGTGTCGCCCGAGTCCTGTCCCTGCACCCATACTGGCCACGATCTGCACGTTCTCCAGGCCCACCCACTCCAGGTTGGAGTCGTAGAATCCGTTGTAGGTCACCACCTGCAGCACAGATCGGGTTATCAATACAACTTTCAACACACTCATTCTTATGAGGAAGCGAGGAAGACCCTCAAGCACAACACTATATCACCTTCTGAAGGCTTCTAAAAATTGGAATGAACAAGTTTGAATTAAAAATCTGAGAATTAATTCTGAATTAACACTATGAATTAAAAAAAAAGAAGTTTTTGTCCACATATTTGTTTATAATCCAAGTAATTTTGATGTCCAAATGAAAATTGTTTCTATGTATTTTACCAAAGCTGTACTTGTATTACCTGTACTGTAAACAGGGGAATAGTATCTGCAATTACATGGAGGCAGCAATAAATTAATTATTAGATTTCATCCCCTTTGGCCTCACTACCAAACACTGGCCTTACATCGTTTTATCAAGTACCTACAAATGAAGGAAATCACAACATGTTCCTTTCTTAATGCAATACACCACATACAGGGTCCTATGAAACATTAAAGATTCAAGTGAATCCCACCTCAATACAAATGAATACAGGTGCTTTGAACATTTTGTTTAATACTTTTTATAAAAATTTATATAAAATAAACATCTACCGACCCATTTTGTTTAGAAATTTACATCATTAATTTACTGTGCCCTAATGACAAGGCCAGCACCTGTTGCAGGAAGGCAATGAGCTGACAGGTGCCCCACTTGTCTGGCTTGGGCAGGTTGATGTCCTTCAGGTACAGCACCAGTCGCTCGCAGTCCTTGGGGCGGTACACTCGGCCAGTGTTGGTGCTCAGTACCATGCATGTCTGACTCAGCTTCTGCAGGACGTGGCTGGGGTTGGTCTGCGCGCTGCAGTGGACTGTTGCCACTGATGTCGACCTCAGGTTCTCAAAGCTGTGATGCAGCAACAGGCTGGGAACAGGGAGTGAGTTGTGATTAGTACCATCTTGAGAAGTATTTCAGTTATATTACGATGTGTTAGCTTGATTTCGGAGAAAAGTATGAAGTTATGCAGGTCTTAGACATTTACCATACACTGGTATAATACTGTTTGAACTCATTAAGCTGGGAATAAGAAGAAAACAATAGTTGTGACATTTCAAATCCTAGATTGAAAAAATATAAATGATCTGATGTGGTCTTATTGGGGCGCTGTGAATATTGACGAATAAGATGACAGAACTTCATTAAATATTTCATTTACCACAGTAATGCACACATTTTGTGTTAATGCCTGATGTAAAGGGACTCTTTGAACACCAAACATCCAGAGCTTGTAACTCAAGATCTCTGCTGAACAGAGTTTGAATACTCTCCTTAAAACTTATGAATTTAGTTAAACTTACTTAAATTTATGAAATATTTTTGACAGATATTAAGCATTAGTAATCAAACAACCAGTCTGTATGAATTGTGGTCCAGTTGGTCCTTGCATGTAAATCGACATATAGATTAGAGTTATCTACCCTTTGCCGCATCCCTCCGGGCCGACGAGGATGAAGGGCTGCTTGTTGTCCATGCTGAGCCATGGAGTGAAGTAGTCAAGACCGCGTTGCACGTCCCCAGTCCGGATAACAGGAAGCGTGGAACCGGACATGAAGTGATCAGCTGATGGGATGTCTGGCACCTGCAGCAAACATTTCACACCATCAAACACGGGACTATTTTCTGGAATACATACACACAATATATACTGCCTGCTACATTTGTCACTACGTTAAAAATTGAATCTCAACTTAATCTCTATGTATTAACACAAATTTTGATGCCAACATTTGTTAATGAGTAGTAGACCCCAAAAGTTTTTGACAGTGACCAATTCCTTAAAACTCACAGAGTGAGTTGGTATTACACCACTTTAAAAACAGTACTCCTGGCGTTAAAAATCATTGACTCATTAAAACATAAAGATCATTAAAAAAATGGCGGGAATGATGTTAGTCATCATTTAATAAAGAAAAGACTATAATTGCTCAAATTTGTTGAAAAAATTTGAGAACATTGGTAACATAATCAGAACAAACATTTGGTTCAAAAGAAGAAAACTGCAAAACTCCATCAAACTCTTGAAGAACATAAGAACAACAGTTACTCAGCAATCATCTCGGCTGAAACTAATGCTGCAACACATAACAAACAGCTAGCAGTAACAGTCTCTAGCTCCACATCCTCCACACTACCCACCCCTTCGATGAATGCCAGCACCTGAAAACAGCACCTAGAGCGCTAGGACAACAGCTGAGGAGGAGGATAACATGGTGAACCAAGAACCAAGGTCTAGCCTTACAAAACAGTGAGACTTGTTTTAAACTGCAGTTGGCAATATGTCAAATATATCAAGCTGGCCTGTATAATCAAGTGTGGGCCAGACGCAGCATGGTTGAAATGATAAGGAATAATGCATCCTTTTTTAGTTGTTGTTTAACACCGCACTCAGCAATATTCCAGCTATATGACGACAGTCTGTAAATAATCGAGTCTGGACCAGACAATCCAGTGATTGACATCATGAGCATCGATCTACGTGATTGAGATATGATGACATGCATCAACCAAGTCAGTAAGCCTGACCACCCAATCCTGTAAGTCGCCTCTTACGACGAGCATAGTTGCCTTTTAAGGCAAGCATGGGTGGCTGAAGACCTATTCTACCCTGGATCTTCACGGGTTAATAATGCATCGCATTAAACAGGTCACACATTGTGATAACTCTATCCTCAATATAGTCGGCACTGATGATGACAATGAGGTTATGGGGACCTAAATGACACAGAATCCCCACAGTTAAACAAACAATTGATATTTAGAATATGATTCTGAACATTTAAGTTCACAACTTTGACAGTTCTCATGAGGTATCATGCATAACTACAATTAGCTATGGGCTACTAAATATAGTAAGTTTCCATTACAGTACAAGGTACTCTGTAGACCCACCTCCAGGCTGTATGTCTGCAAGCGGCCAAGGCTCTCATCATAGTACGTGTCAAGGGGCCGCCGACTGTCAGGGGGCATCTCACCACACCACGAGAACACCTACACACAGCATTGGTTTACAACACAGGTCAATCCACTTGAACAATGAACCTCGTAAATGAAACATGTTATTGATAAAGTTTTCTTTTTAGGCTTTAGGAAACAAATTTGAATGGATATATATGTGAACATAAAAAAAAAAGATAATAGTCTTGATTCTCAGGCACCGCCCGCATCATCATAAGTTCGCCGCACATTTCCTTTATTTCCATTTAAAAAAACACCCCCAAATCCTTAAATATTCCAAGTCCAACGGCAGTCAAATACTTTATATCAGTATTTTACTCATCAAGGAATACATTTTTGTAGGGAGTCCTTTCCCAGGTGGATTGTACACAACTGCTTATTTGGTTCCATACTAGTTTGAACATCCCCCCCACCAAAAAAACAACAACAAAAACACCGTCCACCTGCCCGCCCGATTCTTTTCAAAAGCCATTACCTGAGAATTCTTTTAATTTTGTTTAAAGCCCAAATTCACCCTTGAAAGGTACATTATAACAGTTATTATCTTGATTTAATTCTAATCACAGAATAACCCCACAAATTTTTTTAAGCATCTGGCAGCAGTTAAAGAATGGAAGTACATGTGGGTATACATGTATACACATAGAAATGTTCAAAAATGTACTACAGAATACAAATAATGCCAAGTGCCTACCTCTTTGGCAAAGTCCTCCCTTGTTCCCTCGCCCAGGTTGCCACCAAGTCCATGGATGAGCGAGATGGAGAAGTGAGCTTTGTTCTTGACGTCATGGAGATGGGACAGACCATTCAGGACATTACCAACAAGACTCGTGTCCACAATAAAGTCATTCTGAGGAAGGAAAATGGAAAATGACTGTTTGATGACAATACATGAGGATTTCCCACATGATACAAAAACAACAAGCATTTGTATACTGAATTTTTTTGCCTCTTATGCCATCTTAAGTGACATCGCAGCATTGACCCACCTTCTTCAGCACCCACTCCAGCGCTCTGTAGAAGTAGTCCTCAATCCAGCCACCCACTAAACTCTGGTCAGCTTCAGGTTGGGAGCCCAGCCAGGACTTGACAATAGCTTTCACATCAACATCCTCATCACTGCAACAGTGAAACAGTCACACTTAGAAAATAACATTCTGTGTTTTGAGATTTGAGGGTGTTATTGGGCATTTGACCACCCAAAATTTTAGTTGGAATTAATGGTGTAAATACAAAAGTACTCTCTCCTTTCTATGTGTATTCAAACATACATGATGCCAGTCTGGCATATTATCAATATACACTGGATGCAGTATTCTTGTAGCCATACCATGTGCAAGGTTTTTCAAATTTGGGATACTTAGGCTAAAAATCAAAGAAAAAGAGAAGTTTCTCATCGTTGTGTGGGTCATTTTAACCAAGAGGAACAATGCTGTTTTTCTGGCCTGTCCCCCTCCCTGTTCAGCCCTTCCTAATGTATCTTGTCATTTTGAATTCTGGAACTGATGAGAAACATTATAAATTGTCAAATGATCTTGAGGGGTACATCACACCATATGCCCCGAGGGATCGCTTGACAATGAAGTTATCTCACCGACATTCATTAATACTGACCCAGAAAATATGTCTGAAGTTTACCTCAGTAAAATGCTTTGATTCAGCCATGTTGACAGCTAGCAGAGGACGCAAACGAACCGTGTTACTTCCCTTTACCAAATGCATTCGGAAAAACATTGGTTCATTTCAGCTCAACGATACTTATGCGAGAAAAGCAAGTAAGAGTGTTTTACAACTGACTTCTCAGCGGACTACATGAGTGAGCTAAATGGAAAATAATTGCCCGCTCCTTAACCAATCAGAAGCTAGTTTTTTAATGTAAGGTGAGATAATATTTTTTGTTTTGGGGGCCTTAAAAAAAGTATTCATACACAGCCTAAAAGGGCCTGAAAGCATAGCTGACTGGTTGTGAAGAATATACCTAGGTGACTGGATAACGTAGAAGCTGACATATCCTTGCGGTTTCCTTTCATTGTTGAGGTAAATCTACCTGTCTCCACATTGAGACTCACCTGAGGAAGATCATGCCCATTCTGGAAATGGTGGCAGGAGAAGCACAGCTCAGATCGTGGGTCTCAAACAGGAAGTTTACGTTGGGACCAAACTGGATTCTCTCCCCTGATGGCATTGTCAGGAGTCTGTTGTCATCAAGAACAGAGTTGAGCGACTCGATCCACTCGGGGTCGATGTCACCATCACAGATAATCCATGACTGGATTTCTGAAAAAACAAAACAAACATATTTCAATCATAGCAAAACAAAACTACTGCTTTTACCAGGACAAATCTCTCAACAGGGATAATAAAAATTACTGCACACATTCAAAACAAATTTTCAAATATGACAGAAGGATTTTCTGGCACTGTATGTGAGGACACCATCTGTCCATGTCTGACTCACCTTGTGGCTCTCGGACCACCTGTCTGGCACTGTATGTGAGGACACCATCTGTCCATGTCTGACTCACCTTGTGTCTCTCGGACCACCTGTCTGGCACTGTATGTGAGGACACCATCTGTCCATGTCTGACTCACCTTGTGGCTCTCGGACCACCTGTCTGGCACTGTATGTGAGGACACCATCTGTCCATGTCTGACTCACCTTGTGGCTCTCGGACCACCTGTCTGGTACTGTATGTGAGGACACCATCTCTCCATGCCAATCTGACTCACCTTGTGGCTCTCGGACCACCTGTCTGGCACTGTATGTGAGGACACCATCTGTCCATATCTGACTGACCTTGTGGCTCTTGGACCACCTGTCTCCCACTGAATAAAAGGACACCATCTCTCCATGCCAATCTGACTCACCTTGTGACTCTCGGACCACCTGTCTGGCACTGTATGTGAGGACACCATCTGTCCATGTCTGACTCACCTTGTGGCTCTCGGACCACCTGTCTCCTACTGAATGAAAGGACACCATCTGTCCATGTCTGACTCACCTTGTGGCTCTCGGACCACCTGTCTCCCACTGAATAAAAGGACACCATCTCTCCATGCCAATCTGACTCACCTTGTGGCTCTCGGACCACCTGTCTGGCACTGTATGTGAGGACACCATCTGTCCACTCCCGAGTGTCCATGTCTATCTGACCCAGCAGCTGTGTCCGGGGCATGGCCTTGGGGTTCATGACATACTGCTTCACCTCCTTGCTCAACTTGTTGAGGGCGAGACGCAGCAACTTCAGCAGGATGGTCTTGCCCGACCCACTCGGACCCACTACCACCACACCCATACGCTGACGCAGCTGCTCATACAGCTCCAGGGCCTTCTTGATCTGTAACCAACGTAGTAATGTGAAATTATGATGCTTTATTTCTTATCTCTCACATTTCTCATTTCCGAGGCATATTACATTACTGAAACATGTATGTCCTAGTGAAAGCATGTCACAACCATATACAGCCATACATTGTTTTTTCCAGGATGATTAATTTTTTGTTGTTGCTTTACTGATCCGCCGACATGAAAAATAGCAATAAAAATACAAATATAAAATGGCTTTTGTTATCTAAACAAAATAAGCAATAAGTTAAAATGAAATACAGGATCAAATTAGTTTGTGTTGAAAAGAGGTGACAGCCCCAAATCTTCTACTGGTGCCTTAGTCATCTGAAGACCAATGTTACCTGGTTCTCATTGATGACAAGGTTGAGCTCCTTGCAGATCTCTCGTATGGCTTCAGCCAGCTGCTCGTACTCTATGTCCTTGAACTCAACATTGGGGAAGACATCCCTGACGAGGGAGTCAAAGCGCGAGCTGTCCGAGAAGGTCAGTTTGGACAGTGTGTTGATCCTCAGAGCTTGTACAACCAGCTTGGTTTCCAGTGTAGGATCAACCTTACCTGAACAACACATGGATTATCAATCAACAATGTCACGTTTATCTACGCATATTTGATTGAGGGCTTCCAACACTTTGTTTTAACATTGAGTAAGTCAATGAATGAGATTTAACGATGTATCTCTGAAGCCACAAGTAATCAATCCTGGATCAGATATAGAAGTGGTCAGTAATGGTTAGGTTATTTGTTGTTTAACGCCGCACTCAGCAATATTCCAGCTTTATGACGGCGGTCTGTAAATAATTGACTCTGGACCAGACAATCCAGTGATTGACATCATGATCTACACAATTGGGATACGATGACATGCATCAACCAAGTCTGCGAGCCTGAACACCCAATCCCGTTAGTCACCTCTTACGACAAGCATAGTCGCCCCAGATCTTCACGGGTCAGAAGTACATGGTGAAAAAGTGAACAACTACAGATACACTCAGGGGGCAGTGAGAGCTTCCAAACTTCAAAGCCATCCACTTTGCTTTCATCAAGTCCATCGATATATTACTGAGGACAATGCTTCTCAACAACCCCCACCTATAAACGTAGCACAGAAATATATTATATTTAAAGAGGCCACAAAATGAAAACATGAAAAAGTAATCACAAAAAAAACCAAACATTATGAAGGCTAAAAACAAGGTTCTCAGGCAATGAATTTTGAAAATATAGTGCGGGCTGGCGGTGTCTTTTTGTTGTTGTTCAAACTAGTATGTAACCAAATAAACAGTTGTGTACAATCAACCTGGGAAAGGGCCTCCCTAAATAAATGTATTCCTTGATGAGTAGAACACTGGAATACAGTATTTGATTACCATTGGGCTTCCAATGTGTGCATAGCTGTGATGCCGCAATAAAGCAGTGTGCATGAAAGGTGAGTAACTGCAAACTATATTGGATCACATTTTTTTAAAAGTATTCTAGCATTTCACTGCCAGGATTGTGTGCTCGAGACTCAGAATATTCAAGGATTTATTTTTTTTTAAATTGAAATATAAACAAAATGTGCTGCGGAATGGATATTGATGCAGGCGGTCCCTGAAAACCAAGACTATAATTTTTTTTAGCCTAATAAACCAAATCTAACATCACCATATCAAAGTGTGATGAGGAGTGAACAGTTGTTGCCATGCTTACCTCCCTGTGCCTTCTTGGCCTGTTGCAGCAGGTTGCCACACCCCCTGAGTACTGTCTTCAAGGCTCTCAGTCCCCAGTCATAGTGCTGCTGGGGGGTCAACAGCTCCCTGAACACACAAGCAGGTAGCAGGGTACATTCAAGCACGCTTCTAGGTAATAAATATGATCACTTCGTTGGTGTATTTATCCCCTTCTATACCAGACCATTGATGTGGGAGACTAAGGAATTTGTAGAATTTTCCTATTCGGAATATTCTATAAGTAATACGTTACCACTGTTATACCGAGGCTGTTGTCTCCCACAACTGCTGCTATAGCGAAATCTACCACAGAGATCTCAATTACCTCATGCAGCACGTGCGTAGCCACCCAGCTGCCATGTGACACCCTTCACTCTTGTCTCCTGCGAGAGCAAGTGCTCGGGGGACGGACGGGCGGGCAGCAGCCCAGTGGTAACGTATTACTTATAGAATATTCCGAATAGGAAAATTCTACAAATTACATTAAGTAATACGTTACCACTGTTATACCGAGGCTGACTACCACAGTAGGCGGTGGGGAGCACCTACAACCCGAATCCTGACTGCTAGCGTTCCTTCCGACCAGCGGAAGTAAACACCAAGGCGGAAGCACTCGATGCGCATGCACCTAGCTAGGCGTTACCCTATAGGAATACCAAAGCACTGTCAAGCGCATACCGTAAGGCTCAATCGTCATTGCCAAAACGATTGGTGACTCCAAACGGCCCCACTGGATAGGTATTTCATCGCCGCAGCGGATGAGAACACTGTATCCGCGTGAGCTTAATCTTAGATCAGGTTAAACAGTCGAAAAGAGGGAAATTAATTTCATTCAGGCCGTATATCCCAGAGCAAGCCTACTTAAAGTATGCATTAGGCGCGTGACCTAATTCCAGTATTTGTAAGCATGCATCACAAGGTTGGGATACACGACAGACAATTAAAGACATAATTGTCAAAATACAAATAAGGACAAAGCACACAAAAAGCCGCCCTCACCTGTGGTGTGAGTGCGCTGGTTTGCGGGACCCCAACTCCTGTACCCACGGCAGTGGGAACATTGGAGTAGACCCAGATTGACCACCGTGCAAGGTCAGACGCCTGAGGAGTTCGGAATTGCGCTGGGCACACCCCTTAGGTGCCCGCTTGCGCCGCGATCCGCGGGCCAAGACGGTGCACACTCTCCACGACGGCATCAGCGACCTGTTTGAGGTAATGATTGGCAAAAACCGAGTCAGAACGCCAGTAACAACCTCGTAATATTCTGCGAACAGAGATATTCGAGTGTAGGGCAAATGTTGCCGCTAGCGCCCTGATCTCGTGCGGGTTTGACCCCGCTACCGGTAACCCCCGAGACCGGTACGCCAGATTGATGACAGAACGAAGCCACAACGCAATCGAGTTGCGAGGTATGTCAACCGTGCGATTAGGGTTACACGATATGAACAGACGGTCACGCCCTTGTCTACGTTCATTCGAAGCCTTAAGATAATACTTAAGGGCCCTAACCGGACACAGCGCTCTGTCCTCAGTATCAGCAGGATGTAAGATTTCTTTGAGTGATCTTACAGTGAATTCTCTCTCCGTTTGCCCGACTCTCTGATTCTTGGCGACGAAGCCCATGAGCAGGCCCAGGCGGACCGCTCCTTCGTCACCCCTATCGAATCGTACCTTGGCGACATCGAGTGCATGAATTTCGGATACACGTGCCGCCGTGGCAAAGGAGAGGAGAAATGCTGTTTTCCAAGTCACATGCCGGAACGAAGCACTATGCAAGGGTTCATACGGAGCTTCCGTAAGTGATTGCAACACTAGGGAAAGATCCCAGGCCGGTGCCCGAAGGCGGCCCTTCTTAAGATCGTGCTGTTTGAAACCCTTGATAATACCCCGTATCACCGGCTCTTTGGAGAGACTGGTACCCATAGCAACGTCCCGTACCGTAGCAACGGACGAGACATAGTTGGCAATGGAACCCCCGGAGAGTTTCCGGGTCTCTCGCAAGTGAGACATGAAACGAGCAATATCCTGCACAGATACCTTATCTGGCGAATGAATGTGATGTTTACAACACCACTTCGTGAAAATAACCCAACGTGCATTATACACCTTCTGGGTAGAATCACGATGCATACTAACGTATGCCCGAGACGCCCGGCGAGAAAAAACTTTACTCCTCAGACGCTCGGTGACAACATCCACGCGTGCAGATTGAACTGCCCTGCGTTTGGATGAAGCTGACGGGTGTGAGGGTGGATCAAGAGATCCGGTCTCACAGGCAGTGGAAGTGGCGACTGCGTGACCTGGGTCAGCAAGTCGGGGTACCACGATCTGTTCGGCCACATGGGCGCGATCAGTAACATTCGACAGCGAACTCCTCGGAGCCGGCTTAGAATGTGTGGTATCAACGCTGTCGGCGGGTAAGCATAAGCGACCAAGCCCGTCCAGTCTAACGCGAGAGCATCGTGATCGATGGCCCTCGGGACCGGGACATGTGATACAAACAACGGGAGTTGATTGTTGAACCGCGTTGCGAACAGGTCGACCATCGGACGACCCAAACGTTCGCACAGCCACTGAAACACTACTGGGTTCAGCATCCACTCTGTGGGGCTCGGATCCTGAGGCCTCGATAGAGCATCGGCCAGTACGTTCCGCACACCTGGGATGTGACGGGCGCGTATCTGGCACGGGACACTGTCCATCAGAGCGTAAAACTCGAACGTGAGATCGAGTAGCGAGTGACTGTGGGTTCCCCCCAGTTTGTTCACATAGGACACTACCGTCGTGTTGTCGGTCGCCAGCATGAGCCGGGCGTCGACGAGACGATGCTTCCAGTGATTGACTGCGTTGATCACTGCCTTGAACTCGAGACAAGTGATGTGAAGACCTAGTTCGTCTAAGCACCACAGCCCCGAGCTCACCTCCCCCTTTAGATGGGCGCCCCAGCCCACTAGAGAGGCGTCTGTATACAGGGTCAACGTGGCCCGGTAGGGCCGCATAGAGACTCCTGATAAGACAATGTAAGGGACCGTCCACCACTCCAGATGCGGTCGGAGCCGATCCGGGAGGGCGACGGTCGCACTGTTCACCTCCGTTGCTAACAACTGGATTAAAAACCGTTGCAGCGGGCGGAGTTGGAGACGACCCCGTGCGGTGCAGTCCTGGGCTGATACAAGTAGCCCTAACAGCTGTTCCCAAAAGTGAACAGTCTGTTGCACCGCTAAGACTTTGGCAATCATCGCCTGAATTTTGTGCCACCGGTCTGGGGGGACAAAGAGGCGATGGGACACCGTGTTGAACCGACCTCCGATGAACAGCAAGTTCTGAGAAGGGGTTAACTCGCTCTTGGGGAGATTGATAATCCACCCAAATTGCTCCAAGAGCCAACGTGTGAAATCGAGATGGCGTGACAGGGTGTCCGTCATTCGATTTGCTACTAGCGAGTCGTCCAGGTACGCGAAGTACCGGACACCCCTCCTGTGGAGGAACCCCACTATGGGGGTGGTTAACCGGGTGAACAGCCAGGGAGCGGACGTGTGAATCATTCTGAGTTCGGCACTGTCCTACTTGGGAACGAGAAATATCCTGGAGTAAAACCCCGGTGTTATTTCTGGTAGAGCTAACTCCCGTACTGCCCCTTCTCCACCAACCTGCCGATGGCATCGGCGAGGATGGGAAGATTGGTTTCCGAATCGAAACCTGCCAACGGGGCAACGGTGAGCGGCGGATTCGCTTTGAGATCAAGCCGATAGCTGTACCGAATCGTGTTGACCACCCACGGGTCGTCGAACACTTGTTCCCAATTCTCCCAGTAAGTCTGGAGTCTGGCTCCCACTGGGGAAGGAGAGGGGGCCCTGACAGGTTGCGACAGGCGCAACTGTCCAGGGCCAAGTGACTCGGGTTCGCCTAAGGGCCAACCGAAGTTGGCGCTGTCGGCATACGAACCCCTCCAATGAGAGTCACCTGGAGGGGCCTTGCCGTCCTTAGACGACTTGGGCTTCCCCCAGTTCCCCGTCTTCCCGCGAAAGGGCAGCTGATTGCCCATACCGGAGCCCTCAGGGCGGGGCTACTTCCCAGAGGAAGAAGAACCCGACCCCTTAGACCTACCGGCCGCAGCAGCCTTGGGCGCGCTCCGGTTAGGAGCGGCACCCAGGCGCCTATGCAGGGACCCAACAAGAGCAAGTGTGTGCCGAGAGTCCTCAGCAACGTACTCCAGGGAAGCATTTAAACTGAGCAGGCAGTTGTAAATGCGCTGGTCACGGTCCGTGGGAGAACCTTCGACCAGACGGGCCGCTGCAGCCAAGTAAGTGTCTCCGTGAGACATGGAGTGCCGAGCGAGGGCGTCCAGCTGGTGCAAGGTAGCTTGCGTTACCGTAGCAGCCGGTGGGGCACGGACACCCAACCGCTCAACATGGGCCTCCGCGGTAGGACCAGCCTCGGGAAAGGCAAGGTCATGTACCGGGAATAAACCCTTTCTCCACGACGTCGGAGGCAACGGGAGACCCCGACCGGAGGCCGCCGCGAAGGCGTTCTCCAAGGAAGGCTTGAAACCGCGCAGCAAGGTTGATGCGGGGAAAGCCGTGTCGGAAGACTCATCGTATACCTCGGAGGAACCCACAGTCGTGGATTCCCCGCGGTACCGGCCGGGGCATGTCCTCAAAGAGGTCATAAACCATGGCCACGCGGTCCTAAACCGATAGCGGGAGCAACGGTTCGGGGGAAGGACCGGTGACCACGGGAGCCGCCGCCGTACCGGTGGACCCCGCGTCCGACCCCGCGGCCACCGAAGTGGCCGGGGACGGAACAGCCAGCGGCCTATCCTGAGATAAGGCCGCCAGCTTGGAGTCCACAAGTTATGCAAATAATGCAGCGACGGAATCCCCGGACAGCACACGGGCCGCCAAGAGATCCGCCGCTTTACCGGTGGACCCCGCGTCCGACCCCGCGGCCACCGAAGAGGCCGGGGACGGAACAGCCAGCGGCCTATCTTGCGATAAGGCCGCCAGCTTGGAATCCACAAGTTTCGACAACAATGCGGCGACGGAATCCCCAGACAGCCCAAGGGCCGCAAGGGGATCCGCCGCAGCCGAGGAGGTGGTACCCGCACGGGGACCCCGACCGGACGAACCGGCCACCACAGGGGTGGAGACGGACTGTACGTACAGCCGGTACCGCTCAAAATCCGCAGGCCCCAGACCTTCGCACAGGATGCACCGGGTGTCCCCGCAAGGAACCCTGCACCGCGGGCAACGATCGTGGGGATCCCGGGACGACAAAAACTTTCTGCACACCCCATAACTCCGAGGAGCAGGGGTAGAGGGGGTGGATACTGGGGACATATCCATGTCAGACATTGATTGTTTGCTATAAACAAAGAACAAAACATGGTTACAACGCACGCACCACAATGATTCACAAACGAACATTTTCACAAGAAAATAAACGAGCAATGTGAACATATAACATACACATATAACTTTTATTAAAGAAATAAGTTATGTTAACCCCCAAAACATACAAGAACAGGGGAAACGTAAAACACAACGTGCATACGCGAACCCCGCAAGTATATAGAAAAAAGGGCGGGAAAAATTTTCCGTTTGGCGGGAAAATTATAACCAAGCGTAGCTACCGCAACGCCCCATAAAAGCACAGTTTATTAGAGAATAAACAATAATAAATATCACCAAATCTTCAAGGAACGCTTCAGCAGGAGAAAACACGTCTTGCTAAGCAGACGAAGGAGACAAGAGTGAAGGGTGTCACATGGCAGCTGGGTGGCTACGCACGTGCTGCATGAGGTAATTGAGATCTCTGTGGTAGATTTCGCTATAGCAGCAGTTGTGGGAGACAACAGCCTCGGTATAACAGTGGTAACGTATTACTTAATGTAATTAGATGATACTGACATGTCTTTCAAATTCTCACCATTATGTAGATCTACATATCTAGATGTACAGGATGAGATAAAAGCAATGTCACACACTGCTTTCACACCCTTTCATACCATGGTTGAGTTGGTGATTCGCTTTACCCCACTTTCATCAGTACTGCAGCAGTATCATGGTGTTTGTTGATTAATGCTACACTCAACAATATTTCAGCCATAATTATGACAGACCCGTGAAGATTCCAGGGTAGAATAGGTCTTCAGCAAAACATGCTTGCCGTAAAAGGTGACTATGCTTGTCGTAAAAGGCGACTAACGGGATCGGGTGGTCAGGCTCGCTGACTTGGTTGATGCATGTCATCGATCCCAATTGCGTGGATCGATGCTCATGACATTAATCACTGGATTGTCTGGTCCAGACTTGATTATTTACAGACCGCCGTCATATAGCTGGAATATTGTTGAGCGCGGCGTTAACAACAAACCAACCAACCATAATTATGACAAAGGCCTGATCCAGACAAACCAGTGATTGATATTATGAGCAACATCACACGCCATCAGGGTAAACCAACGCGCAATCAACCAAGTCACACCTAATCTGATGACCTGATTCATTAAATCTCTTGTATGACAAGAACGGTTACTGGGAATCTATTTTAACCCAGAATCCCCACGAGTCGCCATGAGGAACAAACTCAGGTCCTTAGTGTACGACACAAATGCTTCAACCAAGGGGCTACTACACTGTTCTGTCATGGCTAAACTCACTTGGATAGATTGAAGATGGCGACCAGTTTCCTCCCAAGACTCTTGCCTTGTTTGAAACCCTCAGAAAAGAGGATGACCTCAGCAATTTGTTCGTTGTCAGGTTTGGACATGGCAACTGGTCGGAACAACTGTTTGAGATTATCAGGTAGTTTCTGTCGGCCTCCGTAGCCTTTCCCAGCTGGGTTCATGGTGATGAAGATGCCTGAGTTATGGTCAATGTTAATCTGGAAGGAAGGAAGAAGATATTCATACAGCAATATGAAAAAATATTTTGCATGATTAATCATGCTGCTTAAGAGTTATTTATCACAATAACATAAATTGATGCAATATGCATGTTGTGTCATTACAGCTACCAGCTACACTGACACAAGACAATCATAGCTTTGTAATTTCAAATTTTCATTGACAAAATTTGTTATCTCAAGTTTGTTCACCTGAAGTGATACAATCTAGCTTTTGACCGCTCACAATACACAAAATAGCAATTATACTCAAATGCGGACTATACACCTAATTCCAAACTAGCAATAATGCTGGTGCCTAATAATGGGAGATTCATAAATGGGCCCCGAGGCCAGCGTTATAGCGAGGGATGAGTGTAGTCAAGTGGGTAAGCTTGTGTCCAAGTTGGTGGCATCAAAGACTCACGTTTCTGTTGAGCAGCTCAATGCCAGGTAGCTTGTTCTTGATGGCATCCTGGATGACTTGAATCTGCATCGACACCGCAGACAGCACCGCCTCCTCCAGTCGGTTGAACTCGTCAAAGCATCCCCACGCTCCACACTTGACCAAGCCAATGAAGATCCGGCCCATGGACTTCACGTCAATTCCCTGAAACAGAAATAGAGTTCGGTTAAAAGACAACACTAAACACACATCTTGTTACAAAAGCTTCAGACTGACCTTAGGTATAGAAAATGCAATACAGTACATCTATCTGCAGTCCAAAGCCTGAGTCTAGTTTAATTTCTTTTTAGCCAGTAAGCTTTGATAATAATTGTACATTACCACAAAGGTCTATACGCAAAACGATGTCAAGTGACAAGTTGGGGCTAACAGACAGAGCTCCAGATAAGCTTTTGGTGTTGTGGGTATTTTACCCATGCATTTTAAAATCATTGGGTATCAGTAATTCTGAGTATTCAAATTTCTGTTACCCACTAGTTTTTACACATGTGGGTATTTAAGTTAAATATTTAAAAACACTATTCATCTAGTCCCTGCAAACTGGTGTCGTGTGGGTTCAAGAGCTTTATAGGACTCAAAAATACCACGATACTTCCACAAGAAAGTGTGATGGTAAATGATCATGATGTAACTGTCATCGTGGAGTTTGGCAAGATTGACGGAATGCCCGTTTATAATTTCAAAATAAGATGCTGATTTGCTAACTGAATACACAGGGTTACTTCACAAAATTTTGATGATACGCACAAGTTTTATTTTTGTAGCTTATCTGCTATGTTCGTTGCGTATTTGATACGCTTGGATTTTATTTTACTGCGTATTTCTGCATTTCTGATGAGTATTTTACGCAGATACGCAGCTTATCTGGAGCTCTGTAATAGGCATTTGAAAGTCTGTGGCGCAGTCATGCAGCTATAACCACATAAAACGTGTACAAAGGCTGTATACAAACCCACGCAAACTGCCCAAGTTGTCATAGACGTTACCATTCTGGTGAAACAAACTAGCACAGGTCCTTCATTAGCAGATCCTGGCACAGCAAAAAGCTGCAAATATTCACAGCAAGAAATGGCATTCTGGACAACAAGCCCACTTGTGCCCATTTTCACTGGAAGGGTTAGCCAGTGAAACAATACAATAAAACTAAGACCTACCTCATCACAGTTGAAGACAAGAACCTGTCGACCAAACAGCCCACCGAGGGCCTTCACTGACTCTGTCTTCCCTGTTCCGGCAGGGCCGTAGGGGTTACCTCCCAGACCCATGTGCATACCTACACAAGACATCTCCTTAGTACAACACAAATACATGTGGTATTGTTTATGGTGAAAATGATTTCAACAAAGATAAATTGAAAAAAAAAATAATTTCACATATTTTTTTTAAAGCAAACAAAATCATGTAACTGTCTGATAACAAAGATATTTCCGTTTCTCTGTCTGAAACAAAGTCATTTGTATCAGATAGATAAACAAAATGAATAAAGTATTAATTTTGTTTACCCAACAGCCAAGGACATTAATGTCCCCAACCATGTTTGTTTGTTGTTTAATGACCAGACAATCCAGTGATTATTATGAGCATCATCCCATGACACATCGGGGTTCGATGAAAAGCAATGAACAAAGCCACCTAGCCTAACCTCCCGGTCCATGTAATTGCCTTACAACAAGCACAGGCTGCTGGCAATCTAGTCTCACCTTGTGTGAGCGTGAGGTAGCACTTGTCTGTCAGCGGAGTGTGGACCAGCTTCTGAGCGTTGCCCTGGTACTCGTAGGTGTACTCGAACTCAGAATCCACCATCCTCATACAACACAGCCCATCACGTCTCAGGTAGTATCTGCAAGATCACAGACCTCACCTTCAGTGTGACCACATTGCATAACACCTGACTGAGGATGACTTCACTACCAAAAAACCCATGAAGAATACATCTGCAGCACACAGTTGATACACACACTATATATCACAAAGTGATGCAACTCCTAGATGTTTACCACTTTAATAAAACCCACAAGTATGGGTATGGTGATGAAAAACCAGAAATCATTATCAGGCAAACCTTGGATTTGAATCCACTGTCCTAGGAATCTGGCACACCTAAGGGAAGCAACTCTGTAAAGCAAATTCTGGCACTTGCACATTTAGGCCACTATGGTTCACCTCCCCATAACCATATATCTGTAAATCCCTATGAAATGTTGAGTAGCATTCGTGAATAAGGTGACAGAAGAAAATATTAAACAATTGACTGGATGAAAAGACATTAGAAGAGAATATAATCTAACACATTGGGCACCAATCGTTTAAGGCAGCGTTAGAAATTGGCACTAGTCCTGTATTCCTTACCAAACTGCCCAATAGGAAAGGTATCCTAAGGACTAGTAGAAATTGGCCCATTTTAAGGGTTTTGCTATATGTTATCATTATAAGGACTAGTGGACAAAAACGGTTAGTTTCTAACCCTGTAAGGGCTTTACAAGTATGTGATGCCTTACAGAACACAGCCAACCTGAACTAAGATTCTATCAATAGTCCCCACATGATTAATTCTCTATGTATGACCCTGTTCAGGGATTTATCAAGATATACTCAGAGGCTGGTATTCAGTTCCAAGTCTGCATCCAATGTTAGAAATAAAAAACAAACAAATTAAAATTACAAATTTCCATTTCATGTAATTATAGTTATAAGCAGCGATAACCAATATTGCAGAGGTGATTTGTACTTCACTGACAACAGGACCAAAATAGAGGATCTAAAAGGCTTCAGTGCTTAGTTTTACACTATTTCGTTGACAAACATCCCAAAATTGAAAGAAACAATGAGTTTTTCCCAGTATGCCTGTCAGGGTCACCTAGTATGTAATCCTAGAGAACCCCCTGCCTGTTACCTCTCCCCTTCACCAGCCTTCAATCTACAGTGAATCTCAGACCCACAGATTCTCCCCACAACCAGTTTCCCAGGTTTACCTGAGCTGTTTCTGCCACTGCCAGTCAGCCGTGCTCTTGATACCACTGTTCATGAGAAAGTGGATGACATCTATGGCATGAATGGTATCCAGAATGAGAGCCTTGAGCTTCAGCTCCAGCACATGGGCTTCTCCTTCCTTGCCTGCGCCGGCAAGGTCCACGCTGGTGTACGACTCCAGCTGGTTCTCAATCTCCGCCAGGAAGGACCGCAGTCCGCCTCGCTTCAACGCCTCCTCACAGTTCTCTGTGAAGCGGATCTGCTCCCCGAGACACAGGATCTGTACAAGAAGGTTAAGACAGTACAGTGACTCCACAATGAAGGAACACAGAGACAGGACCATAACACAAGACTATGCACACTGGTCTCGTGACAATTTTCAGCATAGTGAGTGAGTGAGTGAGTTGGGTTTAACGCCGCTTTTAACAATATTCCAGTTATATCGCGGCGTGTCAGCTTAATGTGGGAGGAAAGCCGGAAGTGATGCAGGTCTCAGACGTTTACCACTTCGGTGAAACCCACGAGCACGGGTATGGTGCTGACAAACGTAGAAACATAATCGGGCGAACCGGGATTCGAACCAACAATCATAGGTTTCTGGCGTGCCCAAGGGACGCAACTCTGCACAGTGAATCACGGCGCCTTAGATGACTGGGCCACCCGTGCCCCCAGTTTTCAGCATAAGTTTTGACGTTGTAATAAGGCTTTGTATGAAGCTGAGACATTGTCTTGATGTAATCATGTCATAATTCATTAGATTGTTATACATAACAAAATTGGAGTTGGTACAGAGTGGTGTTTGAATGATTAATTATAAATACTTCGACTGCCATTTTGTTTGAGTGTAGCGCCCCTTTAATGCTGCTTTCTAAAGTATTTCAGTGACACCATGCCATCACAGATTACTGTGGGAGGAAAGCCCAATATGATACAGAATGCAGATGTTTACTGCTTATGTGAAACACAAACTCTGCCCAATAAAATTATAGCCTCTCAGATCCTTGAGCCACCGATCTTGATAAAGACAACTTCCATTAAGTCCCAAGTCAGGAAAATCTAACAATAAAGAAGTAAGAAACAGCATAGTTTATAAGATTAGTTTATGATCTAGTTTATTTTGAAAACCTATCTTACATGTGCCTTGGACAAGTTTTGATGGTAAGCACCTACAGAGATCTGTCACTCTTACGCCACTTTTATCAATATTCCAGCAATATCACAGCAAGAGATTCCAGAACATAGGCTTCACACATTGTAGCCATGTGGGGAATCTTTGGGGTGATGAGTGAATGCTCTAACCACCAGGCTACCCCACTGTCACCATCTGGGATGTGCTATGGTTGTTTAACACGCCTTACCTGTGATGGGTACCGGTTGGGGTCGAGGCCACTAGATTTGTTGTCCTTGAGGCAGTCTTTCAGCAACTCTCTCAGCGTGTCCTTCATCTCTTCTGCCAGTTTGCTGAGCCAGATCTGGTCAGGAATGGACGAGGATAAATAATTATTTAAATCAACTAAAAATAACACACAAACACAGACACACCACACACAGACACAGACAGACAGACAGACAGACAGAGACATACAGATAGACATAGAGATAGACATTGAGACAGACACAGAGACAGACAGACAGACACACAGACAGACAGACACACAGACAGATAGACATAGAGACAGACAGACAGACAGGCAGACAGACAGACAGGGACACATATGAAGTAAAGTGGAGAAGTTGAAAGCCAAGATTTCAAGACTTCAAGCAAATCATTTAAAGAACAAAATTCTTCTTACTGAAGGAAATCTCAATGCCAAAACAATCAGTGTGTGTCTAATGTCTGCGAAGTAAGTACCACTGACAACAAATATTCTCATCACTACATACCTCAACCTCTGGCATGATCTTGACCTTGCGTTTGAGAGGAACCACCTCCCCCTCCAGGGACTTCATGGCGAGGATGTGCTCGCAGGTGTCGTCAAACTGTACCGAGTGTATTCCAGCAAACAGCTTCTTCAGGTGGGACTGGATGACGTTGGGATTCGTGGACTGACCCAGAATCTCCAGCAAGTCATCGTCACCAATGAAGTAGAATCTTGGGAACAGCGAACGCTTCTCCTGGTAACAACATAAATATTGGAGAGTGGAGGGACCTGATCGTGAATGTGAAACAAGTATCTTTCTAAAGAAGAAAAATATCTACCACATTACTGTAATGCAAAGGAGCCAAAGACGATACTTTGAGAATACATCTGGTTCTTGCATATAAGTAATATCAAGTCCAATGAAACCTTGGTAATCCAAACAGAACCATTATCAGTGAGATTTGCATTGAAATATTTCTGGACCATTAAGTGTTAAACCATTAATATGTAAAATTTCTAACAGTAATGATTTGGAATGCAGAAGTAACAGGGTCTCATTATACTTAAATGGCATCGTAATAAATTCTAATAAAGTGCTTCTTGTATGTCCTAACCTCCAGGAACTCGTTGAGCGACTTCTGACACCTCTGTAGCTGGTCCAGACTTGTAGACAGCAGGTTCCGTAGCCCCGCCTTGCTCACCAGTGACAGGACGCGGTTGTCTCGGTGCACGTCCATCATGATGTTCCTGCATACAAGGACTGAACTTTCAACTACTGGCTCACATATGTCCTTTTTACTTCCTATGTTTTTGACACCACAGGAAGCAATATTTAGGCTATATTTGGGTTGCCTGTACTTTCCCTTATCGAGTCTGGAGCAGACAAACCAGTGATTGACATTATGAGCATGTTGTCAGGGTGCATTGACCAATTAAACATGTCACTGAGTCCACTTGATACATTAAGTCAGCTCTCAATAGATTACTGGGGTTATTTTGTAACCAGGAATTCCCTTGGATGGCTCAGATTAGACTACATGCAAATGTACTAAGATATTCATAAATTTTCATTTCTTAGATCAGCTGGATCACATTAAACTTTCTTTTTCAAAACTTCAGAAATTATAACACACAATATTTATATTGAACAAAATTACAATCAACCACAAACCTGAAGTCGTCATCCACTCTCTTGAAGCGACCCTGTTCTCGTGGCAGAGCTCCACGGCCAAAGATGGGTTCAAGGTAGACCCACTTCCTCTGTATCTGGTTGAGGTTGTGGAGGAACTCGTCCAGGTCAGCCAGGCGCTGCTCCCACACTGATGCCTTGTCCTCGAAACTCTTGTAGTACGGAGAGTCCTTGAGGGACTGCAGAAGGCACTGATTGTCTCCTACCTAGAGGACAAAACACACAACTCAACATAAACATGAACTCTTGTAGTATGGACAGTCCTTGAGGGACTGCAGAAGGCACTGGTTGTCTCCTACCTAGAGGACAAAACACACAACTCAACATAAACATGAACTCTTGTAGTATGGAGAGTCCTTGAGGGACTGCAGAAGGCACTGGTTGTCTCCTACCTAGAGGACAAAACACACAACTCAACATAAGGTGAGGTGAAATGGGGTTTAACGTCACGTTCAAGATTACTGTACTTATACAGCAACGTGCATTCACGTGTGTGTGTGCGTGTGTGGCTGCTTGTACTAGTCATGGTGCTTGCTCAATGAGATGCCATGCCGCAGTTGAACATGAATACCCCACTCAGACACTGTATACTTAATGCAGAGCGCCAGACAGGGTAACAACAAGTACCATCTTTTAACATCTCTTGGCATGACGCGGACAGGGATCAAACCCTGGACCTTCCACTCTCCGAGCAGACGCTCTACAACTAGACCACGGAGGCGGTCCTAACTCAATATAAACATGAGAGAGTGACAGAGTGGGTGAGTGAAATGCATTCAGAGCAGCCTTTTAGTTACATTATGGCATGTCAGGGAGGAGTGAGTGAGTGAGTAAGGTTTTACGTCGCTTTTAGCAATATTCCAGCAATATCACAGCGGGGGACACCAGAAACGGGCTTTACACATTGTACCCATGTCGGGAATCGAACCTGGGTCTTCGGCGTGACAAGCGAACACTTTAACCTTTAAGCTATCCCTGTCAGGGAGGAAAGATCAAAGCTTATAGACTACGTTATATAGGATTCAAACTAACAAGGGGATCCTGACATTGCTAAGGGTAACAACTCTGCACAGTGAATTGTGTTTAATACTACTGAAGCACTCATGTCCCCTGTACTGTAATGTAAGTACTTATGGAATAAATATAGTCATTAGGATGACATTGTTGTTGAAACAAAATTAGAATTAATAACAGATAATATCCAAAGCAGTTTTTTGTATATTGTATAAGTAACAATCACATAGGTTAGTTTATCGAGTTAAGATCCTACACATGTATGTCAATAACCTCTCTATACTCACCTGATTGACAATATCCTTCCATTCCTTGATGACATGAATGGTATTTTTGTTGCTGTCTTCGTATTCTGTCAGCGCAAACACCGCCCCTGCACCCCACAGCTCCAGCTCTCGGATAGCTTCACGGATAGTTACCTCCCCTTGGGCTCTCTGGTTCAACTCCTGTAGACAATACAAGTCAAAGAAAGATTGAATGAATTTTTAATTTTATGCCAAACAGTCACACAAATACCCTTAATGGTTTAAAGTCAGATACCTATGAACATGAAAGCATGTACCACTAACCACAAACTTGGACATACGTTAATGTGAAATCCTCACATTTGGAGATCATTCATTTCCTGAAACCATCAGACACATGCCAACTTAAGTCATGATCTAATGCATGAACTTATCACCCGTGGAATAAACAGTGTAATCTTGTACAAAAGATGACCTTGAGAGCATCTGCATTGATGATGATGTTGTCGCTGACAGCCAGGATGTGTCCGAAGGTGAGTTTCTCCAGCGTTGTTCCCTTGGGCATGTGTAGGAGTCGGAACAGCTCCATCCAGTGATCCTGGGAGAGGGGCTCGCCTCGCACCCACTTCAGCACTGGCAGCACATTCTATAGATAAAGTTAAAATAAGCATTAAATACTCATATCTGATGCCAATATCACATATCGGGTTGTGTGCAAGACCAGATATATTGTACAGATTTCAAGATCTGCTCTGGAAAGGAGCACTACCGCCATTTTCAGTCTAAGTCAAAGTCGCTGCCATGGAAACTAAAAACAAAATGTTTAAAAAATCGAAACTATCAAAGGCACCAATTCATCACTCGATCTATCTATGTGCCAAGTTTGGTAAAGATATCTCTCATGATTTTTTAGTTCAGCTCTGGAAACGAAACGTAAGGAGCGGACAAACAGATGAAAGTACAGACAGACAGCACCCTTTCCTATATCCCCCTTCCAATTCATGGTGGGTCATAATTACATCGTTTTTAAAATAATCAGGAGAAATTAATAAATACTTGAAGATATTTCTTCTCAGGCATGACTTATTTCAATTAATTTCAAATATACATGTATGTAAGACCTTGTATTTATTCAGGCATTGATAAATAAATAACAGTCATATTTAGCATAACATCAAGTCTTTTGCGCTGAACCATGTTTTCTGAGTTGTAGGTGAAGTGTCATGTGATTGAGTTATCCCTGTCATAATATTCACAGCAATTTGACCTCAAAGATCAGAAGTTGCCATTGCCAGAAAGGTATGATGAAAAGATTGTGACATAATTGATTAACATAAAACAGTGACAAATTTAGCCTGCAACACAACTTCCTGAGGTAAGGGAGTTAACTGACTATAAAGGCCAGTTTCCACCCTTGGAATTTCAGAGTTATATTTTGGCTGGACTAACGAGTCTACGCATAATCCAATCAAAATCATATAACGAACTAGACACCACTGATAACACTAGGTGTTCGAGAAAAGGGTTAGCATGTCCTGCCTTACTAGAAGCACCCGTCATTCACACAATTTGCATAAAAAGTATGTGTTTGTAGCCTGACAATGCACAGCAGTGCTCCTGTCATGTGAAGGCAACCTGCCACAAATCCAGACATACCGTATTCGACGTAATAAGCGCCCCGCTCCAATAAGCGCCCACGGCGACATTTGCTAAGATATTGGCTAGTGAACAATCCAAATTAGCACCCCTTCCGATTGATCACTGTACACAAGACTTATTTATTCGCGTATAATACGCACTCGTGGGTTATATGCACCCTTAATTATGGGCATTTAATTCTGGAAAAATATATCTGTCGTACATAAAGCATAAACCTCGAAATTTATCTTTCAACTCTGTTTTTTTCACCAAAATAATATTCTAATAAGAGCCCACTATTTCTAATTTTGAGAGCGCCCTGGGTGCTTATTTCGTCGAATACGGTAACAAAACATGTCAGCCCAAACATACAACAGCCCAGTGTGTCATGTCTGCCTACCTTGTACTTGTCAATGTCCTTCTGCAGTCTAACTGTCATCGTGGTGGTTTCCTCGGACTTGAGTCTCTCGTACCAGCCACCTAGGAACTCCTCGAATCTGTACGCTTTGCTCCTGAAACATGGCACAGTCGGTCAATGGGACTGCTTCGTGTGGAGGTCAATTGTCACATGGTCATAATGTTCACCATGTCTACTAGATTGTATGTGACAGGCATATGCTGCATCATGGGCAGGTAGCTGTAACTATGACAAAGCACCAATGTACGTTGTAAATGGTGTTTAAGCAAAGAGAACAAAACATAGCACTCATAAAGGATTTAACATAATGTATGTTACGTAGAATTCAACTCAGGCTGTAACCCAAATAGCTCTCAGGGATAAGTAGCTGACATGGACGAGCATGCAAATGTTTTGTTATTATCAAATTCTGCTGGGGGCACGGGTGGCCTAGTCGTCTAAGGCACTGCGATTCGCTGTGTAGAGTTGCGTCCCTTGGGCACGCCAGAAACCTACGATTGTGGGTTCGAATTCCAGTTTGCCCCGATTATGTTTCTGGGTTTGTCAGCACCATACCCGTGCTCGTGGGTTTCACCGAAGTGGTAAACGTATGAGATCTGCATCACTTGGGGCTTTCCTCCCACATTAAGCTGACACGCCGCGATATAACTGGAATACTCTCAAAAGTGGCACTAAACCCAACACTCACTCACACAAATTCTGCCCCTCCACACATCAATATCATTCATGCATAGTTTCAGATTTCTTGGCTTCTGAGAACATATCACAGAAAAATAATATATTAATGCTGAATTCCACACACAAAAATTTCAGAAACGAATTTCAGCAGTTACAGTTCTACAAAAGAAATAGAAAAGGTTGTTTTCAAAATATCACCTACAATTTAAAAACAACTTGTGATAATTATCATTCACACAAAGTCACATCTTTGTGTCTTTCTTCAAATAGACAAACTGAAAAGGGAGACACTATTCCAGTAAAGTTTTACCTAAATGATATCCAATCTTCCTTGGCCAATTCCTGCAGTCCACCATTGAACTCCTCATACAGTTTCCACATGCTCTGATAGTTCTTCAAGTCACTGGCTATCTCATCCACGATAGACAAGTCTGGTTGTTCCATCTCGAAGTGCTCACAGTCCGACCTGGAAGTACGAGATCAGAAGTAGATGACAGGGCTGTACCAGGAACATCTTCAGATTTAATAATATATTAAAATATTATTGTAACATATTATATTCTTGGACTAAATTTAATGACAATGTTGTAACAATGCACACTAACAAGTGTTGTTCACAAAGTGCATTATATTTTTTAACTCCATTTAACATGTAAATGGACATTTATGTTCTATTTTCAGGTCCCCAGGGATTATACATCCGACCTGTATGTACGGCACCTGAAGGTTAGCAAACACATGACCATATCAGCCTACTTGGTACCCATTCTCTGCTGTGTGAACAGATGAATACTGACAGCAGGAGTGAGCGACAATGATAATCATTGTCACAACATCTTCAATCATAGTGATTTACTGGTGGTAAATGCTTTGCATGTCTAGCCACATCCTATGACAACTCTAAATCTGCAAATTCACATCATCTGTCCTCAGTATTTCAAAGAACTTTTCCACTCATATGACATAGTGGCCATCTTTTGTAACCACCTCTAACAACAAGCATGGGTATGTTGCTAGATTGGACCACCCTAAACTCAGAATATGTCTTCAATGGAAGAAGAACTTGTCACTGCAACACTCACATGAGTTTTGTCTTGGACTCCATCAGTTCCTCAAACTCCTGCTTCTTCTCGTTGATGACCTGGACGGCCTGCTCACACTTCTCTTGGTCGCCCTCCAGGGCATCGTCGCCGGGCTTCAGCTGGTGCCAGCGGGCCGAGAACTTCTCCACCTCCTGCTGGAAGGCCTTGACCCTGGAGTCCACGTTGCTCTTCATCACCTCCACCTACCCCAGACACAAAATGTAGGATTATGTCAAAGTAGCATGGAGGATCCCCTCCACCTTCACCAGACACAAAATGTAGGATTATGTCAAAGTAGCATGGAGGATCCCCTCCACCTTCACCAGACACAAAATGTAGGATTATGTCAAAGTAGCATGGAGGATCCCCTCCACCTTCACCAGACACAAAATGTAGGATTATGTCAAAGTAGCATGGAGGATCCCCTCCACCTTCACCAGACACAAAATGTAGGATTATGTCAAAGTAGCATGGAGGATCCCCTCCACCTTCACCAGACACAAAATGTAGGATTATGTCAAAGTAGCATGGAGGATCCCCTCCACCTTCACCAGACACAAAATGTAGGATTATGTCAAAGTAGCATGCAGGATGCATTCCACCTTCACCAGACACAAAATGTAGGATTATGTCAAAGTAGCATGGAGGATGCATTCCACCTACCCCAGAAATAAGATGTAGAATAACGTCACAGTAGCAAAGCTACTTCAGCTATATCACCATCAAAAAGCACAGTACTGCGCTGATCACAGACCAAGAAACTGTGGTGCTCTATATAGCTCATGACCATTCTACACCCCCAAACACCATAAACTCTGAATTCATGCGTCTACCATGATGTGCAACGGACCTGTTCCTTGACCATCAGCTGGTGGCTCTCCATCATCAGCTCGAACTTGTCCCACCGCCCCTGAAGCTGTCCCAGGGACTCCACGCCACCCCCGGCCACTGACCGCAGTAGCTTGTTCTTAGACTCTGTCTTGTTAAACAGGGGCTGTATCTGTGAGGAGAGAGAATCACATCAGTGCATGCATACATTGAAAAGATGCATGTGTATTTTTCTGAATGGAAAAAGTCTTGAGTAGCTTTTTCATGAAGGTATTTGATGAAAATACATGTACTACTCAGCATCTTATGCATGAAGAAGAGCTTAACATTAAACACATAATGATTGTGAAACAAACTGACAGTAAAATAGTTCATTCCTTTAACAAACATAATACTTCAAAACAAAGCAGTCAGTGTTTGCAAGACACTTATGGGTGAGTGGTGAATATTATTTGATGCCGCAGTCAGCACTATTCAAGACATGTAGTGGCAGCCTATGGCTATTCAAGCCTACTTCAAACAGACCAGTGGTTGATAGCATGAGCAACAATGACACAATCAGACTGGTCACATATTGTCACCATCTAATTCTCATTAATCAGTTCATCAGCCATGGGGAGCTGGGGACCTAATTATTTGGAATCCCAACAGAGCCAGCTATTCTGAAGCAAAGGACATTCTCACATACCTCTTTCTTACTCTTAGCAAACTCTGCATGTTTGGAGTTGGCATCGCCAATCTCCTCCACAGTGTTGGGACGTTTGGACAGGGTCTCCATAGCTGTGTTGAGGAAGGAGTCTATCTGGGTGACATCAGCTGCGATGGATTTCCTCAGGGAGTTGAGCAGGGCATCAAACAGTCGCTGGATGTGATCATCAATAACAGCCTTCACCGGTGTAGTGTTCACGGTGATGCAGTCCACCTTGATCTGACTGTAACAGAGTGAGTGAGTGGGGTGGGTTTAACCCTGATTTCAGCTGTGTTTCAGTTGTACCACAGCACATGAGTTTCCTGGAAAGTTATGTATTTACCACTTTTGTAAATCATAGAAGTAGTTTTACCAGGCTTATGTTTTTTCAATTTTAATGGGCGCCTTACCCTCAACCTAAAACAGAACAACCCTGAAGACAAAAAGGGTGTCCAAAGGCTAAGATGGTAACCATATCAGTGAAGCGTAAGTCAGTTTAGGGACAGTCGACAGCCCAGTACATTTCACACATCCAACAACCACATTAGGTGCCAGAAACCTTACAAATAATTGATCAATTGCATTGTATACAACTATCAGTCCACTGCAAATACTTTACGGAGAGAACAAAGCTTTATCTGACAGGGGTTAATACATACACATGTATAACATCAAACTGCACTTTAAACAGAACAAGCATATTTGTTTTTCAACCCACCAAACAACCCAAATACAAAACTGCTCCATTACTTTATTTTAAATTTTTATTTAACCTACCCAAGCAAATTTTAGCAAAACATATATAAACAGTGGATCCTCACATGAAGTTGTTTACACAAAAATGAAGAATATGAACAACAGACATCCAAATGGGGCAAAATCATAATGATTCATTTAATAAGTGATATGAAAATTTGCAGATATTGCCAGAAAGAAATCCATGAAAGTTATGTTGGCAAAGTGCGTTTACAATAAATGTTCCCAGAAGGCATATGTTGGTCAAGCATGCTACAGCCTGTGGCCCCTGCAGTAGATAATAGGACAAGACACATGACAGTGTTACCTGGGTAGCTTCTCTGCATCCCTTCCCCGAGTTTTGAGTGCCTTGAAGTTCTTCTCCCAGTCGGAGATCTCCACCAGGTTGTCCAGCACAAACTGATCCAGGTCCAGACTCCCCAGCACCACCCAGTCCTGCACACAAACACACACACTCAATGGCTGTCACAACACAAACTGATCCAGGTCCAGACTCCCCAGCACCACCCAGTCCTTCACACAACCACACACACTCAATGGCTGTCACAACACAAACTGATCCAGGTCCAGACTCCCCAGCACACAACCACACACACTCAATGGCTGTCACAACACAAACTGATCCAGGTCCTGACTCCCCAGCACCACCCAGTCCTGCACACAACCACACACACTCAATGGCTGTCACAGCACAAACTGATCCAGGTCCAGACTCCCGAGCACCACCCAGTCCTGCACACAACCACACACACTCAATGGCTGTCACAACACAAACTGATCCAGGTCCAGACTCCCCAGCACCACCCAGTCCTGCACACAACCACACACACTCAATGGCTGTCACAACACAAACTGATCCAGGTCCAGACTCCCGAGCACCACCCAGTCCTGCACACAACGACACACACTCAATGGCTGTCACAACACAAACTGATCCAGGTCCTGACTCCCCAGCACCACCCAGTCCTGCACACAACCACACACACTCAATGGCTGTCACAGCACAAACTGATCCAGGTCCAGACTCCCCAGCACCACCCAGTCCTGCACACAACCACACACACTCAATGGCTGTCACAACACAAACTGATCCAGGTCCTGACTCCCCAGCACCACCCAGTCCTGCACACAACCACACACACTCAATGGCTGTCACAACACAAACTGATCCAGGTCCAGAGTCCCCAGCACCACCCAGTCCTGAACACAACGACACACACTCAATGGCTGTCACAACACAAACTGATCCAGGTCCAGACTCCCCAGCACCACCCAGTCCTGCACACAACCACACACACTCAATGGCTGTCACAACACAAACTGATCCAGGTCCAGACTCCCGAGCACCACCCAGTCCTGCACACAACGACACACACTCAATGGCTGTCACAACACAAACTGATCCAGGTCCAGACTCCCGAGCACCACCCAGTCCTGCACACAACCACACACACTCAATGGCTGTCACAACACAAACTGATCCAGGTCCAGACTCCCCAGCACCACCCAGTCCTGCACACAACGACACACACTCAATGGCTGTCACAACACAAACTGATCCAGGTCCAGACTCCCCAGCACCACCCAGTCCTGCACACAACCACACACACTCAATGGCTGTCACAACACAAACTGCTTTCAACCAGAGCTCCATATAAGCTGCGTATCTGCGTAAAATACTCATCAGAAATGCAGAAATACGCAGTAAAATAAAATCCAAGCATATCAAATACGCAACGAACATTACAGATAAGCTACAAAAATAGAACTTGTGCGTATCATCAAAATATTGTGCAGTAACCCTGCGTATTCGATTAGCGAATTAGCGAACTTATTTTGAAATGATAAACGGGCATTCCTTCAACTTGCAAAACTCCACGATGACAGTTAGATCACGATCATTTGCCATCACACTTTCTTGTGGAAGTATCGTGGTATTTTTGAGTCCTATAAAGCACTCGAATCCACACGACACCAGTTTGCAGGGACTAGATGAATAGTGTTTTTAAATATTTAACTTAAATACCCACATGTGTAAAACTAGTGGGTAACAGAAATTTGAATACCCAGATAGAATTACTGATACCCAATGATTTTAAAATGCATGGGTAAAATACCTACAACACCAAAAGCTTATCTGGAGCTCTGTTTCAACTTAGTTAACTTTAACCTTGCTAGACTGAAAGGAATGTTACTTGTCTCTGACGTCAGACAAGTGGCTCAATAGGCAACCAGCATCAAGATAGTGTGATCTGTAGTTCTCAAACATGTGCCTATGTCAGTGACATCCTGCTTATAATTCTACTGTTAGATGATTTACCAGCAAGTTTGGCAAAATGCATTATGTCGTAGTGGTTTGTCTACCTTAAACTGGTCCATGACTGTATGGAGCCGGTGTAGGAGGGCGTTGCCCTTCTTGTAACAGGTGACAAAACCCTCAGCGTTGCGGTCGATCATAGCAGGGAAGATGAGATTCTCTGTTGATTCACCAACACCCTTGAAGTTGTTTGGAATGCTGATGAATTTCTTCAGCTCTCTGAAGTACTTGGCCTTCACTTCCTCAAATGGTGGACGGAACTGGAGGCGTTGTTGTCTGTGGTGGAAGAGGACCGTTACTATTACTCCAGACCATAGATTACTGTGACAGTCTACATCAATCACAACAGAATGACACTTCATGAGACTTATCTCCTGAGCAAACTATACAGGGGTTGAACATTAGCTGTTGAATAAAACAACACAAAGTAAAACTTTTAGATTAAAAAAAAAAAAAACAAGCATGAAATACTCATATTCCAACACCACCATTTTCAGTCTAAGTTAAAGTCGTTGCCATGGAAACTCAACAAATAAATTTTCAAAAATCCCAAACTATCAAAAGGCACCAGTTCACCGCTAGACCTATCTATGTGCCAAATTTGGTTAAGATATCTCTCATGCTTTGTAAGTTCTGTTCCGGAAACAAAACGTGATGGACGGACGGACGAAGGACTGACGGCACCCATTTCTATATCCCCCTTCCACTTCGTGACAAGGATAATAAAATATGTGAAGTAAATGTGAAGATGTATTTGGGAATAAGGATTTATAATAAGATTGAGTGAGTGAGTATAACTGTTTAGCAAACCAGTGGTTGATAGCACAAGCAATGAACCACACTGCTGCATCATGAGACTCAATCAGCCAGGTCATGCCTTATGATCATCCAATCTCATGTTACAACTGGAGGTATCTTTTCACAGGAATTACAAAGAGCAACAGCCTAATTGAAGTAACTTGATTCACGAAAGCCAGGTTTTACGGTATGCTTTCAGAATAATACCTAACATTTTCAATTTTCATTTCATTCACCTACTACCCGTAAAGATCTGGGGTAGAATAGGTCTTCAGCAACCCATGCTTGCCGTAAAAGGCGACTATGCTTGTCGTAAAAGGTGACTAACGGGATTGGGCGGTCAGGCTCGTTGACTTGGTTGATGCATGTCATCAATCCCAATTGCGTGGATCGATGCTCATGATATTAATCACTGGATTGTCTGGTCCAGACTCGATTATTTACAGACCGCCGCCATATAGCTGGAATATTGCTGAGTGCGGCGTTAAACAACAAACCAACCATCATTCACCTACCTGTATGTAAGTTCCACTTTAATCTCCGGCAGGTTCTCATTGAGGGCTTCCAGACCAATCTGGTACTGGTGCTCCAGGGCTTTGTACATCTGCCTGTCCCAGTGGGCCTTCCATGGCTTCATGTTCTCACTGGTGAAACCCTGTCACGATATGCAATAATTGCTGCATTAGGAGTGGTTCACATCCATCCATAGGACTACCAAGATCTAACACATCATTTGATTGGGTGGCTAAATGCAAGGGAGATCACTCTCATATGACAGTTTCAAAGGTAGATAACTCTTGATGACATAACACACTAGAGAAAATTATGTTTTTCATTTGCTTTACAAACATGTGCAACGAATGAGGTGACAACATTTGATAAATAGTATCAGCACATAATACTGAGCCTATTTTAGAAAAATCAGACCGTCCTTAGATGCTATGTAACATGATGACAAGTAACAGATTTGATCCCATGGCATATAAATAGGGGTGGCTATTTTAGGCATTGGAACTATTGCAATAGTATTGTGATTGTGTAAAACACTATTTTGATAAGAGTATTCTGTATTACAATCAGAGAATCTTTATCTTACAAATCTTCATATTTCCTAGATTTACTCTACATGAAGTCAAGTCTACCACATGAATCCTTTTCCTATTTTGGTAGATTGCAAGGGACCTTGATAGAGATTTAAAGGAGATAGCTCTTAATGTTTTTGTAAGCTGCTGAATATTTTCTTAATGAGTGAGTGAGTGAGTTAATATAACATCACATCGGCAATATTTCAGCCATATTGTGACAAATTTTCTAAATGGAAATGAATGTAATGTGTTAACTAGGGTTGTGATTTATTTTACGTATGTTTGTAATTATACACAGGGTCAAGTATGTAGAGATGTCAACTATCAAAATTTTAACTTCCCATGTTTGGCCACTGGCACGTAGTCATGTTGAAGACTGAATCCACCGGTCATACCACATTGCATCTTACTACGAGTACACAGTATTCACACAATTTATTTCTTCAAGGAAAATATCAACCATTGAATGGGTCTAGTGACCAAATTAGGTTGATGCCACTGATGTCTTTCAGTTATACCAAGCATTTCAGCTTTAATGGTAGAAGAAAGCCTGAAATGATGCAGGGGTTCAGACAATTACCACTTTGATGAAACCAGGAGCACATGTATCGTGCTGACAAACCAAAGATCATAATCAGGGCGAATAAAGAAGTTTCGAAACCCAAAATCAAAATATTTTCTGACTTTTACAAAAAAGAGCTGACACAACTATCCTGCAGACTGACCTGCTGGACAAGGCTAGCCATGAGGTGGCGTATGTCCATAAGTCCATCCTTCCACTTCTGTTGTTGTCTCAGCAGATCCACCGACATCAGATTCTGAACCTGTATCAAAAGCAAGGAGACATATCAGTTACCCATCATTTTAACAAAGAAACTTTACTTCACTGTTATTAGTTATCACAAATCTATAAGCAATCAATACAGTTATTGTAACACTTACTGCAGTTACTGAAAAAGTCTGGAAATGAATGGTAAAAAGGTAAGTTTTTATAAAGAAATTGCAGGTGATTCTGTGGCATTTGACTGACGAACCAAGCAAATTCTTAACCGAAAAAAAACAACAATTGGGTCATGCCCGATAACAGACAACTGGGTGGGGTTTGTGTTGCAAAATTGCACTGAACGATGTCACTGATTTCGTATTGATGCCAACATTGTTTGTGTGTGTTAATGAATAAATAAGCAGAATGTGAAGTTATTGTTGCGGACATATTTATTAATAAGAATTGACTTCAAAATGTTTTAGCATTTATGGAGTTATAAACGTGAAAAAGAGTGTGCACACCAGATTTTATGTTCCTGCCTCCATGAACACAAAATTAATTGAAGTCAATTCTTAAATTAAATGTTACCAGTTTTGCCTCAAAGCAACAGCTCTTGCTTGAACAGGTGGACAGTTCTTGTTCAATGTTTCAGAACCTGACCACCCAATCCAATTTAGTCACACTTGGGCAAACAAGACAGTTCTTGAGACCTATTCTAACCAAGGGATTCCACATGGATCAGAGTTGACATCACTCCTCTACATTATAACGCCATGATATAATGAATTCCACAGTATATTTGATATACAGTCCATTCCAGAAAACAATGAATAATTTTACAATTCACTTAGCAGCATCACAGAATCAAAAAGCTGCTCCACAATGGGACATACCTTTTCACAGACCATGTTGTGAGACTTGCGGAGCTTCCTGTTCTCCGTGGTCAGTCTGTCGGCAGATGCCTGGAGCTTCTTGATGTACGACTCCAGCTCCTCCGGGTTGTCCCAGGTCACCTGGACACCATCGCCCTTGGACTTCGAGCCTGCCAAAAACACCATGAACACCAAATTCTGACACTCGATTGTGTTTGACACATACACTCATGTTATAATCTCAATGTATGTTAAATTCCTGGCTAAATGGTGTACTGCATGTAAAAGCTGATCCTGATGTGAGAGAGGTGATCGAACCCGGGTCTTCGGCATGACGAGTGAACACTTAAATCACCAGGCTACACGACTGCCTCATTGTTCCCATTTGTCTGAGTATGACTTAACACTACTTTGAGCAATTTTCCAGGCATATCCCTAAGAACTGGCTTTACACATTGTACCCATCAGGGAACTGCACCTGTACCTGCAACCACTGGGAAATACAGGCATCCTACACAGATTCAATAAAGGGAACTATTTCATGCCACAACTTCTGAGGAGTCTCATGTGTCACCAATAATAGCAAGATGTCCTGCCAACTCACTTTTCTTTCAAACTGAACATAACAGCACAAATGATGAAGTCTTTGATAGGCATTTAGTTGGGATAACATGAACACATGACACTTTTTTATGGATAGCAACTTCTTTTATTCTCTGAACGACGTTTCAGAGCTACTTCTTGCTCCTTCATCAGGCAAAAATGATGTACCCATGTTTAAAAGACATTAGAGCTGTGGAAACAATGTTACGTGAAGATCAATGAGTCTAATTTTACCTGTTTTAGGATTTTTGACAAGTTTCTCAAAAGCGAGAGCAGACTCCAACATCATGGCCTGCTGGCTGGCGATCATCTGCTGGTCGATGGTGTTGTAGAAGTGGGCAACCTGCCAGATGAGAGCACAGGACATAGATCAGCCACCAACCAAGTGTAACCTCTCGGAATCAACAGTGAGTGTGTCTGTTTGGCATGATGCTGCTTTGAACAGTAGTTCAGTTATTTCAAAGCCCATCTGCTTCATGTGGGAGGAAAGCCCGGAATAATGCAGAGCGTCCACTACTTTAGCGAAACCCAGGGGCAACAGTTTGGTGGTGACAATCCAAGAAACATAATCAAGGCAAACCAGTGTTAGATAATACTATTTATCATATAACTGGTAGGTTTCTCGGCAGGATAAAGCCAATGGATAAAAGCAATATCCTTTGGGGTCATATGCGGATAGAGATGCAAATATCAAAGACTACTTTCAGTGTTTATAAACAAACATGGCGTTGCCCTTGTCATTCGGCGATCTAGTCAGAATTAACCAACGGGAATCTGGAGAAACTACAGGGATAATAGCTATCATTATCAGAAGAACAGTCTAATATACTGAAAATCAGTGTCTAACTGTGACGTAGCTAAGGTATTTCATAAGTTTTTGCAACTTTGGAGATATAAATTTCAAAATTTTGCGAGGGTACTAGGCCTAGCCAAGCAGGATCAGTAGCCATATCTGTGCTTGTAGACCTCTGTGGCTTGAAACCTTTTCCACAAATTAAAATAGTTGGATTTGGTCAAAATATGTTCGAATTGTTACCTTGTTTCGTTTTGTCGCTGTGTGTACATCTGACTGCACTTCTTAACATTATGACAGGACAGGCCGACTTTCAACAACATTTGATCGTGGACGTGACGTCTCATAGACTAGGGTTAGAGTAGCTTCCCTTTGACAAAGGGCAGTTACTCTAGTGGACAGGCCAATCATTGCCGCAAAAGGCAAGTAAAAACAATTGTTGTTTTGCGTATGTGTTGTTTTGCCACTGTATAAGGACCAGATTTCAGTTGGAACTATATTGGCTACTGTCACTGTCAGACTGACACATCACTTACCCTGTGACATAATAAATTTTAATGCACACATTCCAGGAAAACTCACAATGTTTCGAAAATTGTTGTGAGAGATGGAAAGCGATTTTCAAGCGCAGAATTGAAGAATGACATTATATGATAAAGAGGCTCGCTAAATGCAATGTTTATTCCTAATACAGGATATTTACCATCCCCAAACACACTCGCGTGATAACCTCTATGTATTTTAGCCACCAAAAGAAACGCAAACCACAGAAACATATAGATAAGCATGTATGTTGAGAAGAGATGTTTCCAATGTGTACCACTTAATGACAAAACTCACGATATGCTGCACATGATTTCCAAACTTTACACGCTAATCCTGCACGAGACAAATAGCGCATCTCATGTCATGGATCAATGACGTCACATGTGACGCAGTCATGCGCATCAGCTACATACCAGTATGTTCGTTCGTGCATCAAACCAATCTAATATCTCTTGAATATTTATAAACCAACATGTGTGGTATTTGCATATATGATGCATGTTTAAGTCAAATCATGCACAGAAACATACAGGGTAAAATGTTTTATTGACCTACCTGTTTCAGGATGACTCCATGACGGTAGAACTTCTGTGCTGTGTTAGCCACCTGCTGAATCTTGGCTGGTACAGCAAACCCAATGGCCGACAGTTGCCTCACTTCACGCAGCAGGGTAACCAGGCGATCACTGTAGTTCACCCGCAGTTTACCATCTCTCTGGTTCAACTCCATGAGTCGACCATTCGTCTCCAAGCTGAATGACAAATTACACAATGTCACAACTTGGCAGGAAAGGATATTTTTAAAGCCCCCTTCAAGTAATGTTTGAATCAACAAGTCATCATCTCAAGGTGAGATTAACAAATCTTCCAGTGCAATAAAACTTCACTAAACACCACCAAACCTCATCCATCTGTCCATGTTATTGTCTAATTAAATGGGGGGCGGTCGGGTAGCCTAGTGGTTAAAGCGTTCGCTCGTCACGCCAAAGACCCAGGTTCGATTCCCGACATGGGTACAATGTGTGAAGCCCATTTCTGGTGTCCCCAGCCGTGATATTGCTGGAATATTGCTAAAAGTGGTGTAAAACCATACTCACTCTAAAATGATCAAATCATGTGTTCTATTTTTTAATAATCTTTCATTTTCACTGATATCACTGGACCAATTTAGGTTATCAATTCAAAGTTTTCAGGATGATCCCGGTGATCAACAAACAACTTACCACAAGGTACCACAAGGTACCACTGGTTAGTCTTACATGAACAGATTGGTCAGACGAGTGCATGAGTAGGGTTTAATGCTGCTTTGTACAGTATTTCAGTGACATCATTTTGTCTAAGGTTAATGTTGGAAGAATCCTGAAGTGAGGTCCTTCACAATCACGTTTACGATCATCTTAATGGTGCAGACTAACCAACAGTCATAATCTGTGCGAATCTAGGATTCGAACCCACGATCTTAGAATTCTGGCAGATAATTGCTGTATCTTAGTCGACTGAGCCAGCTCCTGGACGATGAACCCTGCACACACCTTAGTGGCTGTCTGGTGTCCTCTACCAGAGCTTGTATATCCCGGGTCCACTCATCAAACTGATCTTTCCTCCAGCTCTCAAGTTCATCACGTAACTCTGTAGCATCCCGACGGAACTTCTCAAACCCGGTCAGATCACCAAGAAGGGCCTCAGCTACTTGTTTCGTCTCATCAACCTACAAAGTAAATAGTTACTGGTAGTCAGTGGTATCTTATTTTAGTGAGCCAAAGTTTGCAGGTGTCTGAGTGAGTGACCTTTGTGTGATGAATACCTTTTTCACTTTCTGACCATTTGCTCAACAACGCACTTAAAGAGGTTCAATAAAGTATCGAATAACGTCTCCTTTCAGTTATATCATGGCTTTGTCAGCTTGATGTGGGAGGAAAGACAAAGTGGTTCACGTTGTATACATAAAACATGGGTGATCTGCTACTGACAAGCCAAGGGTAATAATTGGGACAAATCCTGGATTCATATTCATAGCCAGCAGATCCTGGTGCAGCCAAGGGATGCAACTCTGCACAGTGAGTTGCAAGAACTTGGAACACTGCAGCAGTTCAGACATACAGTGAGGTAAGTTGTCATGTCGAGGATCGAACCACAGACCACGTAGGCGATCCCATACAATGACTTAACTTAAACCAAGCAGCATATGAACTCCTTTCACAATATAAATGCAAATCAACTATTTCTAGCATGTAATGTGTCTTGAGTTGTGACAACAGTGATCGAAAAGCTTATAATGGTCATTACAAAATATCTATTAATGTTGAGGCAAGTATTTGATGCGAGACAAACCTTAGCCTCGAGTTGCCTGACATATATGATACTGTTGACGACATCAGGGAGGTTCTTCCCCTTGGGCATTCCCTTGCCACGCCCTCCAGTACGATTGTTGAAGTCCTCGCTGATTTGCCGGATGTTGACAGTCAGCTGACCTAGCAGTGTCTCCCTGGCAACCAAATCAATCTCATCATAAACCATAGTGATAGAAAGAAAATGTTACAAAGAAAATACTCAACAATTCAATTTTTTTTGTGTATCATGAAGTGAGGATAAATGGGGTTTAATGTCAATTTCAAGATTATTGCACTTATATAGAGTCGTGCATGCACATGTGTGTGTGTGTGAGTGGCTGCTTGTACCAATCCAGATTTATGCCAATTTTATAGTGCTAGCCCACTGAGGTACGATGCTGGAGTTAAACATCATTACATTACTATTTTAATATTTTTTACATTTGTATACTTATCCTGCATTACTCCTTAATGCATTTACTGCTTTCCTTTGACAGAAATACAAAGCGGTGTGAGGTCCAGCTGTAAAAGATGTTGTTCTAATCAGTTGTGAGGCAGACCCAATCACACAGCGCCCATGTGACAACGGAAGTGATGACGTCACATATCTTCACATTACTACTTGAATGTAACATTGGAAGACATTGTGGGGAGGCAGCTTTGTGACAGGTGGGCCCCTTGAACATAGTAATGCAGCCTCAGGTATAGGCTTGCAAAGACTGTCGGATCTCCAAAAGCATCCTTCCATGATGGATCGGATTGAGCAATTGCTGTGGAGAGCCATCATGGAGGATCAAGGCCAGTGGCATCATACGCCTGAAGGATGATGGCGCATAACCATAGGGATATGGTATTGCAGCTGACTTCAGCCATGGATGTCTTGGAGACGGAAGGTAAAGTCGTTTCTAGGCACCACTTAGACTCTTGGAGCGGTGGATGAAAACTCTCATCCTTCTCATCTTTACGCCCACAATCGGGGAAAGAGTTGGGATGCTGAAGGAGTTGATTCAATGGGGCCCTGCTCTCAAATCAGACCCTGTTGATGTCTCGAGCATGCAGCTTGCTTAACCGCGATGCCGTAGTCAAAGCCAAGTCATGGTTGTCCAGGCGTTCACTGTTTCCCCTTCCTGTCCCCACCACTGCCTTGGAACTTGCCATGGCAGAGTTGATAAGAGCCTTGGGACTTCCTTTTTCCATGCCCCTTCCCTCTAAAAGGTTATTGGTCTGGAGCTTTGTCCATCAGGGAGGAGCTACAAGCACAGTAATTGCCAGTCTGAGAAGAGCATTGAGCCAGGTTCTAGGAGACATGTTCTAGTGCCTATCGGGGCATCACATCTCGCGCATAACTGGAGACCCGGGGATGGGTGTCGATATCTGGCCATTGAAGAAGGAAGGCGTAGACCGGAGCTGGCTGAGGTGTCTGCACTTGAATTCGGAATCCCAGTTGATGAGGGCCAGATAGCCTTGACATCGAGTAGCAGTAATCTTGGCCAGGGCAGGTTCTGCATATGGTCAATCTGCTTCTGTTGATAATAGATGGGTGTCTGATCCACTAGGCTGATGTTCATCTCAGTCAGATCCTGATCTATGGCATGAGATGAAGATGCCAGAGCAGACAAGGCTTTCAAGGAGTGTCTAATGTCTGTCTCAATGAATGCCATGCAGGTATCAGGGATCTTGAGAGTGGTAGGTTTTGAAGACCCCGTCATCCGATTTAGGTCTTCGTCCAAGACGTGGCACAGTCAGCCACCTGAGAAGCGTGGATGGGGAAGTCCTCCCTCTTGTACCTGGGCACCTTGAAGGCTGGAGTGAGGAGAGCCAAGTGAAATCTTCATCCAGTGCAGTGATCATATCCTTGAGCATAGGATCTGGAGGAAAGGAGGTGGGCTGTGACCAGAACCCGACGAAGGAGCAACCGCAGCAAGTGTGACCACATCATTGTCGTCTGCGAGTACGCTGGAAGCACTTCCGGAAGCCAGGTGGAGCAGGAGACCATACCCCAGTTGAAAGCAGCAGGTGCTGGAGTCGGGAGACGCAGGCACTGACGCTGACATCAAGGGTGGTGCTGCCTGGGAAGGTGAAGATAATGGCTCGGCGACTGAGTAGGCAGAGGCAGCAGCAGAATCTCCGGCGTTGGTGGAAGCAAGGGAGATAACAACTCTAATTCTGGGGACCCGTAATCCACACAGGGCATAAAAAGATATAACATAAAGAACTGAAACAATGTGCAAAGTTTCTACCTTTCCGACACCATTTCCTTGCTGATAGTGGGCCTACGGATCAGATCCTTGTACCGTTGAAACTCTCTCAGCATCTGAAACATTGCAGTGTCCAATCATAACAAGTCTTTAATAGGAACACTTGTTTAGATAACCAAAACATTTAAACATTATTTCGGCCTAAATATTCATTAGATACAATCATATTTAAGTATATTCAACAGAATCAGGAAATGTGCATGTCTCTCTCATCTTGAAAAAACATGAAAAAAGAATGGTCATTTCTATATATTATTCAAAGGGATCAGTTACTATTGGGATGGATGGGATGGTGCTTGGGTTGATACATGAGTGTACAACAAAACTGTGACCACAATAGTCTCATTTGTTAACCAACTACTATTGGCTTAGTTTTTAAGGGGAAAAAACATGGTGGGCTGCCAATATCCTAAAACCCCAAATTTTAACCATTTAAGGAGATTCCATGGCATGAAATTTACAGAAGTCTGCTACTGAATAAAATAACGAATTGTGTTCATGACAACTCCAAAAATGTAACCAGCGAAGAGCAAGATAACATCATTTTAGTTCAGACCCTTTAAAAAGCATGATAAGTCTATCTTTGTGAACACGTTTTTTCCAGTCGATCCACGATGTAGAAATGATTGGACCTTCATTGAATGAAGACTGTGATTGAACGTCCTTCGGTACCAACCTGCTGAGGGTTACCATCCAGTGCACGGAACTGTGTCCGGAGTTTCCCTGCTAGTTTCTGTTCTGCTGGCGCCATTGCCCTCTCATGTTGAGCTACAGCTGCTGCCCACAATGGCTGTGTGTAGGGGTTGTACTGAAGTGGATTCAAACCCAGGAATGGTGAAAAGGCATCCGCTGTTCGCAACTCTTTCTCATCCTGACCACCCAGCAACCTCAACAGCTGTTCATGAACTGTCCGGAGCGTCAGAATCTACACAGACACAATGTATAGTTCAATAATCAGATCATGCTGTTGTTAATTCAGATTTCTATTTGTTGGTAAGAAGATATTTTTTTTTTTGTTTGTTTAATGCCACACTCAACAATATTCCAGTTATATGACAGCAGTCTGTAAATAATCAAGTCTGGATCAGAGAATCCAGTGATTGATATCATGAGCATAGATCCATGCAATTGGGATACAATGAAATCAACCAAGTCAGTGAGCCTGACCACCTGGTCCCATTAGTAACTTTTAAGAACAGTAAATGCTAACGGCAAACTGGGATGTTTTACATCAGCAGCACATCCTTCTTTAGCCTACCTCCTCCAGACGTACGACCAGTTTCTTCATGTTCTCTGGAATGAAGCGTTCTCCTTTCCAAGGATTAGGACCATATCGGCGCCAGAACTGCACAGTGAGTGTCTCACACACACCTAGCCATCTCTCGCACACAGTGATGCCAGATCGCATGTCCTCGCGTATACTACTAAAGTGACCTGTCCACAAATCTTCGTCAGCCAGTTTCCTCTGGACATACCGACCAATGGAGCCAGCTGAAATACATCAACATTCATTGAATGTGAGACAATTCTAATCTAAATTTGAAGTTTATTTTATTGACTGAAGGAGAGACCAAAGGAGAGGAGAGACCATTAGAGGAGAGGAGAGACCATTAGAGGAGAGGAGAGACCAGAGAAGAGGAGGAGAGGCCAGAGGAGAGGAGAGACCATTAGAGAGGAGAGGAGAGGAGAGGAGAGACCAGAGAGGAGAGACCATTAGAGAGGAGAGGAGGAGAGGAGAGACCAGAGAAGAGGAGGAGAGGCCAGATGAGAGGAGAGACCATTAGAGGAGAGGAGATACCAGAGAAGAGAGGAGGAGAGGCCAGAGGAGAGGAGAGACCAGATAGGAGAGACCATTAGAGGAGAGGAGGAGAGGAGAGGAGAGACCAGAGAAGAGGAGAGGATGAGAGGCCAGAGGAGAGGAGGAGACCATTTTAGAAGAGTAGAGGAGAAGTGACCAGTGGAGAGAAGAGAAGAGAAAAGAGGAGGTGAAGCCAGAGGAGAGGGGAGGAGAGACCAGTCGAGCGGAGATATAAAGAGACAGCTAGTCGGAGGCAGCTAGTGGAAGTAAGAGTTACCGCCTTGTATACATGGACAAGGCATGCTTTGGATGGGACAGTTTCTAGAAGGCTGGCTGTACCTATGTAACATTGGCTAGAGTCTTATCTACTTGTCAAATGCAGATTGGATACCTATTTAAAACACTGAATTCCTGCTAGCTTCCAACACTGTTTGGGATCCAAAGCCCAGAGACGGGCCTTTTTTCAGACATTCGACAGTGCCAAAATTCTGAACATTCATAAGTGCACTGACTATAATTCTACAGCCTGTTACTTACTGCTGCTGACTCTCACTTGACCCAGTGTACTGCCTTGTTTGATATATATATATAATTCACTGATTATTCACTGATCGTGTGTGGTCATTTACTGGTTTCACAATTTAGTTCTGTATGTATCGATTTCTTGGTTAACCCTGGCATTCGAATGTTGAAACAACCATGCAACAAATACATGTGTATGAAATGAATGAAACTGTTGCTTTATCAATTTACCAATGATATCCATGAGATGCCTCATGCGAGCCTCTGGGTAGGGATCAAAGTCGGTCTGTTTCCACACATCATCTAGTGTATCCTGGGTAATTTCCACCAGTTCTAGTGCATCCTGTAAAGACATGGCATCCAGTCCACCATATTCCTTTGAAATAGGCTTGAACAAATCACAGAAGTTGGCAGCTTGGTCTTTCGCATCTCTGCCTGATGCCGATCTTGACATGTCATCCCAGTACTGAAATTCCTCCACTGGGCTAAGAATACCTGTGAATTAATGCAAAATGTCATCAACAATGGTACCACATCTTCAAAACCTCATGGCTAGTAGTAATTACGTCCCTCCATCATACGTGAATACATATGGCCACCATATAGTGAAGTCTCTAGTTTTAACAAATAATCAGGCAAAGTCCCGGCTCCAGAGAGAAGGAATAAGCACTCAGCCTATACTGCATGAATGACAATGTTCCTTGCTTGACATGTGCAGCATGTATCATAGCCTTATGGCTGCCTGCTCTACACATGCTCTGATGTCCAGTAACGGGGTAGAACTTGCGCAAGTTCATGCATAACTCATCCAAAACGTTAAAATATATTGCGTACACTGAGATACACTCAGTAGTATCATTACAGCGGTAGAAACTAAATAAATTTATCCACTAGTCCTTATAAGGATAACAAATAGCAAAACCCTTAAAAATGGCAAATTTTTACTAGTCCTTATGATACCTTAACTATTGGGCAGTTTGGCAAGGACTACAGGACTAGTGCCAATTTCTAACGCTGCATTAACAAACAAAATCAATATAGCAACTGAAAAATGTCCTAATATCATGGAAATTTCAAATTTAAGTCATATCGCCCTGGCATTTCATACTCACTTCCAAGACTATCGTCACCACCATCACCAGCTCTGCTACGGGCAGAAGGATCTTGCTTCCTGATAGCACTGCCAAGGCCTGCCTCAAGGTCAGATAACAGACTCTGAACTTTGGGGTCAAGGTTTTGCGACCACTTGCCATCTTGAAGTAGTAGAGGTGCATACACTTTCTGCACAACATGGAACAATGTGCTGAGTGGGGATTCCACCATGGAGGACACCACAATATTGCTGTGAATGTTGTCAGGAGTGATCACATCAGGACGGATTTTGAAGAAAACAATCACTTGATCCTTGTTTTCACTTGGTTCAACCTGGATGATATATATAACATTATCATGAAATTATCCTCAGAGTAGGGTTAGAAATTAATTTTGTTTTCCACTATCCTGCAATAATGATCTGAATACTGGTAAAGGTGGTAGTCCACAAAGACATGTCACTAACCTTCCTGAATTTGACAAGTATCAGGTGGATACAAAATGAATACAGACATGTTCCCATGGCTATCAAACATAAGGATCTTGAAAGGATCGTAAGGATCATGAAAAATAAAATTTTGTAGAATTTTCCTATTCGGAATATTCTATAAGTAATACGTTACCACTGTTATACCGAGGCTGTTGTCTCCCACAACTGCTGCTATAGCGAAATCTACCACAGAGATCTCAATTACCTCATGCAGCACGTGCGTAGCCACCTAGCTGCCATGTGACACCCTTCACTCTTGTCTCCTGCGAGAGCAAGTGCTCGGGGGACGGACGGGCGGGCAGCAGCCCAGTGGTAACGTATTACTTATAGAATATTCCGAATAGGAAAATTCTACAAATTACATTAAGTAATACGTTACCACTGTTATACCGAGGCTGACTACCACAGTAGGCGGTGGGGAGCACCTACAACCCGAATCCTGACTGCTAGCGTTCCTTCCTACCAGCGGAAGTAAACACCAAGGCGGAAGCACTCGATGCGCATGCACCTAGCTAGGCGTTACCCTATAGGAATACCAAAGCACTGTCAAGCGCATACCGTAAGGCTCAATCGTCATTGCCAAAACGATTGGTGACTCCAAACGGCCCCACTGGATAGGTATTTCATCGCCGCAGCGGATGAGAACACTGTATCCGCGTGAGCTTAATCTTAGATCAGGTTAAACAGTCGAAAAGAGGGAAATTAATTTCATTCAGACCGTATATCCCAGAGCAAGCCTACTTAAAGTATGCATTAGGCGCGTGACCTAATTCCAGTATTTGTAAGCATGCATCACAAGGTTGGGATACACGACAGACAATTAAAGACATAATTGTCCAAATACAAATAAGGACAAAGCACACAAAAAGCCGCCCTCACCTGTGGTGTGAGTGCGCTGGTTTGCGGGACCCCAACTCCTGTACCCACGGCAGTGGGAACATTGGAGTAGACCCAGATTGACCACCGTGCAAGGTCAGACGCCTGAGGAGTTCGGAATTGCGCTGGGCACACCCCTTAGGTGCCCGCTTGCGCCGCGATCCGCGGGCCAAGACGGTGCACACTCTCCACGACGGCATCAGCGACCTGTTTGAGGTAATGATTGGCAAAAACCGAGTCAGAACGCCAGTAACAACCTCGTAATATTCTGCGAACAGAGATATTCGAGTGTAGGGCAAATGTTGCCGCTAGCGCCCTGATCTCGTGCAGGTTTGACCCCGCTACCGGTAACCCCCGAGACCGGTACGCCAGATTGATGACAGAACGAAGCCACAACGCAATCGAGTTGCGAGGTATGTCAACCGTGCGATTAGGGTTACACGATATGAACAGACGGTCACGCCCTTGTCTACGTTCATTCGAAGCCTTAAGATAATACTTAAGGGCCCTAACCGGACACAGCGCTCTGTCCTCAGTATCAGCAGGATGTAAGATTTCTTTGAGTGATCTTACAGTGAATTCTCTCTCCGTTTGCCCGACTCTCTGATTCTTGGCGACGAAGCCCATGAGCTGGCCCAGGCGGACCGCTCCTTCGTCACCCCTATCGAATCGTACCTTGGCGACATCGAGTGCATGAATTTCGGATACACGTGCCGCCGTGGCAAAGGAGAGGAGAAATGCTGTTTTCCAAGTCACATGCCGGAACGAAGCACTATGCAAGGGTTCATACGGAGCTTCCGTAAGTGATTGCAACACTAGCCAAAGATCCCAGGCCGGTGCCCGAAGGCGGCCCTTCTTAAGATCGTGCTGTTTGAAACCCTTGATAATACCCCGTATCACCGGCTCTTTGGAGAGACTGGTACCCATAGCAACGTCCCGTACCGTAGCAACGGACGAGACATAGTTGGCAATGGAACCCCCGGAGAGTTTCCGGGTCTCTCGCAAGTGAGACATGAAACGAGCAATATCCTGCACAGATACCTTATCTGGCGAATATATGTGATGTTTACAACACCACTTCGTGAAAATAACCCAACGTGCATTATACACCTTCTGGGTAGAATCACGATGCATACTAACGTATGCCCGAGACGCCCTGCGAGAAAAAACTTTACTCCTCAGACGCTCGGTGACAACATCCACGCGTGCAGATTGAACTGCCCTGCGTTTGGATGAAGCTGACGGGTGTGAGGGTGGATCAAGATCCGGTCTCACAGGCAGTGGAAGTGGCGACTGCGTGACCTGGGTCAGCAAGTCGGGGTACCACGATCTGTTCGGCCACATGGGCGCGATCAGTAACATTCGACAGCGAACTCCTCGGAGCCGGCTTAGAATGTGTGGTATCAACGCTGTCGGCGGGTAAGCATAAGCGACCAAGCCCGTCCAGTCTAACGCGAGAGCATCGTGATCGATGGCCCTCGGGACCGGGACTGGTGATACAAACAACGGGAGTTGATTGTTGAACCGCGTTGCGAACAGGTCGACCATCGGACGACCCAAACGTTCGCACAGCCACTGAAACACTACTGGGTTCAGCATCCACTCTGTGGGGCTCGGATCCTGAGGCCTCGATAGAGCATCGGCCAGTACGTTCCGCACACCTGGGATGTGACGGGCGCGTATCTGGCACGGGACACTGTCCACCAGAGCGTAAAACTCGAACGTGAGATCGAGTAGCGAGTGACTGTGGGTTCCCCCCAGTTTGTTCACATAGGACACTACCGTCGTGTTGTCGGTCGCCAGCATGAGCCGGGCGTCGACGAGACGATGCTTCCAGTGATTGACTGCGTTGATCACTGCCTTGAACTCGAGACAAGTGATGTGAAGACCTAGTTCGTCTAAGCACCACAGCCCCGAGCTCACCTCCCCCTCTAGATGGGCGCCCCAGCCCACTAGAGAGGCGTCTGTATACAGGGTCAACGTGGCCCGGTAGGGCCGCATAGAGACTCCTGATAAGACAATGTAAGGGACCGTCCACCACTCCAGATGCGGTCGGAGCCGATCCGGGAGGGCGACGGTCGCACTGTTCACCTCCGTTGCTAACAACTGGATTAAAAACCGTTGCAGCGGGCGGAGTTGGAGACGACCCCGTGCGGTGCAGTCCTGGGCTGATACAAGTAGCCCTAACAGCTGTTCCCAAAAGTGAACAGTCTGTTGCACCGCTAAGACTTTGGCAATCATCGCCTGAATTTTGTGCCACCGGTCTGGGGGGACAAAGAGGCGATGGGACACCGTGTTGAACCGACCTCCGATGAACAGCAAGTTCTGAGAAGGGGTTAACTCGCTCTTGGGGAGATTGATAATCCACCCAAATTGCTCCAAGAGCCGACGTGCGAAATCGAGATGGCGTGACAGGGTGTCCGTCATTCGATTTGCTACTAGCGAGTCGTCCAGGTACGCGAAGTACCGGACACCCCTCCTGTGGAGGAACCCCACTATGGGGGTGGTTAACCGGGTGAACAGCCAGGGAGCGGACGTGTGAATCATTCTGAGTTCGGCACTGTCCTACTTGGGAACGAGAAATATCCTGGAGTAAAACCCCGGTGTTATTTCTGGTAGAGCTAACTCCCGTACTGCCCCTTCTCCACCAACCTGCCGATGGCATCGGCGAGGATGGGAAGATCGGTTTCCGAATCGAAACCTGCCAACGGGGCAACGGTGAGCGGCGGATTCGCTTTGAGATCAAGCCGATAGCCGTACCGAATCGTGTTGACCACCCACGGGTCGTCGAACACTTGTTCCCAATTCTCCCAGTAAGTCTGGAGTCTGGCTCCCACTGGGGAAGGAGAGGGGGCCCTGACAGGTTGCGACAGGCGCAACTGTCCAGGGCCAAGTGACTCGGGTTCGCCTAAGGGCCAACCGAAGTTGGCGCTGTCGGCATACGAACCCCTCCAATGAGAGTCACCTGGAGGGGCCCTTGCCGTCCGTCGACGACTTGGGCTTCCCCCAGTTCCCCGTCTTCCCGCGAAAGGGCAGCTGATTGCCCATACCGGAGCCCTCAGGGCGGGGCTACTTCCCAGAGGAAGAAGAACCCGACCCCTTAGACCTACCGGCCGCAGCAGCCTGGGGCGCGCTCCGGTTAGGAGCGGCACCCAGGCGCCTATGCAGGGACCCAACAAGAGCAAGTGTGTGCCGAGAGTCCTCGGCAACGTACTCCAGGGAAGCATTTAAACTGAGCAGGCAGTTGTAAATGCGCTGGTCACGGTCCGTGGGAGAACCTTCGACCAGACGGGCCGCTGCAGCCAAGTAAGTGTCTCCGTGAGACATGGAGTGCCGAGCGAGGGCGTCCAGCTGGTGCAAGGTAGCTTGCGTTACCGTAGCAGCCGGTGGGGCACGGACACCCAACCGCTCAACATGGGCCTCTGCGGTAGGACCAGCCTCGGGAAAGGCAAGGTCATGTACCGGGAATAAACCCTTTCTCCACGACGTCGGAGGCAACGGGAGACCCCGACCGGAGGCCGCCGCGAAGGCGTTCTCCAAGGAAGGCTTGAAACCGCGCAGCAAGGTTGATGCGGGGAAAGCCGTGTCGGAAGACTCATCGTATACCTCGGAGGAACCCACAGTCGTGGATTCCCCGCGGTACCGGCCGGGGCATGTCCTCAAAGAGGTCATAAACCATGGCCACGCGGTCCTAAACCGATAGCGGGAGCAACGGTTCGGGGGAAGGACCGGTGACCACGGGAGCCGCCGCCGTACCGGTGGACCCCGCGTCCGTCCCCGCGGCCACCGAAGTGGCCGGGGACGGAACAGCCAGCGGCCTATCCTGAGATAAGGCCGCCAGCTTGGAGTCCACAAGTTATGCAAGTAATGCAGCGACGGAATCCCCGGACAGCACACGGGCCGCCAAGAGATCCGCCGCTTTACCGGTGGACCCCGCGTCCGACCCCGCGGCCACCGAAGAGGCCGGGGACGGAACAGCCAGCGGCCTATCTTGCGATAAGGCCGCCAGCTTGGAATCCACAAGTTTCGACAACAATGCGGCGACGGAAGCCCCAGACAGCCCGAGGGCCGCAAGGGGATCCGCCGCAGCCGAGGAGGTGGTGCCCGCACGGGGACCCCGACCGGACGAACCGGCCACCACAGGGGTGGAGACGGACTGTACGTACAGCCGGTACCGCTCAAAATCCGCAGGCCCCAGACCTTCGCACAGGATGCACCGGGTGTCCCCGCAAGGAACCCTGCACCGCGGGCAACGATCGTGGGGATCCCGGGACGACAAAAACTTTCTGCACACCCCATAACTCCGAGGAGCAGGGGTAGAGGGGGTGGATACTGGGGACATATCCATGTCAGACATTGATTGTTTGCTATAAACAAAGAACAAAACATGGTTACAACGCACGCACCACAATGATTCACAAACGAACATTTTCACAAGAAAATAAACGAGCAATGTGAACATATAACATACACATATAACTTTTATTAAAGAAATAAGTTATGTTAACCCCCAAAACATACAAGAACAGGGGAAACGTAAAACACAACGTGCATACGCGAACCCCGCAAGTATATAGAAAAAAGGGCGGGAAAAATTTTCCGTTTGGCGGGAAATTTATAACCAAGCGTAGCTACCGCAACGCCCCATAAAAGCACAGTTTATTAGAGAATAAACTATAATAAATATCACCAAATCTTCAAGGAACGCTTCAGCAGGAGAAAACACGTCTTGCTAAGCAGACGAAGGAGACAAGAGTGAAGGGTGTCACATGGCAGCTAGGTGGCTACGCACGTGCTGCATGAGGTAATTGAGATCTCTGTGGTAGATTTCGCTATAGCAGCAGTTGTGGGAGACAACAGCCTCGGTATAACAGTGGTAACGTATTACTTAATGTAATAAAAACGTATGTAGCGTACACATCATTCATTATACACTTACTCTGTTTTGAAACTCAACCGACTTCCTTCCCCCTCTCGCATCAATCTTAGCAGCCAAGATGGAAGCATTGCCATCATCGAGGAATGTGTTTAGAGCTGAAGAGTTCTGCAATGACTGTACATTCTCCAAAGACAGGGAGAAATAATTGGCTGTTGTTGCCAAGATAAATTCTTTTCTTGAGTCACCTGGCATTTTGATGAAATTGTCTGCACAGTCATAAGATCATCTTATCTGAAATCATGAAATGATAAGCCTTACTTTCTCCAGTGATACAAGGTAATTTTTTTATACAACTCTCACAAGAGACACGAGATATATAGATTTCAACTTATTTTTCCACTAAACTTCTCAAATACCTAAGCTACATTAATTATTTTCTGTCCAATCAAGGTGTACATTAGTTTATCAAATAGAGCTGTTTGGGCAAATAAGCTATGTAGTAACCTAACAAAATAATGGACAAAAAGCAGAGCCTTTAACACAATATTGCAATATTTAACTGTATGTAAGTAACTATTTATTTTAATGTTAATAGCTACAGGTACCAGTTAGGACTGTAACATTCAAGCAGAGACCATCTACTATATGGTCTCTGATTCAAGCTACTTCCAAGAACTTTCAAATAAAATAATTATCCTGGTAACAACACAAACCTTGGATACGTGTTGTCTATGACCATCAAAATATTAGCATATGTATGTCCCTCGTGTATATCTTTCATTGCCTCAATCTGTGGCACAATTGCAGGTATTGCATAACTGGATTAAGTAGATCTATCACCTGATCACCTAATTGAAACAATCGAAACAACACTTAACCTGCTTGGTTATTCAATTTTGACTATCTATTACAACTGAGCAGTAGCTGATGACTAATTGAAGAATGACACCTTCTTGATATCACACAGGGTAATTACCTTGTCTAGACAGTAGGATGATATAAGAGCAGCATTGTCTTTAAGAAGCAAGGTTCAATAGCCTTTTGGCAACATTTGACAATCTGTATCCATCTTTTTGACATTATCAACAAGAAAAATAATAGTATTAAACAATCAAGAAATAAAGACTCAAATATGTGATGCACATTATTCAAGTCAATGATGTGGAAAGAAACAATTCAAAATTAATTCAGAATTTTCGTAAATATTTCTTAATTTAGTATTTGCCTTTCTACAGTGAAAGGGTGACCAAGCAGCTTTATGCTATAACAGTGTTTCAAACCCGGTTTGGCAATGATAGATTACTACGACAAGGCTAATACCTGTGCTGATGACACAATTGTTGATTCCAGGTATATGAATAAAAGTGTTTGCGTTGCTGACAAACCAAAAGTCCTGAAAATAACTTCAATTCTTCAGGTTTAGTCAGACATCTGTGAATGACAGCAGCACCAAGCGTAGGTATGCCGCTGGATACTACAACAACTATGTACCGGTTTCTCTGATTGGTTAAATTCTTTCGACCAATGGCGTGTACAAATGTTTTTCCGACAAGCCAATGAAACGATTTGTTTCAAAATGTAAACATTGGACTATGTTCCTGTCCGTCATGCGCAGTGATAGTCTTCCTGTTACGCACGCTAGAGATCTGCCAAGTAAGCTTAGCTCTGTGTTTTTCTCAAATATTTCAAATAATTTGTTGAAGTGTGTTTTAGGTGAATATGCTAACAGCACTATAGAATATCCGTCCGTTTTACAGCGAATCGTCGGTATTTTGCAAAATCATTTAACGCAAGAAATTAGGTTTATAGTTTGACCTGACCCTTCGACGGGGGTCATTTGCTTTTGCTGTCAACGACATAGTCAAACAATTTTATTAATTGAAAATGTCTTTTTGCACAAATTCCTTTTTCACATCAAACCAACTGTGTTTTTCTTTCGTTGTTGCAGTGAACCAAATGTGAAGCATTAAACGTTTAAAGACTCTCTTTAGAAAAAAACTGTCGACATTGAGCAGTAAATTAACATTCCGCTTAAGTGGACAATGAACGCGGATACAACCCCTTTTGCATGCGAGTTTGTCACTACAGGATCCAAGCAACACTTGGGTATCTTTATTGTAGTGTGTTAATTATTATGTGCATCAAAGCACATACGTGAAGTAGCTGTTGATGTCACTTCTAAATATGAGTTTTTTATCTATAGTGAATATGTGAATATATTATTGATTTGTGTCTGAAAACACTGTTGATGAATATTTTGACACAGAATGAGTAAACTTAAGGGATAAGGGAGAAACAGCAAAGCTAAACATACTTCAGATCTCAAACCCACTGTTGCAACAACTATTTGTTTGTCAGCCTCAATTATGAACCTTCTGACTCCTGATAGCATAAATATTATTTAAAACAGAAAAAAAAGAGAACTGGGTTATTAATGACTTATACTGTCTTTGATGGATTAACTATATTAACTAGAATGATAAATTGCTATCCTCACTGGCTGCAGCTGATAGTCTAATCATGTTAATGAGCAGACACAATGTAATCCATCACTGCCTACCACCATGGCAAGTAATGAGTGACTATCCAAAAACTATTTCCTTAAAGTATTTAGTTTAGAAATATTATAGTTTCTCATGAAAAGAATTGGCCATTAACTATCACAACTTTGTTGGCCTGACATTCTAGTGGCTCAACCATTCATTTAATATTAACTTGTATACAGGCTGCAGTGATTATGCTTGAGACAAACAGCATTTGGATAGTTTCATGATTTTATCAATTTTTGATAAGACATTCTCAATCTGAGCCAAAAACCTTGGAGTCTACAGGTCTGAACATGTCTCTAGATATACATCTTTTCAGGAGATCTTAATGTTAAGGTATGGACTTATGTCAGCAAAGCCTACAGGACTGAAAGTCATTGCACTAGACTCGTCTTAAGACTAGTGGCTACAGTGAAAGACTGCTTTCTTCTATTCTATATAGTTAACAAATTTGAAAAATATCTTCAGGACATTTTAAATAACAATCAGTCAAATGTCCTAGAAAATGAACTGATTTGAAATCCTGAGGCCATGACGAAACACCATGAGTTCCGACTAACTAGTCCTTAGCTCATTACTAATTACTAGTAGTTTATGAAACATTTCCTTGCAGACATTCACTAGCCTTAGGACCAGCTGACTAATGGCCATTTATGACCCTCTAAACATTTACAAAATTCATCATATATAAGGACAGGGTAAATAAGGGATAGGAGCTAATAATGTGATCAACTGTAAACTAGTTATTTATAAATAATGATTATTTTAGTTCAGATTATTTTGTCTTATCTATGTTTTACCACATGAATCCATAAATCAGAGCTACATTATGACATTAACTGAACATGATGAAGGTTCACAGTTGTCAATAACAATCATGTAAAGTTTTTAGAAAATTTTAGTCAATATAATGGTAGTAAACTGTTGACTGTAGGATTCGCTACAATTGTATTCTCACATGGATTCCCACAGTTGCAAGTAGGATATTTTTTTATACATTTCCTAGACAAATGGAATGTGGAGGGATATTTTATATGACATTGTCACCCAGGAAAATGTTAAATATTTATTTATTTGCCATGATTAGTTGGAAACTGTGTATAGATGACTTCATAACATATTTAAAATGTATACTGACACGCTCTGAAAACACATTCAAATTTTTGTAATATTTCCAAGCTGCCAACTGTTACGCTTTTGAGCCAAACATTTCGCTGTTATGTTTATCCTCCCTAAATTACGATTTTTGACATTTTTCCATGAATTCTTTACATGCATTAAATATCATGGAGATGAAAGTTGTAATGCACCTGTCACACATTCTACAGGGAACTAATTGCATGCACACCGATACTTCCTTTGAAATAAAAAACACACATTATATTTCTGCAAGTTATAATGTATTGTCACATGATGAATTTTATGAATGTGTGGGGCTTTGACAACATGTTACGGCAAGAATACAGTTTACCGGACACCTTCCGCAAGCTTTTTAGCACCCTTTTTTGTCGCTTTGCTAGCAGGGTTTGGGGTCTTGATCCCACATAACATCTTCAATTAAATACTTTCATAAGTAAATGTAATTTTTAATGGCCAAAGTTATACAATACGTGTTTGTTGAAATGTGGACATGATGGATGTCACGGGTAAGGTTGTCACACTTGTTATGGAACTTCTATTTCGAGTACTTTTTCAATGTTGATGTCCAGTGTGTTTTTTATGTTTATGGAATGCTTTGATAGTCAATTTCAAGATTTAATCATATTAAACTTTTCAAAAACAAGCAGAGTAATTTCTTCTGTTTATTTTGGGCTTTATCACTCTATTTTTCAAAAAGTGATGCTCTCCAGTGTGGCTACTTTACCATCATCAAAAGGATGAAAAAAACATACATAAATTTGTATTCTGAAATCAAGCGGTAGTGAATAATCTTAGTTCAAACATCAATGAAACTAAACCTTTTTGATAATAGTTACAAGATATTTATTTACTCCTCCTACGCTGCAGTTTTCTGTTTCAAATTTGCCCCAAACCTTTGACCATGATTAGCCCCAGCATGGCTCTTGGAATCATTATCCGTAGTACCTGTGACGATCTGGGTATTGAATAGGTCTTCCGCGACTATGCTTGTCGTCAGAGGCGACTAACGGCATTGAGTGGTCAGGCTTGCTCACTTGGTTGATGCATGTCATCGATCCCAATTGGGTGGATGGATGCTCATGATATTTATCACTGGATTATCTGGTCCAGACTCGTTTATTTACATACCGCCGTCATATAGCTGGAATACTGCTGAGTGTGGCGTTAAACAACAAACCAACCAACCTAGCTTGGAGGTTGTTCTCAACATAAGCAGCTTCTCTATGATCCCACCTACAACCAGAACTGACTAGGGCTGGGACGAGTCCAATTTTACTACCCGGGTACCCACACCTCTATTACCCGACCCTACCCGGGTACCAGCTGTTGGTGTCAAGAGATAGGTACAAAATTGGGAATAGTTTGACAGTAGCCCTGGTAGAATGTATTTAGATACACGTATAAAACGATGTGGTCATGAAAAGTTCTTGCTTTGTTCAAACATATATAAGTCAGAAGGAACATGTTCATAGTCATGAAGAAATGCTAACATTAGAGACTTAAAATTGTCGTGTAACCATGTATTTATATTGTGAATCTTTGTCATGAAACAATATATCACATGACTAACCACGGGTCGGGGTAGCCCTGTGGGTACCCGAGTCCTACTCAGTACCTACCTGACCCGAGTACCCGAGTTACCCGTCCCTGCCCTAGAACTGACTGTAGTCTATATTCCTCTATTTATGTTTCAGGTATGCTGCTGTAGTGCATGCGACTGGCACACTGGAGCAAGGAGGAGAGAACAAGTCCCTGTATGATACTTTCAACACACTGGTCAGTTGAATTCATGCTGTCTTTACTGCTGTCAACAATAAATTGACAATTATCAAGTCACTAACATGACAAATAAATGTGAATTTAGTTTTTTATTATGATTATAATTATATAATCATTTTTCATGTTGATGAAGTTTACCAGCTGCTTATCAGAACTTCAGTCTGTGTCCCAAGTTGTTCTGTGAGCTTATATTCAGTAGATATGCGTCTCAGCAAAAGACTAGTACAAGCTGATCTTACTGGACCATAAGACATTTCAATAGACAAGGGCTCCAGACATGTGCCTGAAGTCGCAGACTAGTAATTACACTGATGACATGACAGCTGTAGACAATCACAGTTGTGCAAAGAGCCCTAATCAGTTCCTATCAGTCCTTATCAAATACTTAACCTTGAGAATATGTTTTGCATTCTTCAGGCAGTTAATAGGTTAGTTTAAGTGACTTCTGAAAAGGAAGGTGAGATTCTGCCATGTCAGTTATGAAAATCCACGTCTGTTTGAACATACCGTTTATATTGAACATGTAAGTTATCAATGAACTTATTGAAATGAGGAAGAATCTTCCACGATCAATGAGGGAAGGCCCTTAGTACTACAATGTACTTGACTTTCTTCTGATTAAAGCTGTTCACAGTACATATACTTTGCAAGCAGATGTTATATACAGTCAAATCCCGTTAATCCAACATTGATGGTTGCATATGATTATGTCGTGTTAACGAAATTTAGTAGTATCAACGTTCGTGATCGAAAATCGGACAACTGCACGATAGATAAGGATTCAAACACGTAATAAAAAATATAAAATATATATTCATATTGTTATGTTATATTGTTGGCGGAATATGTTTTCTGATCATGCAACCTCTAAAGTTTAACACAAAACAACTGTTACGGACTGTATGACCGATTCAAAATACTTTAATAAGCATAGTCTGGAATGGAAGTCGCAACTTTGAAACTGGTACCCAAAGCTTAAGAAAGCTGCTTTCTAAGTGG